GCGCCCTGCCGCCGTGCCGCCGTGCCCGTGTCGGTACACACCGCCGTGCTTTACTTTCCCGGCCGCGTTGCTGCACCGCCCCGCGCCGCCCCGCCGCCGGATGCGCAATGACTATTTACGAGCGGCCGAAATGGCGGCAAAGACAGACGCGACGCGGCGCGCGGAATGGCGCCGTTCTTGCTCAACGAGTGCTTGCTGCAGGACGGCCGACGCAGGGCTCTGTTGCGTAGCGCGGCGCGACGCGGCCGCCGCCAAGGACTCCGCCGTCGTGGCGCCACCGCGCTGCCAGCCCGGCCGATCGGCGGGCATTCATCTCCGAGAATGACACGTTTAAAAGTTGGGGGCGGGCCGGCCGGACCGTACTGGCTGGGCGTGGCGTGGCGCCTACCGGACCGCGCCGAACCGTCACTCGGCTTGGCTGCTTTGCCGCTTTGCTCTGCTCAAAAGTGAAAGTGGCCGGCAGGCCGTCCCTTCGTCCCATTGTCTCTGCGCGGCACGGTGTAGCCAGGCCTGGGCCATGCCTGTGCCGGCCTCGGCCGCGGTGCGCTGCTGTCCTGGTCCGGTAGTCCGGTGCGGTGGTGTGGTGCGCGAGGAGCGAGGAGGCGCACCCTGGCGGCCACGTTTGCCGCGTTCCGCCCCGTGGCTTTGGTGGCCGTGGAGCCGAGACGCCGGGCAGGGTAGGCAGTCCCGGCCGCAGCCCTGCGCGCGGGACTGCATAGTTGCCGGGGGCTCGGCTCGGCTCGCTCCCGTCCTTCGTGTTTCGGTTCGGGGTTTTGGGGCAGTGTTTCGTGCAGTAGCGCCCGAAGCAACGCGCCGGCCGTGCGCCCCGTCGGCAGTGGCAATGGTCGTTGGGGGACGACGGCCGCGCGCTAACGTCGCCCGCCGATGGATGGGCGGCCGAAACGAGGCAACGAGACCCACTTGGAGGGGCCCGGCCGGCAGCAGCCAGTACGGCTCCTCAAGCCGCGCTCAGCTCGGCTCAGCCACAGTTTTTACTTGCTGTTTTCTTTACGGCGCTGGGGAAGCGAGAAGGGTTTTTGGTTCGCCATGCAGGTGGTGGTGCACTGCGAAAGTGAGGCAAGCAGCCAGCCAGCCCCGCGCTGTCAGGGCGGACCGGGCCGCATTCACTTTCCGCGCGTGTGTGTGTAATGGGATATAGCCTGGGCGGGGCGGCCCACGAAGACAATGTCAATCCAGTGGGACGAGAGCGGAAGGAGCGGCAAACCGCAAGCAGAAAACGGCGAGCGCACCCAGCAAACGAGGCATAAGCATCACGTTAATCCCGCGGTGGGAGGCGCAGTCCGCCTCGCTCTGTCTCTCTCGCACCCGTACGTAGAGCCCCTTGGGTCCCATGGGTGCGAGAGAGACAGAGCGACTGCCCGTCCGCGGCTTGCAGCTTTGCGGTGCCTTTGCCTTTCTTTTCTTTCCCTTTTCGCCGAGGGGTTGATGGGGCCTGACGCTCGCCCGGGGCGTGGCGGCGACGGGGCGTGGCCGCCTTGCCGCGTTGCACAACAGCGCGATGCGCACACGGCCGAACAGTTATACGGAGGGTCAATTGCACGTGGCTACGCGCGCACACACTCACAGACGCGCTCACGCACGCACGCCGCCACTTGTAGAGCCGGTGCAACTGCTGCGTTATACAAACCGCGTACACGGCCATGTGGCACAGCGTGGCACAGCCGCGCCGCGCTCCGCGCCAAGCTCGGCGCCAAGCTCGGTGGCGAATCGTGAATCCCGGCCGGGCCATCCTATCCCGTCCCGCCGTTGCTTTCTCTATCAACGCGCAATGCGAGCGGGGCAGAGCGGGGCAGAGCGGGGCCGCTCGACAGCCGGGGCTGACTTGTCACGGAGAGTGTCCGGGAAACACGTTAGTGGACGCCACCCGGGACGCGTTCCGAGCCGAAGCGTCAAAGAAGACTCGAGTCAACGACCCGAACCGCGGGATCTTCGGGATTCCTCATTCGGAGGGCAGTTCATGGTGTGCCGATTGGCGGTTTCATTTGTGGACTTGGAGCGCCGCCCCTTCACCATGGTCGTAGCCGCGGGAGAAGGGGCGAGAGATCCGCGCCAAAATTGGCATGTGGGTTTGCGCTGGCGGGGCGGGGCGGGGCGGGGCGGGGCGGGGCGGGGCGCGATCTCCGCGCCATTAGAGCGGCGTTATTCTAATGACGGCCGCCTGCATCGCCTGCATCGCTGCATTGTGTCGAGTGAAAGCAAGTGTGAATGTGGGAAGACGGGAGTGGGTGGCGGCCCGGCTGGCCTGACGCAGAGGGTGACGACTGCAGCGGACTGCAGCCGCTTCTCCGCGACAGTGTGTCAGCAGCCGTGCAGGGAAGGGAGGGGAACACCTACGTCGTTCGTACCTCGACGCACTTCTCTCTGTCTCTCGCTCTCGCCAGCGCGCTCCTTTGGCGTGTCGCCGTGTTTTTGGCTGGAACGAGGTGAAGAAAGGTGGCCGGATATTGCAGGCTGCACGCGTCCGTGTTTACGTTTGCCGTGGGAACGGCCGGCCGACCGGCTGGCGTGTCGCCCGTGTCGTCCAAACGCCAAACACCGCCCCGCCCCTCCCCGCCACAACGCGGCGTGTCTCGTCGGCAAACAGCGCGCCGCGCCACGCCGCTGCCGCTCGGCCGCCTCCTCCGCGATCGATTAGCCTTTCCGGGCTTCCCGACGCCACTTCCGGGAATTCCCCGCGACAGCGCGCACACACGGTACTTCCGGTCCAGCGGTAGCCGCCGCAAAAGTTCGAAATTTTGGCGTTTTTTTTGTCTTCTCCCGTACGGAGGCTTTTGGGGTTCGCGGCTGGGCCGCTTGAATCTTCTTGAATGGCGCCACCCCGCGCGGCACCGCCGCCTCCGCGGACCTCGGCGGCTGCTGGGCACGCGAGGAGCAGGCGGGCGGGCGGGGGCAGCGCAGTGAAGAAGTTTGATGTGGCAAGCAGTGTGTATACATAGTGGGTCGCAGCCAACTAGCCTAATTACTGGCTGGCTGGCTGCTGGCTGGCTGGCTGCGCACCACATCGGCGCATCATGGCCCGGCCCGCGGCCCTGGCCCTTGAAAGCTGCGCGCTTCCCCGCTTCCCACAGCCTGGACGGCCTGGATGAGTTCCCACAAGCCGCAGGGCCGCGGGGCCTCAGGACACTCATTCCCCAAATTGAAGTCGGCGTGGCGCTGGGCGTTGCTCGGCCTGCTCGCCGCGGACTGCACCCAGGCCATCCAGGCCGTCAGGGAGACCAGCGGCTCCCGAGTGTTTGCTTTGCTGCTGCACCCGGCTGGGGTGGACCCTCGCTTTGGTTCAACCAGTCGGTCACCTAAAGCGCGACGTGACGTTTGTACCGTATCGTGGGGCGCTTAACTTTGGCTGGCTAAACCTCCGCCAACGGTTGCATTCTGCAACGCGCAGTGCCGCTGTACCGCGGTACATTCATCGTAGAGGTACATCCGTCGTGTAACTCCGGCGGTGCGAAGTCGGACAGGTGGAGGAAAAAAGAGAGGGACGTGTTGACGCGTGCGGCGGCTGGCCGCAGTTTGATTCATTGACTGCTGCATGTGGTGGCGAAGCAGGCGTAGCAGGCACCGCGAGGCCTGGACGCGGCGCGGGACGGCCCTGGTTCCCGTAACCCACTTCCAGGGCTGGCGCAGGGAAAGGGAAGGACTCAAGGACTGGAGGGGCCGGGAAGGGAAGGGCCGACGGGCAGGTCGTCAAAGCCCTCGGCGCGGCCGCGTCCCCGCGTCGCGCGCCGTTGACACCTGTATGGTGCAGTGTGTGCCGTGGCCTGCTGCTGCACCGCTGCACCGCGTCCCGGGGCTTATTTATGGCGGTCGCGAAAGCTGCCAACGCCATTGCGAGAGCCTTCCAGGCCACCTCCAGGCACTCCAGGTGCTGGCGCCCGGCGTTTACCTATGCGCTATATTTTTTTTCTCGCTCGCCACAATGAGATCGTGTTGCTCCTTTTTTTTCGAGTTATTATCCCTTTGTGCCACCGTGGCGAAACAGAACGAAACAGCACGGCTGCGGTGTGGCGGCCGATGGAGGCCTGGACGCCTAGGCGCGCCTAGGACTGTGTTTGCTGACTCATGTGCACATTTGGCGCGGCTGCGCGGCTGGCTGGGTACCTACCAACTACCCGCGGCGCCGTGCCGCCGTGCCGGCCGTGCCGGTGTTGTCTGTCTCGCTCCCTCTTTTCATTCCCGCTAAGCTCCGACAATAAACTTCTGGGAATACGACTCTGAAGTATAGAGAGGCGCTCCTGACAGGCGGAGGGAGGGAAGGGGCTCCAGCGCGCTCCAGCAGCGAAGCACAGCGAAGCACAGCGAAGCAGCACAATGGCAGCCTCTCCTCTCCTCGCTCGTCCCCACAGTGACCGTCCCAAGGCCTCGCTGGCCGGGCCGGGTCGGGCCGGGCCTGCGTCTTGTGGGAGGAATAATTCGTAAAGTTTAGATTCCGGCCGTCCGCACCCCGCCCCGCCCCGCCAGGATCTAGAGGAATGATGACCGCGAGACACCCACGGCCCTGCCTCGCCGTGCCTCGCCTTACGGCTCCCTCGGCCCTCGGCGCGCTGTTTGCCTTAATATCGCGGCGCCGCGAGACGCGAGATGGCTGCAGACTGAGAGTCGTTCTCGTCGCTCTGTCTCTCTCGCACTCATGGGGCGTGCCGCATAGGTGCGAGAGGGACAGAGCGATGAAAACGACTCTCGGAATCGGTCTGCTGCATCCCGGGCAATTGGGGCCCGCGTCCGGCCTGTGGGCCGTCGCTCTGTCTCCCTCGCACCCTCGCCGGACGCCCTGGACGCCCCACGAGTGCGAGAGAGACGGCGTGCTGGAGATGGGACTCCATGAGTGGAGCGGGCCCACGCGCGGCGCGGGAGGCATTGGCGACGTTAGAAACGCTTGGAACGGCCAACGGGTGGACGCGGACGGGGCGAAGTGGCCCGTCGTCGAGGTGCTTGGCTGGACGCAGCCTGTGACTGAGGTTTGTTTTTGTCGTTTGTTGCAGGCGGAGCGCGACGGGCTGGCGGCCGCGCGACAGGAGCTGGAGAAGCGGCTGGAGGGACGCGACCAGGAGCTGCACGACAAGGAGGAGGAGCTGTTCCTGCAGCTGGAGCGCGTCGTGCGCCTGGAGGAGGACTGCGAGAAGGTGAGTCACAGTTCGCACAGTCGCGCGATTTGAATCGCTTCGTCTGAAATTAGCATGCATAGTGTTGGAGCGCGTCAGCCCCCTCCCCATCCCCCGCGACTCGCTGGCTGGCGGCGAGGCGGCCAGGCGGCAAGATCCGGTTGCGCTGCGTTCCTGGCGTCGGCGCGCCGCGGAGGCAGGCAACCCATTCAACAAGCCTCCGTCCCCGCGCCGTGGAGGCAGGCAGCCCAACTGGCGGCAGGCTGCGGGCCGCGTCGCCTAGAGAGTCTAGAAGTGGGCAGAAAGGGTTGCCAACCTCAGCCTGCCTAAATGGCAAAGACGCGTCGCGTTCCCTCTGGTGGGTGTGGTCTGCACCGCGACGTGCATGCAAGCCATGCAAGCCGGCCTCTCCCCTCCCCCAGGGGTAGGGTATCGATTTGGAGGGCGTGTCTGGGTCACTCTGGATGCTGGGGATGCGTCCGCCGGGCACGGCCAGGCCGCGTCCCGCGTCACGGTGGGGTTGAACCGGGCCAGGTGGTGAACGCCGCGCTCAAGTCGCACTGATTGCTTTCTGGTTGGATGGCGGCGGCGGGGAGGAAGGATGCTACTGGTGTCATTGGCTCCGTCTCTCGAGTCCGGCGTGCGACGCGGGACTCACTCTCCCTCGCGCCACTTGTGCAATCGCAGCGCCCCTCCCCTCCCCAGGCGCCACCCTCTGCCCCTGCCACCCCCACCCCACCCCCTGCCCCGCGCGGCCGCCCTCCGCTCCCTGGCCTGCCTCAAAGTTTTCCGATACTCTCTGTGTTCCGCTCTGGTCTGCCGCGCCGTTTCGTCTTCTTTGTCCGTCGAGACAATGCCGACACGAGCTGCCGCTATCAACTAAGTTTGTTGCAGAAGTGATTCCTGTTGTCCGCTCCAGTTTTGATGTGATGCCTGATGGACTGTACAGGGACTAATGTTGCACTCGATGAAGTTGCGCGAGGACTACAGAAAACTATCAACAGCATTTATTTGTCCTTAAAAGCTAAAAAATGCAACAATGTTTTTGGTCCTTCCGTTTACCACATGCCCGCAAAAGGGGCGTAAACTAAAATGACAAGGCAGTAAGTACAATGGCACGAAGTGGAATACACATAGTTTGGTATGTTTGTCGTAAACTACTGAGTAGAAAAGAAAATAGAGCAAGCAAGGCTCTTGCAGTCCGTTGTCTTTGACTGTCTTCACTGCAGCGTGCAGTTGTGGCAGCCGGTCGGTCCCGGGCGCGACGCCGCCCCCGCCGCCCCCGCCGCCCCCGGGGCCAGCGTCAGCCCCACGTCGGCCGCCCTGGCCGGGCCCAGCCCCGCCGCCGCCGCCACGACGCCGCCGGCCAGCGCCTTGCGGTACTTGGGGTCCAGGTTCTTGACGTCCGCGTCGTGCCTGGAACAACGGCAGAAACAGGAATGCAACCTAAGCTTTCGAAGAAGAAAGTAACCGAGGGTGGCAGTTGAACCCGCACTCACACGTACTTCTGCTGAGACCGGCGCAGCTCGTGGTCGCGGTCGTAGGGGAAGGCCCGGCCGCGGTTCTTCTCCTCCCAGCTGGACGATGCCGTCTGCATGGAGAAGGTCCTGCCGGCACCGAGGCCGAGGCCGTGGCTGTCCGCCGAGGAGAAGTTCTTGCTGCACCACGACCGCTCCTCCGAGGACGTCGACGAGAAGGTGCTCTTGAACTTGTTGGCGGACTTGTCCTCTTTCTTGTCGCTGCTCGGCCAGGTGCTCTTGGCCGTGCTGGCGGCGGCTGTCGTGGTGCTCTTGCTCTTGGTGTCTGGCTCCTTGCTCTTGCCGCTGCTGTACTTGTCTGGCTCCTTGCTGGCGTACTTGTCCGCCTCCTTGCTGTCCTTGCTGGCGTTCTTCTTGCTCTCGCGCTCGCGCGCCGCGTTCCGCTCGTTGTCGCGCCTCTCGACGCTCTTGTAGCTGGCGCGCCGCTCGAGCGCCGTGCCGCCCGACGAGTACTTCTCCTGAGACGAGTACTTCGTCGTGTCGCTCGCGCCGCCGCTCTTGGCCGAGTACTTGCTCTCGGACGAGTACTTGTCCTTGACGCCCTGCTGAGCCGAGTACTTGGACGAGTACTTGTCCACCGTGGTGCCTCCTTGCTGCGACGAGTACTTGGTCTCGGTGGCGGAGTACTTGTCCTTGTTGGAGCCCGATGTCAGCTGCGTCGAGTACTTGGACTCTGAGGAGCAGTACTTGTTGTCCTTGTTGGAGCCCGAACTCAGCTGCGTCGAGTACTTGTTGTCCTTGTTGGAGCTCGAACTCAGCTGCGTGGAGTACTTGTTGTCCTTGTTGGATCCCGAACTCAGCTGCGTCGTGTACTTGTTGTCTTTGTTGGAGCCCGAACTCAGCTGCGTCGAGTACTTGTTGTCTTTGTTGGAGCCCGAACTCAGCTGCGTCGTGTACTTGTTGTCTTTGTTGGAGCCCGAACTCAGCTGCGTCGTGTACTTGTCCTTGTTGCTGCCGAAGGCGCCACCTTTGTTGTTGTTGTTGTTGCTAGAGGCGCCGCCGCCCGTGGCCTGCGCTGATTTGTTCATCGTGACGTCCTGCAACAGAGAATGGTCGGCATGACGCGGCATGGCGTGGTGCAAAGCTGCTGCATGCTTTCATTAATACGGGCCACTTTCCCTCCCCCTTCCCCCTCAAGCCCCTCCGCGCGAACAACAGTGAGGAAAAAGGAAAACACAAGTCAGTAATTCACGGCACACGTCCGCCTCAGGCCAGGGGATTTGCCTAATCATTTTGGCGAAAATCCAAGGACGCTCGTGGACGCAGGCGATGCAGGCCGTGCAGGCCGGGCGCACGTGCATAGGCCGCACCTCACACACGTGGACGGCGTGGACCGCGTGGACGCGACCAACAAACGGACGATCAAATCGACATGAAAACGATGATGCCTATTGACGGCCTGCATCGCCTGCGTCGCCATGCGTCACGCCTCGGTCCTTGGGCAAGCCCGTGTGCAGCGGGCTGAGTCCGCACGGCGTTGTCTCTCTCGCACCTTCGCGGAGCGCCCCATGAGCGAGAGAGGGACAGAGCGACCAGAGCGACGCAGCTCTGCAGGCTCTGCAGGCACGGTGTGTGCGATTGCTCAGACAGTGCAAGTGCAACGGGGCGTCGGATCGGAGTCGACGGGCACCGCCACTGGCATTGCCGCTGTCGTTCGGCCGTCCGCGTCGGTCTGCAGTCAGCGTCAGCCGCCACCGCGGCGCCACTGGAAGGCCAGAAAACGGAAGCCGGAGGCTGGGAGGGAAAACAGCGGCTAGTCGGATGGGATACTACTACTGGGCCTCCCACGTCCAACCTTAGCCTGCTCTCCTGCCTGGAGGACCTGGAGGAACACCGCCCCGCGAGGGTTTAAACAGAAAGGGGGGGTGGGTGTCACCCTGAATGGGTACCCGGTACAACACTGCACAAGCCGACCCGGCACTCACCTCCTCCTCCTCGTCGTGGCCGTGCGTCCCTGGGCCTGGCGGCTGAGGCCCCCTGGGGCCTGGGGCGTCGCCCACGCAGTCTCGCTTGGACTTCCCTCGCCTGCCTGCCTGCCTGGCCCGCCGCGCGCGGTTCCGGTGAGCTTGTCGCACGGCCGTTGCGTTGTGATGCGAGGACGCGATGCGACTAGGACACTGCCGTCGGGATACGCCGACCGAACGCCCCGCCCCGCCCCGCCTCGCCCCGCCAAGCCGCGCCCCGCAAGCTTCTCATTTCCGCTCGCGTTCGGCCGACACAAAGCGAGTCTTGCGATACGCGCGTCGCTACTTACCTGCCCCCCTCCCCCCCTCGCGACGCGCCCATCGAGAGCCCCCCTTGCCGTGCCTGGACAGTGGCGCGTATAGGCGTGGACGACGGCGGGCTGCCAAATGATGGACTTGGATTTGGGTGCGAATCTCAGGGGGAAGTCCTCGCTCCGCGGTTTCGGGTTTCGGCGTGCGATGCCGGCCGGCCGATCCAGGCCGTCCGGGACTGCGGCAGCGTCGCGGCGTCGCGGCGTCGCTCTGGTTTCGCGTTGGCGGCGGCGTGGCCCGCGGCCAGGCTCGGACCGCTCGGACCAGGCCTGGGAACGACAGAGCGTCGAGACGCGCGCTTCACCTTGATTCCGGCTCAGCGGGCCCCGCCTGGCCTTACCTCGGCCCTGGCCTCCGCGGCCACGCCCAGGACGGCGGCGACGGCTCGGCGTGCGACGCGGCGTGCAGTGCAACCCCATCGCCGCCAACGCCGCTAACGGTGCGGGCGCACGGCGTGCGGCTCGGCCTAAGGCGATTAAGGCGCGTGTCGCCGTGTCGCCCCGACCCCGCCATCGCGTCCCGACGTCCCGACGGCACCAAGCTGATTCCATAGCTCTCTCTCTCTCTCGCACTCATGGGGCGGAGGGAGGATATGCGTGAGAGAGCGACGAAAGGCTGTTCGGAACGAGCGTGCTGACGCGGGGACCGCGGGGACGAGCTAGGCCAGCTGTGGCTGCGGTTGGGGGCCCATGTGGTCGCCTCGTTGCTTTCGACGGGGTTCTTTTTGTCCCGCGCGGCCCGCGGGTGCGTCTCGATTCGCTATCAGTGCGCCAAGATGCACACGCGGCGCGCACATGCTGCCTGCAGCCCCACGGGCAGCGAGTCGTCGTCATCGCCGTGCCCAATGTTGACCCAGTTATGACGCCTGGGAAGCCTGGGAGGAAGCGGCGTGCGACGTTGGATCCGGCCGGGGGCGCGGCACGGCCGGTCCTCTCCCAGCGAACAGCGCGGGCCCCCGGAAGGACAAGGACACCGGGCGGCTCCATACCCCGCCATACCCGCACCGGTCGTCCTTGGCGGCGGGGTCTTCCCTGGCCCTGGGCGCCCTGGGGCCTGGCTGGGGCTTGGCGCCGCCTCCCCGCGCGTGCACGTGCTGGCCCGCGTCGCCGTGTCCGGCCTTCGGCCTTCGGGCCCCCGCCCCCGCCCCCGCCGCCTCCTACGGCCCGGAAATGGCACTATTATGACGCGGCCAGCCCACGCGCGGTGCATCGCGGTCACCCCGCGGCGGACCTGTTGCAACGGCCCCGGTCCCCGCGGCACGCGGCACTGGGTCAGGTCGGGCCCAGTGATCGCCCAGTGCTTGCCCGCTGCTCGGCGACCCTTCGACCACCGCCTTTGCCTTTACCGCCTTTATCTCCGCGTTCGCCATTCGCGCGATTCCGAGAAGTCTGGCCGCGAATCGGTCCGAGACACTCTGAGATTGCGCGCTAGCCTGGGATGGGCTGGGGCAGCGGGGGCATTGAACCGAGGGCGGAACGCAAGTTTGGATCTCATTTCTCACTTTGGTTTCCGATGTTGCAAAGAGTCTCTTCATCTCAGCCGCGCGCCGTACTTTGATGTTGCATTCCCTCTCAAATTCGGCCGGTGCACTTCCTGCGTCCTACGTCCTGCACGTGGCAGCCTCACCGGTCCGCCTCAGCGCCCGTCAAAGCGTCGCGAGTCCCGGCGAGCCCCGAAGCCACGCGAAAGCGCCGCCCGCCGCCTCCATGCTCGTCGCTGTATCGGAAAATAATGTTATGGCGTCTCCGACAAGAACAATAACAAGAGAGAATCGGCCCGATAACCCTTATCGCGTCCCGGCGCCCTTCCGCTCGCCGCGGTGCCGCGGATGTTGCTGTTGTTGTTGTACTCGTTGTACTTGCACTGAGCGCTGCAGCGGACACCGTACCGTAGGGCTTCGCCGGCCGGCGAGAGCGGCGAGGTGAGGGGCGCTGGACTCGCAGGGCACCCCGTGCGTCGCGCTGCCCTGCACTGACAATCGGCGACGGCGGCGTCCCGGGGTGGCGGCGTCGCGACGCCCGCCTTGTTGGCGTCTCGGCTCGGGGCGCGGGACTCGGGGGACTCGGGCTCGGCTTGGGGTGCCGGCGGCACACGCGTCGCGACGCCTGGCGCCTCGCGCGGACACGAGCCGCGTACTAAACCGCTGCCCCCCCGCGGACCGCGGCGAGCCCCTTCCTCCCCCTCCCCTCCCCTCCCCCGGGCCGGGCCCCCGAGGGGCTTCACGGCGTCCCCCTCTCAGGCGCCCCGCTAACTGACAGAAGACTGATTCCGCTCAGCGTTTCGTCGTTCCGTCTCTCTCACTCCTTCCCGGGACGGCCCGTGAGTGCGAGAGAGGCGAAGCGCTTCTCGGAGCAGGCTGGCCGAGGCTGAGTCATCGGAGAGCACGCGCGGTTCATCCCCAGACAAGAGAACGCCGATGACGGAGATGACGACGACGCCCGACTCGAAGCGCGTCTGGCGCGAGTTTTCGAAGTCCGGTGGTGCCGTGCTGTGCCGCGCTGTGCTGCCTAGTGCTGACACGTTTGTTTGCTTGTGTGTTGCAGTTACGCACCGAGAAGGAGAAGTTCTCCCAGATGAAGGACGCCCTGGAGAAGGAGAAGCTGGAGGCGTATCGCAGGGTGAGCTTCCTTCGCCTTAACCTAACCTGACCCGTTCTGGTTCCCCTCCCCCTCCTTTTCATCCCTCACCCGGACGGGCTTTGTGGTTGCAGCTGAAGCAGCAGTCCCGCGAGGCCGAAGCGACGCGCCGCGGCCTGGAGCGCGCCCGGCAGGAGGTGGTGCGGCAGGTCAGCGTCATCGCCGCCGAGAAGGACTGCCTCGAGAGGGAGGTGAGCAGAGGACTCGCCTAGTTCATGGTTTGCATCTTTCGCTCGAGTAAGTGACTAACCACCGAGCTGCCCCGCTCGTGTTGCAGAACGAGAGTCTCCGGCAGCAGCTGGAGGGCCACCACCACCACCGCGGCCGGTACTTCCCCGGCGCAGCGCAGCGCTCCGCTGCGGCAGAGGCCGTGTCTGGCGCCGCGGCCGCGGGGCCCGGGCAGGCGCACGGCCTCGACGGCCTGGAGCGCGAGATGTCGGAGTTGAAGCTGATGGCGCGGCAGAGCCAGTCCCTCAACAGCCAGCTGAAGAAGGGCATGAAGCACCTGGCCACGTGTCGGCGCAAGAAGTGCCACGTGTGCGCCTACACCCGAGACGCGTTCGGCGAGTACGCGTCCAGGGACGAGTAAGTAGTTTTCTTTTCTTTCCTCCACGGTGTGCTCTGCAACAGCCCTAACGGCCCTTGCTTTCGCTGCGACCGCAGCGGCAAGCTGTTCTCCTGCCTGCAGGCGCCCCTGCAGCCCCTGCACGACTGGCGAGCCAAGCGTCGCGGCGCGCAGGCCGCGTCCAACACGCCGTCGCCGTACTGCTCGGACGAGGGGGAGCTGTTCGACGACGAGGACGGCGTCGAGGACGGCGGCACGGCGCCGAGTCGCAGCAGCCCCCTGCCATCGTGCCGCTCGGACTACTCGTTCCGGCGCGCGTACTCTTCGACGGCGCCCTCGTCGCCCTCCCCCTCCCCGTCGCACTCTCTGCCGCTGCACTGCCTCGGCGCGCACATCTCCTACATCGACGAGGCCAGCTGCAGCTCCGGTGACTCCGGCCAGGGTGAGTACAGCAGTGCACTGCCCCGGTGGGACGCGTGGCGGGATTGCCTACCTTGCCCCCATCGTGTTGCCTTTACCCGTGCCTTTCCCGCAGGCGAGGAGCGTTGCACCGACGCCTGCCATTGCCTGGTGGGCGTGGCCACGGACCAGTCGACCACATCATCGTGCTCGGCGTCGGCGACGTCGGCGACGTCTGCCCCCCACGGCCACGGCCACGGCCAGGGCGAGGAGCAGGCCGCCACCAGCACCAGGGCCTTCTCCTCGGACTCGGGCTTCTCCAGCGAGTTGTATGACTCGACGCTGCAGCGCTCCAGTGACCGCTCCAGTGACCGCTCCTGCTCTTCCAGGACCACCAACGCCGAGGCGTCGACCTCGTCGGCCTCGTCGGCCTTCCAGCGAGGCGGCCGCTGGACGTCGTCCTTCCGCAAACTGCTGACCCGGGTGTCCACCAAGAAGTCTGCCGGCTCGGCCTCCGCCAACGCGGCCTCCGCCAGCGCGGCCCCTACGGCTGCCAACTGAGATGGTCGTTGAACGCCCCCGGCGCCCCGCTGGTCCTTCTAATCCCATGAAATCGTCATGTCGTTAAATTATTGCTTAAGAAAAGTTTAATGTGCCAGGTTATTGTGTTCTGAAATGAAGAAAGATGATTACAACTTTTGTTGTGGCAAATTTCTCTCTTTTTTTTAGCCTTACAGTATTTTTTATTTCCTACATGTGTGCTTTTCAGTTTCAAATTGACAATTGTGCCAATTGTATGTAACACTTGCCTCAATCTCGAGATATTTGGCAGTTATTGCAGTTGGTAATACTGTTGTAGTACTGATTTTTTTCCCTTTGTGTTTGTTTGATGATGTTTTCTTTGCCATTCTTGGAACTGTTTTCAATCAGGAGAGAGGCTTTGAGACAAGAATGTAACTCCCCATGCCATGAGTATGTCAAATTAAGGTGAATTATTTCAATGTAAGAGTCAAGCCTCACCTTGACAATTTAACATTCCTTTTAATTTCTAGGAAACTGTGTTTTTTAAAGCAACTCTCCAATTTTCATAGGTCACTCATGAACCTGTCACATATCTTACCAAAGCTGTATGTATGGTATAAGTAAAAACTAGGAAATTCTCTAGAGAACTTTTAATGATTAGTCAATCAGTTAATCACTAAAAGTAAAATTTCAGTTGAACTGAAAATTTACCACTCTGCTTCATTCCTTCCTATGCTAAAATGATCACTTCCAGTATTGTTATATTAGCAATGATGTTTCAACTTCTATTCATTGACTAGCTTTGTGGCGCAATTCCTAGGCTTATGTATTACCTACACCAGACTGTGATAAACTGTGCCCCTTCCTGGATTTTAGTAACTGAGACAGAGCTGTAAGAGAATCAATACTGCTGAAAGAACAACAAAAAAAAACAAAAAAAAGTGTTATATTTTGAAGTGCATGATGTCCTTGGCATTTTTTGTTTTATACTTTACTTGTAAGGGTGCTTTTTCTTTCTTCTTCTCTCTTTGGTTTCATTGCAAAATTTTGTGTGAGAAGCTGCTGGTGGTGTAGTTGTCTTGAAACTAAAAGGGGACCATAGATTTGAAAAGAAATTCCTTTTGGTGTATCTTGCAAATGTCTCATGGTTAAGTACAAAGCCCATTCAAAGCTCACAATGAACAATCTCACTGTTAAAAAATGAATTTATATAGAGAGGGAAGTGATTTGTTGAAGTGTGTTAAGACATGTGAAGGACCAAGACTGAAACTTGCTATGACGTTCCTATGAAAACAGTCTACTGTGCATCATACTGAAAAATGTTAATTTGTGACATTATATGTTGTTCATTGTTTCCATCTATGCAGAGTCATTGATTGTTATAAAGATATATCCTCTGGCATTTTGTTTTCTTGAGCGTGAAAATGGCTTGTCACTTGACATTGACATGCTCCTGTTTTTAAGTTGTAGATTTCTAAGCTAAAGATTTCTGAAGATCTCTCAATTTGACGGACACATGATTTTAATGTGTATCTAGGCATCTTAGAGCTAAACCAATTACAGAAGGAGTTCTCCTAAAATGTTTCATACATAGCGCACCCTTATTTACTGTGTCTTTGTAGGGACTTACTATATTCTGAATTATCTTTTTGTGCCTTCTTTTGTACATTTTCTTCTGTGGTCGTATGAGTTATGTTTTCTGCTTCATATATCTTATAAAAATATTTAGATCCTATGTGATCGGGAAACATATATCAATGCAACAAGACACTGAGAAAAGAAAATGGTTTTCCATACTGAAGATATTTTTATTCTTTATGGAGAACAACAAAATTTTTCATTACCTTCCCTTATGATTTGTGATCAAATAATATCTTTAGAGATCCAACTGCTTAACTCTGGATTTCTCAACTGGTTGAGAAATTCAGAGTTTTACAAACTTAAAAATACTTTGTGACTCTTTGACAAGTGAAATCTTTTTCATTGCCCTATCAATAAGAAACCTAAATTTATTTCTTATAGGTTTTCTAATACTTTTAGTTTTTCTGCCCTTTCTTCCAGAATTGCTTCAATTTTTAAAATCTAAATGAGTTTTTATGTTGATTATGTGATTGTTGTATTTTAAATGAGTGCAATTGTTAATTATACGCTCATTCTTAGTGAGACTGTACAATCTAATTCAATTGTGTACTTACTCATAAGAAATAAATTATAGTTTAGTTTACTACAAGACTTTCCTGTGGAGCTTTGTTTATTAATTTTGCACCTCCAAAGACAAAAAAAAAAGGAACAACAACTTGAATTTTGAAAGAGAATGACACACTTTATATGCTATTGCCTATAGTGGTTATAGCTAGGGTTGGCTGTTTCTGATTGGGTGACCTCTTCATCCTATCGCTGGAGTCATCTAACAAGAAAACTACTTTCTGAGAAAAACAATTCAAAATATCTAAATTTATTAAATTCTATGAACTTAAAATCAATGAAAGGAATGAAATCACTTCACTCTATGCTTGATTACTTCACGTAAGTCCCTTTCTCAATTTCAAGAGGTACAATGTTCATTTCTTTCTGAAGTTCCTCTAAAGTTTGGTCCCAACGCTTTTCAAAATATAAGTTAAGAAGGAACTTGCTCTCCCACCCAGTTCTAATAGCCCAGGGTAAATACTCGGAGATGTATTTTTGCCGCTGTCTGAAAATCCCAAGGTACACATCAAAATTAGACACCATAACTGCATTTTGATCACAGAAGAAATTTTTTTGGAAGTTAAACATAAGTCCAGAAAAGAGCGTCATGTAGAAAACCATTTCAGAAGTGTTCTGCATAAATTGTGTTTTACTTACTTTTTTGAAAGACGAATTGAACCAAACAGCGCTCCTCCAACACACATGGGAAGTTTAGTTTGGATAGCCTCAACCCACTTGACAGTTACCTCACCTGCAACATTCAGGATAGAAATAATTGTCCAAAACTCATAGTTAATACTTCCAACATTATTTAATCACAGGTTAGCTTCACCTAACATATTTGTTCTCATTTGAAGAATAGTATGAATCAAATCATGCATTTCCCTGTATCTCTGCATAACATATGCCAGTTCAACATCATCCACAAACTGAGTAGTTGCTCTTGAATCTGGAGAAACATTCTGTAACAGACCATTTCAAAGTCACTACAAAAATGAAATTGAAGCAAATTCAGAAGGCATGAATCCATGAGAATGCACAAAAAATGATTGTTGACACTTACATTTACAGTGAGAAAATTAGAATATGCTCTACCTAGAGTGCCTTCTGGCATTGATTTAAGCTTCGATAGATTTATCGTTTTAGAAGTAAGGCGAGGCCTCTCACTGCAAAACAAAACATTCTAAATACAGCGGCAATATTCTTGAACTCTGGAAAGAGGGACATAAAGCAATTACAGTCACCTCAGAATTTTTCTCCCCTCCTCATCATTTTCCATGGTCTGTAACATCATTTGTAATGCACAGGATCCTGTAGTTTCTCCTAATGTTGCAATCATGTCTGCAAGGCAACAAAAAGAAAAACAATAACCACGCTGCTGAATTGTTGAGTAAAGAGCACATTTGATAAATACCTCCTCTAGATGGATCCGTAATAGATATTCCAGCTGAGCCTATGGAGAGAAACACTCGTTGGAAAAGAGATGTTGGGATGTGATTCGAAGCAAACACACTATCAAAACTAACATCTCCATTATCACATTCAGAATCAGAATGTGTTTTCTGCTGAGTTTCTTCGTGTAACACTAGTGGTGCTCTATGAATGAAACGAAATACCAATTCTTGGTATCGTTGACTTTGTCTTGCTAAGGTCAAAGCTGAAATACGTAAGGAAAACATAAAGGCACTTCAAGTTACAAGTGTTAACTTTGATTTTTTTTTTTAATTTAATGGAGAGTTTTAGAAACAAATAATAAAGACTTAGATTCAGGATATAATTTTTAAGGACATTACAACCAACTTACCAGAATGTCGGCTTGACAGAAATGACATGATTCCAGCTAGAAAATGAAAAAGATGTGAAACTTTTGCCAATTTAAACTGATTTGCGAAAAGGTTTTTCTGGTTTTATCACGAACCCTTTAAGTTCAGCTTTCTGCTTGGTTTCTGATCTAAATTACGTCACTCTTCCCCTCACCTCCCCCTCCCACACTGGCGTGCAAATAAATACATGTAAACACCACTATTAACAGAATATTCTGCGAATAGCAGCAGTGTTTTTCTTACGTACAGATATAACCTAACCTCAAATTTCATGTGGTGGTAGGCAAGGCAAGCTCCTCCACCTTGAAGTTTGATCGAGTAGGAGTAGAGTAGTTTCCCCGTCAACTGCATCGCAAGTGAGTGCTTTGTCTTCTCCTTATAAGGTTACACAGGTAAACGGTCTAGCGATCGTGGTCCCGGCTTAAAGAGTACTGGGCTGCAACTACAATTTTTCTCTTGATTTGTTTTTCAAATAGCTGTTACTGTTCCAGGTTCTGTTAAGATGATAACCCCTCGCTTTAACATAGATCAAACCGAGACTGATCTAATCTTCACAATTCAAGCTCCCTATGCTAGTATTGCTGATGCTGAGATCTACGCAGACTTGGATACCTTCTGCTTCTATGCTTCACCATATTACCTGCGGTACTATATATTGTAATTTTAGACAAAGTCATCAAGTCAAAGCTTTGCACACTTTCACTTCTATTCGTACTTTTCAAATCCAGAGTCCATCTTTCTGGTCACATTGAAGAAACGGATGCTTCTAAGGGAAGCTATGATGCTGATAATGGAACATTTACCATATGTGTTCAAAAAGTCAATAAGGGGGAGCATTTCCAAGATCTGGATTTCCTCACTGCACTTCTCACTCCTAATCAATCTAAAAAACATGACTTATCCCGACCTGTTGTTGAAGTCATCAGCAATGAAAATTTAGATTCTGTGGAGGAAGATTGTAGTGATGGAGAAAGTAATGAATGGTATATTGAGCAATGCCCATATGAAGAGCCCTCAGAGGCTTTTTTACTCTCAGCACCTCATTATGGATTCGCCAACAAAATATCTGGAGCGTTTCAAAATTTTAAAGTAAGGCTACCCTATACACACACTTATTTTATTCTGAACATAACGTGAGGCAGTAATTAATGTTGAGTTTGTATGGTTTCAGACTGAGTTTTTAGAAGTGATTGATCTCCCTGATCCTGATCAAACACCAATATCCGAGAGATCAAAGCTGCGCACCGAACGTGAACTGGAAGATTTTAGTGATGACCATTATTTAGCTGACTGGGCCCAACCAGATATAATTGAACCAATGTTAACTTTCAAAGCACTGTGGGAAAATGGCTCTGAAGGTAAAACCCTAAAAAGAAAAAACATAAAAAAATAACATTGAAAATTAATTTAGTTGCTTATGATCTTTGGTTTTGTCTTTCAGCCTCCTTCTTGGATGATGAAAAAGATGTATTAAAAGACCTGCCAAAGAAGGAGTTCTTGTTGGATAAGCGAGAAGAGCATATGGTCAGCTTATCTTTAATTGACATACTTTATTCATATGCTTATAACGTCCGTTCGACAATGGGTGAAAACACTGTAGAATCAGCCTGGGCAGTTAATAAATTGAGCGGGACTCTAAGCTGGTTAACGGTATTGAAATCTCACCTTTTCAAATCATCCTTTTTTATCCTATATGTTTTGGGGTGTTCTGTTATTATGTTCTGACTTGAACTTTTTCCAGAGCTTCAATACACTGAAAGAAGTAGTAATCGTTGCTGTACGCAGAAGCTTGTGTTACCCCCTCTATAGACACTGGGACCTGTCCATGAAAGTTTTGGACGATGTCAAGAGAATATTAACATTAGGTAACCATTAGTGTTTCACTGTGTTCTTGCAAACTTTATCTCCCTATTCCCTCCCTCCCTTTAGCTGTTTTTGTTATTCATTCTTTCTTCTTTTCCTTCAGGGAAAAAACAAATTCTAAAGAGTTTATTGGAACTTCATGCACTGTTTAGCAACAGTGAGCCACGCTATATTTTAAATCAACTTTACATCAGAGACTATTGTATATGGATTCAACATGTTTCAGATTCTTTTCTCAAGTCACTCTTAGTTGCTATCAATAAGGTATAGTTCATTAATGAATCCGTACACTGCACTTCCAGTGAAAAATTATTATTTAACAAAACTGCTGTTCAAATTTCAGGTTGAGCTAAGTAAAGCTGATGTTGCATTGGATTTGGAGGAGCTTGAAACAGCCGCCAGACTGGTACAAATGGAGGAAGAAGCTTCTAAAATCATCCACAAGAATAAAAGTGAGGAATTAATATGCAGGGAAATTTCTTCTCTCATTATCTCCAAAGACAACACTGATGGAAGCAGATCTTCATCTGGTACTTCAGATTCTGAAGATGACTCCTCTTCCTCAGACAATGACGACAGTTCATCGAGTTCTTCTTCAGAATCTGATTTGGATTCTGATGACCTATCAGATATTGAACCTAACATAACAGCTGTCTAGTGGATCATTTCCCTCTCTTCCCCTTCTCATTAAAAATATCAGGATTATTATTTTGTCTTAGTTGTGTAAAGTTTTAAAAACAATTTTTAGAGGTTTAAATCTTTAACCATTAATGGTGTTTTAACCATTATATTTTGAAGCATATTACGTATTTTTATCATGTGAGTTAAGCTTGAGAATTATCTGCTTTAGGCGCTAATTTGAAATTGAGCCATGGTAGCAGTTTTCTGTAATGGTCAATTATTTTAACTTTGAGTATGTTAGTTCTTTCATATTCCTCTTCACCATTTTCAATTTGCTGTTGATACCAGTCGAACAACTTTTGAGTTTCATTGACCAATTTCTCCATGGAAGTGTCACTAGCCTCATAAGAATTCGAGTTCTGTAAAAGGTCATTGTTTGAAGATTGACTGCAATCTAATGAGGCACAATACGCAGGTGTACCTTTTCCTTTACGCTTCCTTTTCTTTCTCTTCTTTTTTTCTTTGGAATGGTTTTCTTGGTGAACTACTTCTACAGACTGTTCTGTACTTTTTATAGATCCTCCAGACATGATGCTTTGGTTCTGGTTCTCAGACCAATCCCAGTTTTTGATGTGACCAAGATAGTCTTGTGATCCTAGTTGACTCTGTCCATCCTCTGGTTTTGGCATTTGAGAGTTGTTATAAATTTTTACATGTTCTCCATTTGCAATAACTTCAAGTTTTTGACCTTCAGGTTCACTTGTTTTCTGATCTCTTTTTCTTGGTTCAGTACTTCTTTCCAGGGAATCAGTATCACCAAGGTTTAATGTTGTATTGTGCATTTGTAAGATTTCTTGAGATTCTGAAGCCTCAGTATTGTGTTTGAAGGACCCAGGCAAACCATTCCCATTTTCTCTCTCTTTAGTAACTTCTTGAAGCCTCTGTGCTTCCTTTGTATTGGTCTCATTTCCATTAGCATTGCTTTCTTGTCCTGTGTAAAGCCTTAAGTCTGTTTTGTGATCGTTGCAGACTTTAAATTGACACTGAACTAGGTCTGTTGTATCGGAAGCTAAAGTTTGTCCAGCCTTTCCCTCCTCTGCAACAGGTGTTACCTGTGGTCAATGATCAAATAAAATTAAAAAATGAGTTTCTTGGTGGCCCTTCATTTTAATAAATTGATGAAGTTCACTTACATTTTGAGCTTTTTTACACAAGCCACATGGATTGTCTTTGTAGGTTGATAGAATAGCAGCTTTGACATAAGGATGGGTAAGTTTACTGAAGGGAGATATAACTTGATATGCTATGCGTCCACATCTGCAAAGAATCAATAAATATTAATTAGAGTTATTATTTTTTTGCCATTTAGTATTGCATGGAAAGACCTTGTCTTACCGATCTAGGACGAGAATGTGATCATTTCCAACTCCCAGAATATCCTTCACAGGTTCACTTGACTGCTCCTGATAGACAGGTATACTGGGAGCTTCATGTTGCAGAAGTTCTGAGTTTTCAGATCCTAACATGGAATTAATGACCATAAAATTAATGGCTGGAAATCCAGCCAGGTAGAAACGGTTGCGAAGCAGGTTCAGCCTGAAAAGAAAACTGAATTAAGTTACAGCACTTTAATTAGTTGTACTCTGAATGTATGTTTCTGGTTAATCTGGGTCCCTGCTTCTGTTTTACTTCTATCATTCTAGGCATATTAAACTATTATGGTTCTCAAAAATTAAACTTACATGGCTGCTTGTTGCCGCCCAAAGGGCCTGCTTGAATTTAAGAGAGCTATGACAGTTATATTCTGCCCAATTAAGCTTATGGCTCTATCACCACCAATAGTCCAAGTGGGAACTGGAGTGCATTGGTCAACAAATGTTTCTTGAGTATGGACATAAGGCCTCACTTTTGATGATTCCATTACTGAATTTGCGAAGCTCGCAAGTCCAAGAAGGAGCAACCAAGAGGCTTGGCTCATCATCCTGAATGAAAAGAATCATGAGTATACTTTAGCAGTTCTTACAGATATCATCTTACACTCTCTTTTTTATTGGTGGAGCAGTGAGAGGGTAAAGAGGTGCTAACTTAAAGAAGAAATCATAGTCATTCTGACTCGTATTATTACAGTATTCTTTTTGTACAGTCTGATACAACACGAACTTTGACACACAATGTACTCACTCAGCAAAATTTTCACTGAAGGTGAAAGGTCAAACTGATGAGTGGCATACAGAACCTCTTGTAAAAACTAATCTAAAGAACAAATCCACAGCAAAACTTCCCTAAAATGTGTGATTTTAGTGACATTTGAATCACACTTTTAGCAACACATTCCACTACCAAATGAAAGGGTCCACAGATTGTAAGATCTTAAAATTGTTGACATACGTACAAAAACACATGCTATTTTTCTCTCTTAAAACTAGCATCGATCGCATGAGCTGCATAGCAAATTTTCCATATGTTCTGCAAGCAAATGGTAATCCTAGACTCAATTACAGTCTGCAATGGCACAAACCTGTACAAACGGAGGCATCCTCAAGATGCTGCCTACAATGTCTGCTCTGCACTGAAATGACCCTACTCTGCAAGATTAATAGTGATAATGAGAAAGAGTTTGATGCAATAACAAGTGATCATTCTCACAGCCATCTACAAATCAGCAAAACCCACATTTCATTTTTCAGTGAAGTAAACATAATAAATTTAGTAATAAATAAATAATTAAAATGCAAATATCACATGAGTCAGGAATAATGTTCTATTTTAATCACAGTTCGTTTCTTATATTGTTTACTGTTATCACTTTAAGCAATTGTTTCAATGTTTCTGCAATATTTGTATAGTACATATCGGTATCGTCCGCTTTATTCTCGGACTCACTGTGACTTAAGCAATCTTCAGAACTGGTGCATTCTTCTTCAATTAGTTGCTTTTGAAGTACTTCTTCCCGAATGCTTAAGTCTTGATACCACGATAAGAAGTTGCGAAGAACTTTTTCCAGTTTTTCATCACTTCGAAATTCATGAAGACACAGGTCCTTCATGACGAGTAATGTATCAATGACCTGCAATCGAATGAAATCGATAAGTGACATATGTATTTGTTAATGAAAAGCAGGAAAGCAGATAGCTTCTACCTTTTCTAATACATCATGTTCTGGCCTGTATGGCAAGTCTTTGGAAATAATTGATCCTAGATCATCTCTTCTCTGTGTTCTTCCAGAATTAGCTCCACTTTCGTGAAGCTTTGACAAAAATACTGAAAGTCTGTGGCACCAACCATCTTCCACAAGTCTCTTTTCAAAATTAATGCTATTATACTGTCGAAGCTTCTCTTTGAGTTCGCCTCTCTTGTGCTGATGTACTTTTTGAGTTACTTCTGATGTGTCTGAGATGTCAACCTGTTCATTTTCCTCAACAGCTTCCCTCACAGATACGCGTTCCAAAAGTAAATCATTAATTAACGTAATGACTCTCATCTGTAGAAAATAATTTGGTATTAGTGACTCAAAGTCCAAAAAGAATATTCAAGCTTGAAATGAAGGGCACTAGTTTTACCTTCGTTTTTAAGTCATATGACTTCTCATCATCAATAACAACCCTGAGGGATTCTAATCCACCCTCCTCAATAAGTTTCACTTGAGCTGCGGGAAACTGCCTTGTCAAGCATGATAATGCATAAATAGCACGAGCATGGACAGTTGCATCAGGATCTAATACTATTGCTTTCACCAGCTTTGGCATAATTCCAGCGTTTAGGACAGCAATTTGCACCTACACAAGAAAATATAACTTATGATAATTGATAGTTTATCAATATAGACAAATTTACAAAAACAAAACATTGATACCTTTGGATTACTTTGAGTTGCTGATCCAAGCAACCACAAAGAATCTGCTCTAACTTTAGGAGAAGTAGAATTTAAGGCTGGGACAACGATTTCCATCACCCTGCACCAAAAAACAGAAACAAAATATAATAATGGTAGGATAAAATTCAGATATACTTTGGACGTAGAGGTTTACCCGCCAAGTCTTATAAACTCTCTTGCATTGTCAATTTGATGCACCAAATATTCTAGGTCTTGGAGGGTGCTGACAATTTCTTCATCATTATTATTTTCATTAGAATGCAGACATTGTTTAGCTTTCACAAACAGATCCTTTAGGATTTCCATGTCTGTTTTGACAGTAATATTAAGGGACCCAAATTCATTTTTGAGCTCTTCATACGACCGATACTTCTCTTTAACATTCTGCAATAAATAAGTAATAAATGTAACAATTAATTATTTTTTTTACTGCAAGCAGACAGTGTTTGGTGGATCTACCTGTTCTTGTGAAATGTCTGAATCTTCACGAACATCATCGCTAGTGATTCCAGCTAATACTTTCTTTAATTCATCTTTGCTCATGTACGATGTGTTGTCTGAATCATCAGCCTGCTCATCTGCAGGTACTGCAACTAAACCAGTTTTATGATCAGCTCCAGTGGGCTCAAGGAGCTTTACTTCTGTCTCTCCGGTATTTATGTTCAATCTGTAGTGAAGACCGGAAGGAAGCGGCTGACCTGAAAAAGATGATTGCCTTAACATATTACACCATGGAGTAGGGTCCTACTCTCATGATTACACACATACAGAGCACAGTACAGTTACCCTTTAGTTTATTTGACTTTCCTCACCTTTTTCTACTTTTTGCCATTCATTGGTGGCGACAAATTGACTGGAGGACTCACTTTTACCTTCCTTGTCAGATGTAACCTTTGCAAACAGATCTTGACATAACAGTGCCACTAAGGCAACATTGAGAAACAGATTCGCAATCCACCTCATTTTTGACCTCGCAAATCGCAACTGATCAGCAACTTAGCAAAGACTGAACTGAGGTAACCCAAGCGCCAAGCAGAAGCACTACCTACACACACGACGCTGAGCCACACTTGCATCACCTGTTGTCATGGATACAACAGCTGATCTGGACCAATGGCAGAATGGATGATGGCTTAGCCAGCCAATCACGTTCCGGAACGTTTCCGCTGTGATCTGTTCTTGTCTTTTTTTTGTCGTTTCCGACCACTGAATTTCTCATCTGCGGTACAACAGCTGCTCTACTCAACTGCCGCCAAATTTAACCTGTAGCTAGATATTGTATTTGTCACAATCGGGAACCCATCTCTATTTTAACCCATCTTATTACGATTCATTCACCAAACACGGTACTGCTTTAGGTGCTTCAGTCTTATTTGAATTTTCTTTTCCTCTGGATATGGATTGGATGTGGATTTGAACGATGTCTAACCTATCAATAGTGGCAGTGCTGAGGAAACAACATTGTTGACATTTCTGCTGTCCTATTCTCACGCTCATACAGATGTCTGGAAAGGAGGATGACAATGGAAGCGATCCTTCTGTTGCTCTTCGTCAATCTTACAAACAAACTATGTCTCCATCATCTTCTGAACCTTTCATCTTCCAGCAGTATACTATACGTGAAACAGTCACTCCAACTAAGCTAGGTAAGGAATGTTTAAGGAGCAACAATATAATCTTGTTGGAAAATAAAATTAACAAAGTATCTTTGTTTCTACTTTAGGAAGCATATCAGTGAAGGAAGTGTCATTTAGCATGTCCAGTAGACAGGGTGAGGCCAAAGCGTCAGCTCTCAATTTATCATTTTTATCTTGTGCTAGTGCTTCACCCAGGAAACAACAGAAAAGCAGATATCTACCCATGTTGCTTCAGAATCCATCATCATCGTCTACACATGTGGCAGAATTTTCAGAGAGTTCAAATGGACCTATTGAAAAGTCTCATTATGTGAAACATCGACACCGAATTGCAAATCCCCACAAAAAGGTCAAAATTGACTGTGCCTTTTATGATCAAAAGAAATCCAGGAGCCGTCACAAACATTCTATCAATTTCAGCCCTAAAGATCAGGTATGGGTTGAGTTTACTTGAACATGTACACTTACAACAGACCACATGTAACTCATTCACCTGTTTTATTTCATAAGTTTTTCTTTCTCTTTCTGTTTAGGAAAAGGAATCTAAACAGTTACATTGGAAGTACATCTTTATCATTTCTCTTGTGCCTCTTTTAGTATTATTGGTCCTACTTAGGGTTTTCTGGCCAGTGAATGAAGAAAATATTGTGATGACAAACTCACTTTCGCCGAGTGCAGAGGAGTTAATGTCTGCAAATTTAGAACCTCTTCATTTTACCCTAAATCAGCAAGTCTTTGGTCAGGGAGCTGCTATATCGTCTTTGCTCAATATTTTGGATGGTTTTATTAACAAGGTAAACAATACATTTCTCTTTCGTTCCTCAATTCAGTTGTTCAGTTTTCTTACTGTTTTTTTTTACTATCCTTTTGCAGGATATGTTGAAGAATAAACAAATGCCTGTGATTTTGTTGAGTGGATCCACTGGAGTAGGAAAGTCCCTCATCTCATCTATTGTAACAGATAAGTATCCTGCCCCAGGAAAAACTACTTTAATTCATTGGCCAACATCCTCACCTGAACAAGTTTTGAAGAAGTTTGGTGAAAGTCATCTGAATCTAGTCGGGGTTGACAGTCTTAATCTCAGCTCAATAACACAGGCATTTAACTGGACAAAGAAACTCTTCAATGAGGCTTTGTGGCAAAATAAACCAATAATTGTGATGCTGTCACTGAATGTTCAGGTGAGTAATAAATGGCAGTAAAAGCTTTGTTAGACTTCTAATGTTTTCCTGCATATCTTTCTGTCTTTGGTTTAGCAGGTAATGAATGGGGACTTCACTGATGAAGATATTAATACTCCTGGGAGTTTTAGAGCACAGGCTGATATTTTATACAAAAAATTGCAGTCTTTTGGGTTTGATTCATATCACATTCATTTGAATGTTCTGACTGCAGATAATGTAAAAGACTGCATTAGAGTAGCATTTAAAAAAAGAGGTTTGCTGATTGATCCTCTCTCTGAGAGATATATAGCTAATATCAGTGAGCATATAAATTACAAGCTTGAGGGCTGCAAGTCAGTTTGGAACAGCTCTGCATCTGTTGTGTTTTAAGTCGTCGTTTTCCCCCCCCCAATTGTATTTTTTAAAAATCTGTGTATGCCTCCTGTCATACTTTTCCTCTGTTTTTATGCCGTATCGTAACTTTCTGTTGATGTCCAGCAACTATCAAACTAAAAATAAAGTGGATTGAAATTGTTTTATGGTCATTTTATTTCTGACTGGTCAGAATGCACAAAAATTAGATACAATCCTAAACATTAAAAGCTGTCAGTTTTGTCACAGTTAAAAGTAGAACAGAACACAGAAGGAGGTGCTACTTGATAAAATTTAGAGAGTAACAGAAATTAGTAAAGCACACTGAGATAATTAAGACTAGATTAGGAGAAAAGAAGCCTTTCTTTGAGTTTAAGACAGGGATGTCTAATAATCCAAAGAGGCATTTCCTACAGACCAACTATAAACAATCAATAAATGAAAAAAGGCCCCAAAGGGAACATGATAGCTTAACAATACAAGGGAGCTACTTCCCAACTACTTACACAGGTGTGCAATGGCTGCTTTATTGTTAAAACATAGCCATTAACAGTTAAATGGGGCAAATATAAAGTACATCCTCTGACTACAGTAAAGAAAAAAATGGAATCCAGCGACCTCAAGAGAAAGGAATGGCTTACAGTAAAGTCGACATATCTACAGGCAGAGCCCTGAAAACACACACAAGGGAAAGTCCAACTAATAATATGGCCAGTGATGTAAAGAACCATGATCTGTGTATTCACTGTTTTAGATTAAAAACTACACAAAAGCAAAAAAAATTATGCAACACTAACTGCTTGCAAACTGACAATAAGGAATAACAACATCTGTGAAAAAAAAAATTGTAATGTGAAAACTCCTTCAAAAGAGCTTAAGCTCTTGGGACTTCCTTTGTTGAAATAAAAAAAAAAACCACAAAATATTTAGCTGAGATTGAAATGAAGAAATGATAGCAAACAACACTAGAAACAGATCTATTGGAAATAAGATATACTAATTTTCAAAATGCAATTTAGATCTTAGGACTACAGTGTCTCTATCTCCCAAACCAATTAATATAATTTCCAGTCTGCCGTACCTTACAGTGTGAAAATTTCACAACATTTACAATCTACTGATCACAAGAGCGTCTGAGCCTCAAGCATCTCAGTTTTTCATCATACCTCCATATGTTTTTGCGCAGAAACCAGCTGGTACCGTTTTCAAATTGGGGTAACATGCAGACGTGGTTTCAGTTGCAACTGGGGTGAAATCATGCAACTGCATTCCATTGTAAGTGGTCTCAATGCGGTTGATATCTTGAGGATTGGATTGCCTACCAGAGATGTCCTCCCGATTAATTTTCTGAAGCTGTGCTTGCAAGGGCTGTAGCAACTGAGGCTGCATTTGCTGCAGTTGAGGCTGAATTGAAGCCATTTGTGACATTGCCTGCTGATGAAGTGCTAGCTGTAGCGGTAGCTGAGACGACACCTGCTGAGGAAGTTGCCTTGGCATCGTGGGCGGAGTCTGCTGTTGAGGTGGTTGGGGTGTCTGGCCCAAGGTTTGAGGAGTATTGTAGGCAAAAGCATTATGTCCCCAAACGTAGGTTTGGTTACCGGCATGTCCAACAAATGTGGAACATGGACGCAATCTGTAAGTAAGAGTTTTTCTTCCTTGGTTTGCAAGGGGATCAGCCAGGATACCACACACAGGGGCGTTTTCGCTGCCTAACATTGAAAGTGGCGAAGCGTATGACTGATAGAAGCCAGGTGGCATGGTTTGCGTAGCAAATCCAAATCGTGCATTATTGGTGTTTCCCAATTCAGATGGAATTTGGGGAGCATTGGCTGATTTATGAGGCTGCGGCTTCTCAGCAGATGGAGATGTGATGGTTTGCTCTGACGGTACCTGAAACAAAAACAAAACCATTAAGTGCTTGTTAAGACTGGAGACTGAGATGGCACATGCAGCTTTGGTTTGGGGGAGGGGGGAGGGGGGGACTGTAGGCAGAAGGGAAGTACCTGGGAGCCTTGGCTTGCTTTTTAGCAGAAAACTAGAGTCTTTATAAAAGCCACCCCCTGGGGAAAGGGGAAAAGCACAAAAGTATAAATGCAAAGTAAAAAAAACAGGGGGAAAAATATTGCTCACAAAATGGCAAAAACAAACAACCACTAACAAAAAACATCATCTAACATGGAAAAAATGAGTAGAAAAATTATTATAGGCAAAAGTTAACTACCTATTAAGAATAAATTAACAAATATCACTTACTGAGCTTGGAGCCACCCCAAGCTTAGCAATATTTCCAAGAATGTTGAATGTTGTATTCAACGTAGCAGATATTATAGTCATGAGCTTCTCTGGTAGTATAACTATAGGGTCATCAGCTAATTGACCACATCCTTGTTCCAGCTTCAGCTGTTTCCGTGCGTCCATTTGTGTTGAAACCATCTTTACTTCTTTCCGAAAGTTTTGGTAAACCTTTTCTAAATCTTGGTGAGTCTTTCCAGCAGTAATTGCAAACTTTTTGAGAAATTCTGGCATTGTTGGGGAAGAATCATCTACATGTTTTGGAATGGAGTCCATCAGCTGCTTGCACATTTGAACCCATTTGCGGAGTTCAGTGTCAACATGATCCACTTCATTCCAGAGCTTGAGCTCGTGAGCTCTAGAGAATGGTGTTTGACTGTTTGTAGTTGCTCTTATTCCACTGACGGTTGCTGGGTTTTCTTGAAAGGAGGCAGGAGAATGACGCTGCTGCAGAAATGACTGTGACAAGCCAACAGCTTGAGTCTGCTGAGCCTGAACCGCTGCTCGATGGGCAGCTCGAATAAACTGCTGATGCTGAGCTTGAACAGCAGCTTGGGCAGTTTCAATAAAACGCTGAGCAGAAAAAGTTTGAAGAGTTTTCCGAGCTGGCTGTGGCAATTTCAACAATGATGGTGGCGTCTGCAAAAGAGCCTGCTGCAAAGGCTTCTGCATTGGCTGCAGGTGCTTGGGCATTGTAGTAGCTTCTGGAAATTGCATATATGACACAGAGCCAGGTGCTGTGGTGCCAGTCAACAGAAACATGGGCTGATGGCGGGACTGTGCGGAATATACAGGCACTTTAGAAACCATTTGTGGATTAGGATGTGTTAAGTTTACCATGTTGTACTGAGCCACATTTTGTCGAGAGGGTGGCAGGTCTGTCTGGAGATATTTTTCCTGCACTCCATCCATTATCAAATTGTTATTTTGTTCAAATCTTTTCCTTGTCTGAGTATATTCCTGTTGTTTGATCACCTCATCTGACCTATGAACATTATTGCCAGATGAGTCCAAGAAAGCTCGTGGGTATGTACTAGAGGAAACCTGCTTTTCACTGTCAGCACTAGTTTTGATTTTTCCAGCATCAAACTCTTCAGCATACTCTTCACGATAGTTACAATCACAATTATGTTCCTCCTCGTCTTCCTCCTCCTCCTCTCCTTCTTCTTCTTCTTCCTCCTCCTCCTCCCCCCCAATTTCCACATAATCCTCCTCAATTTCCACTTCAACTTCATCATAATCTTCATTGTCAGAAAAATGGCCATCTATTGTGTCATGGGAACTGTTGTATTCCATAGGAGCTATCAGAGACTTTATGATAGGCTGATTGTCCTAGGAAAACATCAGTTTTTAAGGTTAAAGCAAATGTTTTTGGTTCATGACAAAAAACATTTGGAGTGGGAATCTTTTACAATACAGGAATTTTGCCTAGCTATACATACTATTCTCAATCCAAACTGCTAAGTTATATGCCATTATAGCTTACCTGTTTTGGAGTTAACTGGTTCATCTTCAACAGTTGACTATTTATTTCTGGTTTCTTGTTCTGAAAACTGTTTGCGTTTTGTTGAGGCTTTTCACATTTTGCAACCACATCATAGTTTGAGACTTTCCCCATTTTCACTTTGAGGCTGGTCTTCATATGCTTCATCTCTTTAGTGACTTTTTTGGGTGCTGATCCTGTTGTTTAAAAAGACAAGAAAATAAGCATTAAACAAGAGAGAGAAAGAGAGAGACGGAGAAAGAAAGGAAACACTTTGTCAATTTACCTTTTTGGATAGCAACAACATCAAAACATGAAGGAAGAGGTACATCAACAAAATCCTCTGTGGATTCATCCGATTCACTTTCAGTTACACTAATTTCCCCAGAGTAAATACTGAGGTTGTCATCATCGCCCTCTTCAAGATAAGAGCGAGGTTGTAGCATTTCTTCATCCTCACTCAAAGGCACAGCCTCATCAAACTAGAAAGAAAACAAAACAATTAGAAACATTCATTTTCAAGACAACTACAATGTACTTAAAAAATTTACCTTAAGCCTAGCCTGTTCAGAACGGTAGATTGCTTTTGAAAGTCCCTTGTGTACTTGCGCATTTAGGCTGCCAGCGCAGGCTGAGTAGTTGTGGTCAGACTCAGTGTGCCTGGAGAGGGAAAATGATTTTGTTGATATAGGTATATGTTCTTTCAAAAAGGTTGTAGTTTGACTATTTTTAAAACAAATAAGTAAGGACTTACTCTTTCAAGTTTGCTAATGCACCCTTTCCAGCACAATTTTTTTCAGAAATGAGTGAAGCATTGAGGGATGTAATCAGATCATTCATCTTTTTTTGCTCAGCTATGTAAGGTTCCAAGAGCGACTCAAAATCATTCATAAGTTCCTTCTTGAACTGTAAGAACAAACAAAATTGTCATGCATCAAAGTAATTGCACAAGATTTCAAGATTAATCACATAAGAGTAGGTTTTATACCTGATGCAAGTAGTTTTTCAACCAAGTATGAGATATTCCATGCTTGCTGACCGTGACAGAACTTTCATCTGCTACAGAATTCCTAAGGGGGGGAAAAAAAGGGTATAAGTATTGAAAATTCAATACCATCCATTCATATCCAAAAAATATGACCATTTCTCATTTGGATTCAAGAAAAAGTAATGATTAAATTACTTACTTTAGTGATAGTTTTGGTTCAGATTCAGCCCTGTTTGCAAAGGAGCCTTTCTTAGCTGCGGATGCATCACCCAGCTTAGCAGCTACTTTTACTCTCGCTACCTTTGACGGTTTCTTGGTCCTCTTCTTATCATACTTTTGCAATTCCCCTGTCTCAATCCTCATTGATGTAAACCGGCCCTTATCAGTGCGTTGTCCAATCAGCTGCACACACAAAAATAAAAACAAAATTACAAGGAGATATTCCGATAGATAATAAGTGTGTTGTAAAAATCATAGATCACAAACCTTTAGGGCTTCTTTGAATTCAACATCACTGTCAATTGGCAGCTGCAAGACACAAGAAAACACAACCCTTTAGTAAAAGATTAGGAAGTCAAAATTCTTTACTTTAATGTACGTCACACACCTCATCATCATCACTGTCTATGTAGAAAATCCGTGACACGGGTTTCATGCAGTGCGAGGCCTGAAAACAAACGATCCAAAACAAGTTGAGAATTTGGGTTACCAGCCACTTGTGTGTAGCCCAAAACAAGCACAACACCACAGACCATTTTAGCGAGGACATCGGTGTAACAGTCCTTATCGTCGATGAAAAAGGCCCCATCAGTTTCCTTCATTAGTGGATGCTTAGTGGCTCTTTTGTGGGCAACCAGCATTCTCACATTCCTGTTCCTGTAGTTGGTGTTATAGCAACTTTTGCCTGCGCTCGGTGCCATTGCCCGAGGCAAAATATTAACGATTTGGGCACTCAACTGTCTGGAATTGAACAGCAATAGATTTAAAAATCAAACCATTGGATTAAAGCACACTCAATATACCAAAGTTCCTACTCATTTTCAGGCATCTCGCGACAATAACAAACAAAATCAGAAGAAGCAGTAGCAGACGGACAAAACACCACTACCAACAATAACAACAAAAACAAAACAAGGCCAACCCACCATGCCTGCCAACGTACAGGCTATAAATTTGCAAACCCGAATTTAAAGAAAAGGGGACTTTCGTAAAACAGAAAATTGAACTCTGCCTGCCTGGTTACTCCATTTGTACGACTGAACTAGAACGGACTCGCCACCTTTGCTTGAGGACTCCACGGACCCCACCCCACCCCCTTCACTTCCCTCCCCCGTCGCCGTCGCGCCGTCGCCATCCTTTTGGCACTCTTCTGAGCCCTCACCAGCCGTCACCTCACACTGCACTCTCTTTAGTTTCTCTGTGTCCCGCCGGAGACTTACCCGATCCCACCCGAGGGTCGGGACACTGCGGGACACTCCTGACTCCCCTGCGTCGCAATAGGTGGGCGTCGAGTCAACACAGCCACCCCCAGTGTGCGCTGCGCTCCTGTCGGTGCCTGGAGCTCGACTGCTGGGCTCGGGCTGGGGGCAGCTCGGGGCTCTACTTGGGGCTGGCGGCGGAGCGGCGGGCTGGCGATGCCGACCTACCCTTTGGCGCTGCCCCTGCTGCCACCGCGCCCCTGGCAACGCGCAGCTCGCACAGCAAAGCTCTCCTCACAACCCCTGCCGCCCCTGCCGTGCCCCCTCCCCCTTTTCGCCCGCCCCCTCGACGGAACGGACATTGATTTTCCTTCCGAAGCGTGCAGCCTCCCGTCCAGCAGCCGCTGTCACCACGGCTAGCTAAGGCCCCGAGTCTACCTAATGTCCTCCCCGTATGCATATGGACCATATGGTGCTGCGGAACAGCACGTCGCACAGTTCATGGTGGGCACCTCCAGGGTATCCAGCGGGGGGCTCGACGGCCATGTCCATCCTCCAACAAAATGAAACATTAATGTGATGTAATTCACTTTTCTTCCCTCTTTTAAATCATCACGTGGTAACTATTCACAAGAAAAATGCCAATAAAGTGACGTTGGACATAGACGGACACAAAACCAGTCTTTGACACCTCCGGGCAAGGGTGGGGAGAAAGAGAGAAAAAGAGTGTGCCAGAGAATGAGAGAAAGAATGGGGGGGGGTCATTGTTTTTGAGGAGAGTCCTTTGTTTCTTCCCTCAAGTTTGAAAGAAAACAAACATTGCGCCTGAGGCGCCTGGAAGGTAGGCCATTATTTCTCCTGCCGAACAGGCCGGCGGGGCGGGTTGCCTACTCCTTGCTTTGCAGGGGTCCTGAAGAAGAAGACGAAGCTTTATAACTCCACGCTGAACATATTTCAGGCGTACTTAAGAGGTGACTGCATCTGTTGCATTGGACAACAGAAGAGAGAATGGTGTCTCCATGGTGAGACAGCCAGCCCAGCCCTTCGCGAGCTCCACCTCCCTTTCACCCACCCTTTCACAACACCATGATAAAGGTAATACTTTTGGTCGTTAATGACTCTGTGGTTGTAAGGTACAAAACTTCTGAGATTTATCTGTTCTAGTACTTAACTACCAGATATTTCTCTTGTTCCTTTAAAATGGTCCTTGAAAACATTCCTCAAGTGCAGTTGCTTTACGTTGGTATGCCCTGCTCTGAAGTAGTATACGCTTCCGCTTCCTGCCTATCCGTTCTGTGTTTGAAACCGTTAAACGTCCGATACGAAAACGAGACTAGAAAGTTGTAAACATATTGTAGAAGATATTATCCGTCCACCTCAATGACCCTCAAGATGAAAACCAGTATTCGTTTCCCGAATTACGCATTATGATGTCTTCCCCATCTTTGGATGTAATCGCCAAAAGGCGTTACCACAAGCAAAAGCATCGCAAATCAAGGAAAAAATCATGTTTAGGAAGGGTTAAGTACCACAACACAACGAACATAATTTTTTGAACATTTGTTGACTTTTCTATGAACATTGGAATCATCCATTGCAGGAAGTACAGGGAAAGACAATTCCACCACCCAAGATCTCCAAGAGACTTACGGTCTGTATAGACATCAGAATCCTTCATTGTGTAAATCAAATAGGCTGTTACTAATTACCCTTTCTTTTTTGCATTAGAGTGGGTTTTGCTTTAGAGGTGCAGTTGTCACATCATCCCATTCTAGAAATCCGAGAGGTTGGTTTGGTTTTTCAACAAGCTGCCTGTTTATGTTTTTTTTTTTTTTTGTTATTTTATGTTTGAGTATTTTCTTTGATGTTAGGAGTAAATGCAATAAAAACACGGAAGAGTTCCACAGACTATGATTTGCATTGCCTCCTTAAAGCTGCCAAAAGTCATGTGTAAGCCTGTAAACATTTTACTTAAAAGCACAAAGTAAAATTGCAGTTCCAAATCTCATCCTGTAAACTTTTATAGGGTTTCAGATCATTCTCAGTCACCTTCAACTGGAATATCTGCAGCAGAAGACATTGATGATCCAATTGAAAATCATCCAAGTATTAGTAGTTATAAACAAAAGCCATCCAAACAGCGAGCATCCATAGAGATAGATGTTGATACTGGGACCTCATGTGGAAACAGGTAAGGGTATGTAGAAATAAATTAATACCGTCGGTTGAATAACTCCATATAATACTCTGTTCAGGGTGCCATTTGGACATGAAGAGCAGGATTCTGAAACAACAATGCAAGTTGAACAGGTGCCTATCTACAAACAAGATAATTCTGGCCATTTGCGCAAACAGTACCACATTTCCTCTGCCAAAGACCATAACACTGATTTCAACAACTCAAGTGAAAACAGTTCAACCCATGCAAAACCAAAGCCGCATATATCATCGTATCAAAAATTTGCAGTTGGTATTGTAGAAGAAGTTGTTTCTGAAAAGAAGAAGCAGTTCCCCAATCTTGGTAAAGTAACTTTTGTGTAATGTTTCTTTGAGTTGTAATGTTATAAGATACACTCTTTCAGTTTCCCCTTAGGTCTGTCAAAGCAAATTAAACAAGAGCTCATTAACATATATCAGAGAACGTATGTATGGTTGATAATTATTATTGGTGCTCAGCACTGAACACTTTACTTTCCACCCAGCAAAGTTATGATGAATTCTAACAAATTGTTGTCTTTTTCAGTAAAAATGCATCTGACATGACAAAGAATGCACCAGCCAAACAAATGCCGATCCCTCAATATTGTAACTCAGAACATTGTGAAGCAGAGTCAGAGAATCAACTGCTACCACAAACAAGAAAAGTTAATCCTGGAATACCAGACTACAAAAGTGGGATGGGCCAAAAATCATTCAAAGAAAGAACTGTGGAAGCTTGGATAGAGGCGATTCCCCAGGGTTCAGCTGACAAAAATGAGAGACTTCAGAAATATCAAGGAACCAAGCCAAAATGTGAAAGAAGCTCTAAGCAGACGGAAAGCGATTTTATGGAAAACGTCAAGAAGGGACACAATATATTCAAACCTTATTCATGCACTTCAAAGGAAGAGATTCCACCTCTATGGTTTACAGATGTAAAGTCTCCTTCGTTTTCGCCTTTCTTAAACACAGGCAAAAAAGCAGCTTCAGGACAGGTAGCATTACCACATGAGTCTCAAGATTCCCATAAAAACAAGTTGAACTGCATGAAATTGTAAGATTTTTAACACAAGGCTTGGAAATGCATACTAATTTTGTCATTTTTTTTTTCTTTTCAATTTTCTTCTGTTTTCCTTTTTTTTTCAAGAAACTTTAATTTCCCATTGGAGAAAGAGCAGCGGTGTCGAAATCCTCCAAGAGCTCTTCAATCATGGACAACATGGTTTAAAGGAAATGATGACATTGTGGATCAAAGACAGCCAGACAGTCCTATCTACCCCAGCCCCCTCTTCATGTTTGACCAACCTCCTTACAAGAAAACTAATGTTACCCTAAAGGTCAGTAAGCATGTTGTATCAACCTAATGTTTAGTCAGGCTTGTTTTTATAGACTTAACAACTTACTTCATAGGAGGGCTCTACATCTGTGGGCACTCACCATCAAACAAAAACAATTGAACATAAGTCATCTGTGTGGAGTCAATTTCCAAAGTTCCTGAAAAAGGATGAAAAAGAGGTATATAAAATCAAATGATAAGCTTGACTTAGAAATGGTTAAAAATAATGATATGCATATATTTTTTCTTTCCCTTTTCTTTCAATTACACAAACTAGGTATTTAAAGGCATTCATGGTCAAAAAGAAATGTTCAGTTACAACCAAAATGAATCAAAGTTGAAGGAGAATGTAGAACCCACTAGACATGAAAGAATTGTTAAGAATCAAAGCCCAGCATACATTCATTTCTCACCTAGAAAAATGTTCTAGTAAGCAGGAATACCAATGAGCCTAGTTTTAATATACAACACTGCAATACATGAATAAGACATAATTACAGAAAATTAATATGTTGCAGGATCAACTGTACAATAGAATTGATTGACTTTAATTAGCAAAGAGAGACCTAGGCAATAAGTACACTTGTTTCAGTGTACTTCACAAGTATTGATAATGAATTAACAACATAGCACCAAACTCAATAACTTTTGTAACCAGCTATATACACTATGAAATTATTTGACTAGCTATCACTTTCTTGCCGTTTCTGTTCTTGCTGTCTCCAGTATTCCTCTTGCAATTCTTCAAGATTACGTTCAAGGGCCTCAACTTCGTCTACCTTATGAGCTAATCTGAAAGCAAAATTACATAATTTAATTTTTGTGAAAAATTAAGCAGCAAGTATACACAAAATCCTACAGTAGTAAAAAGGAAGTAAAATAACAAACAAACCGTACTTTGCCTCTTTTATGTAATGCTTAAGGTTATTCATTTGCTGCACCATAGGATCATCTGTACTGAAAAGTCGAGCTGTGTCTGGTGTCCATCCCGCATCTAGTAAGACCTACAAACAATCTTAAGTAAATCAACAAAATAACCCTTAGAATTTAAGGTTTCAGTATACAAGTCAGCTTTAAAGGAACTTACAGTATCTTGGTGAACATTATCCCGATCCTTGGTGTATGTAATTCTACTTGGCTCTTGGCCTCTTTCTCTAATTTTCTGTTTTTGAGCCTGCATTGAGGCCATTGCCTCCATTTGCTCCTGTTGTATGCGAGCTTTAAGCTCCTGCCTATAAAAATTAAATTCCAAACAATATGATAGTAGCTTTTTTTAATAACACAAAATATTGCTGAAAAGTCTTTATTATGTCTCAAATACCTGCGTTGTTCCTGCATCTCTAAGTACTTTGCTTCTGTAGGCAATGTTGGAAGTCCTAGCATCTCATTACGTAAAAATGCAGTGGCTGCAGCTCGTATTTGTTGCTGCAGAAGTAATGCTCTGCCCCTGGGTGGATTTTCAGTGTCAGCACTACCTAAGACGAGTATCTTTTTGCTGTAAGTGGAAGAAATGAGACTTTTAGCACAATGTCATATGCTTGCACATTAATAGATATCTTCATACCTAAGAGAGTCGATGTGTTCTGCTAATCGAAGCAACTTTCCCCACAATGTCTGTGCCTCTTTCAGCTGATAAGTAGGTTCCCCACAGCTAATTAAATAAACAGAAGTTTAGAAAAGTTAAATTTTCTTGTGAGTAAATACAGCAAATTGTTTAAAAATTGAAATCTACAAAGGCATTTGCTGACCTACCTGAGAGAGTTGCACATTAAAATATAAGTTGGAAGTAATTGATTGGCATCTTGCATGTAACTTCTTAGTCGCTCATAAAACTGAAGTAAGATTGGGCGTGCTGTTCTACTCTCCCTCAGAGCCTCCCTGCTTTCAAGGAGCTGTAAATAAAACAAAAAGGCAAACAGTGCATTTGGTAATAATCTATTAGTTATGATTAAATTGAAGCAGCTACTTAGATTATAACCACAGAATAACGTATAATCTTACTCTTAAACAATCATTACAAACACGCAACCCTGTGTCTATTTGGTGGACTCCCTCTACTAAGGACAATACTGAATTCAAACTAGAGCTAGAGTTTGATCGTTTTAATTTTGGAGTAGGCACAGATGAACCATGGGTGTCACTTGATGCCTCAGCCTGGGTGATAGGGCTTGTCATTTTACCTGAAAGTAGGGAAAACTTTTATTTACAAATAAAACTAAGTTTTATAGATGATAAGAACTAAGAAATACTTACGGGCAACATCAAGGTTTAACGAATAACTGCAGTCATTGCACATAACAAAACCACAAAGACGACAATGGTGCTTTCTTCTCGCCAAATGGAAGGATCTACTACAACTGGGGCAGAGGCGCACCATCTTCTCATCCACCCAAGGTACAACTTCTTGTTCATGTGCTGCAATTAGAAGACTATTGATAACAAAGACTATAAATTATTATCACTGCTAGCACTTCATAAGCTGTTCTTGAGCTGTCACGTCTAAAAGAGATGGAGATGATAAAAACTTGAAACATAAATCATACTGATAAAATGGCTAAGTTACCTTTTCTCTTCAGAGGGTCTGAAGGTAGATCTCTCAGAATCTTATCAAGACGGATGAGCAGTTTATTAGTCTCTACAGTATAGTGCTCTAAATGCTGGCTACGAACAGAGGCAAATAACTTTGTGTGAGAGCGAATAGCTCCTGGAAAATTAAAGGAAATTCATCAATAGATAACAAAATAAATTCATAATAAATAACAACTTAATGCACCCAACCAAAAAAATTACCAATACACTGGGGTTCATACAAACTTGGAGAATACCCAATGACTTTTCGAGATTTGGTGGAAACATCTGAATCCCCAGATGGCAAGCCTTCATTTTTCAGTATTTTCTTTTTGGCTTTACCAAACAAATCTGAAAGGGATGACAGTTCATTAGTGTAAAAGCACAATGTTTGTAGATTTTTTTTTTAAAAATAAGAAACTTACCTTTAAAAGCTTGTAATACGTCTTTGTCCTCATTATGTTCTTTCTCAAAATGAGACAAGAGTTTAACTGCAGTGCCCAAGTCTGCTTTACAAACCGGACATAAAAATCCTTCCAAAACCATTCCGCCTCCTTCTGCCATTTTCTAAACAGAAAAGAAACCTTTCAAAGAACTCAATAAATGAACTAAAAGGGTGTTTCAGCTAATGATGATTGATGTCAAAAAATGAGACAAAAAAGTTTTGTTTCACATAGTCTCAAAGACTCCGTATCCCGGTCATGAAAATAATGAAGCTTTCTGAAAGAGTGTTCCACTGAACGCAGGAAAAAAATTAACTTGGACGAAAGTATACGACAAGTGACATTACCTTTTTCTAGGTTAGGTGGCAGCAGAAAACAGAACAGTGCTCGTCTCCCCCACTCCCTCCACCTACTCCCCTCCCTCTCCCCCATCGCGTCGTCTGCCAGTCGTCTGCTCACGAAAACGCGAAATAGGGATTGAATCTCAGATTAATTGTCATTTTGCGAATATTGTATACTGATGCGATTGATTACCACCGCAATTTTCTGTGATGTTTAGTTATTAAAAATAGCATTTCCTGAGCCCGTGGGACTAAGTTCTGTTCTTTTGCGGGGCGGAGTGATTCGGAAAGGTTACTGTGAGGTACAGGAGAGCACATCACAGCACCTAAAGTTCATGTAAGATTTCTATTTGGGCATGGTCTCGGCCTCTTTTCCGACTTGAATGAAGAAGACCATTAAAAAGATTGTGCTGTTAATTGATGTCAATTTTTGTTCCTAGAAATCAACTAGCTTATCGGAATCTTCAGTCCCCTTGTGGCAGAGAGATGTCATTTCTTTCATTCATAGTCTTCCTTCTTTTTGCGGTTTCTACAACTTTGGCTGTTGAAGAAGATCCAAAATGCAAGGAACCAAATTCCAAGTGTGTTGTGAGCACAAAAGTATTTACTATGAAGGTTGCTCCTCAATTATTCAAATGGGAAGCATCAGGTAACATAAAATCCCAACAATTCTGCAAGCTTTCCATCGGACGTATTCTAATTTTCAGACGTATTTGCCGCACAATTGCAATTTTCACTATAGTTTGAAAACCATCAATCATAATTGGGGGATGCTTCAGTCTATTTGGCAGAAAATAGTTGAATGATACGATCTTGCTTATGGCCTTACTGTTATTTGACCCGCTATATCAGTCAGCTTTTGATCTGTACTAGCAAGCAAATGACCTCTTGGTAATCAAGTTGATGTTCCTTACAGATGATCAGCCAGATCGATACTCTTATCAGCCCAGCCTTAAGGGGTCACCCGATTTACCATCTTGGATGCAATATATTTATAGCAAAACTTATCATTCTGGGTTCATCTATGGTACACCTCCAGCTAATCAAGCTGATTTTACAGTAAGTGGCATGAAACACACAAATTGTTGTCCGCACCTTGTTTGTATCATCACATTTTGCTGTTTAAAGTTGAACTGTACTTTGACTTAACTGATCCATCTCAGTTGGAGATAGTTGCGGTCGATCTTCAAAGTTACAATACAAGCCAGAGGACAATTAACTTTGTAGTTCTTCCAAGGAAAGGTAAGAATATTTTCGCAAATTTGAGTAGAAATTGTTTGATTCTTATTTATTATTAGTGAATTAATTTTTCTTAGCAGAACCTGCTCGACATCAGGTCCATTTAAAAATTTACAACTTGGCCGTGGAAGATTTGTTTGACCCACATTACTTGGATGATTTACTAAGCATTTTTCGTGCAGAATTATGGACAGAAGCCATCCATGATTTACATGTATCTTTCTTTGCATCGGCTGTGCATCTGGGGGCAAGATTGCCTCTTCGACCTGATGAAAAAGAAGGGTTGGATTTTGTTTCCACGTGATTTGTGAAAAGTTTGTCATATATTTTCTTCACAGTTTTATATTGGAAATATTTGTTTATTTTCAGTGTTGTTGTATTCCTCAGTAGTGCAGCAAATTTTTCTGAAAATCTTTTAAGATTAGAAAATGAAACAAAACCTCTGGAAAAATTAAGGAAACAGTCATCATGTCCTCGGGACTTCAAGCGAACGACAGTAGATCGCCTCTTCCGGCAATTGAACTTTGAAGTAGATTGGTGTGAATTTGAATTGGTGTGTATGCAAATTTTGTAGACATTCAACATACCTCCAGAATTTGAAACTAAATTTATAATAAATTCTGTACAGGTGAGAGATACTCAGCCCAAAGAAGACAGTTATGTTTTCATTGATAAAAGTCTGTCAAAAACCTTCCTTTCCTTGAATTTACCACTATGGCATAGTCCTTCTCGCTCGGAAGTTCCAGAACGCTCATATGTACATGAGTTTCTTTTGTCAATCCTGGTCCCAATGTTGGTGATGATAATACTTGCCATATTGCTGTCTTTAATCTTGTGTTTCCATCATGAAGGAATGTAAGTATTGAGCATGATTTTGTGCTAATTTGGTTTAATTGTACTTTGGATCTGTCATTATTTTCAATTAAGTAATTGGGATGTGATAATTTATGGACAGAGATGATGGGTCCAGTGATTATTTTGATTCTATATTTGATATTTGTGAAGATGTCTGGGGGTGAGTTTGCAATTGTGGTGGTTTCAATTGTGGTTTACAGTTCATTTTGTACCCCTCTGGCATCAATTTTAACTGCGTGACAAAAGCTAAAACCATCATGCCTAATATAACCCAGTGAGGAATGGGTCGTCAAATCAGTGTGAATCGAATTAGATTTGGTAATCTATTTCTTCCTGAGAAAGCGCATTTTCATTGTTGGTTCATTTTATCCTTACACAAAAGTTCTATCAATTTCTCTAATGGATGCTAACCCTATGACATGCCTTTTGATTTTAGTTTTGTTTGAGCAATAATATTTAGGTCTTCTAACTTTTTTTTAGTTCCTTAAAATTTGTCTCTCCTCTCTCTCTTTCTTACTAACTAATGTCTTCTTCTTTTTTTTCGATTGATTTTTCCTCAAACAATAAATTTTGTAGTGTAAACAACTTTGATAAATAAATTGTGCTGTTCCTTTCATTTTTAGAAACAAAAGAAATCAGGACACACCAGCTGTCCAAATGGTTCGGTATGCAGCGGTCCAGAGGGCAACAAGTACTTTGCGTTCTCTTTCTGCTCAAAGAGATTCATCACCAGCATTGTCTCGGTACAGTCTGAATTTAAAGAAAAAATCCTTAGGTTTGGTAAAAATTTAAAAAATCTCGTGGTTTCATTTCTTACAGATTGGCGCCAGAGAGGCATAACATATTTGGACCTAATCCTCCACCCTACAATTCAGGAACAAGAAGGTAGGTACATCTGTATGCACCCTTTGCACTATTTTCTCCGTCTCAAATATTGATTCATCCTTATGCATTGTGTTCTAGCTCTAAAATAGATTTTTGACCCTTGGAAAAGCCAAGGACCTGGTATTGTTAAACCAGGGCTTGCGGCGAAACTCATTATGTCTGTTGCGTATCATTTGCTTGAACCATAAGGTCTAGTCAGAGCATATGAGGTTCTTGTTAATACTACAAAAATATTGTGTTGTGAAGCAAGAAAAAGGTACTTAAATGAGATGTGTTTACTTCAACTGCCAACTGTTGTTCTCATTCCACAACTCATGATTGCAGCTTTTTCATTTGATGTGTTTATATTATAACTGCCACAAACTACTGCCTACTGCCATTTGCATATGGTTTACATTAAGTTATTTCTTCTGGTTTCTAGTTGATTTATCCTTTTCACCACGACTGAGGCCACAAAGTAGGTTTGAATATTTCAAGTTAGCAGTACCTAACAAAATATTTGTGTAGAAATTCTAAGCATAGTTATGCTTTCCATGTGAAATTATTAAACTATATAATTAATGTCCAGGCATAGCCATGAAAATCATATCAAATAAATCTTACGCTACTTATAACGTGCATAATCATCACTAACTCAAGCCTGGTTTCGCTTTGTTGTTTGTTTATTTGTTAAAATATTATGTTTCACTTATTTGGACTGATGTATCTAGTCAATTCTCCTAGTGCAAAAATGTAGTACATTTTTAAATATTTGTCTTTTTCTACAGTGATTAAGTAATATAGTGATTGTAAGTACATAATAATTCATTGAATGAAGTTTCAGTTTAGCGCATCAAAATTGAGCTTAACTCTAAGACTCAATGATAGAAATATTCAGAAAAATTTGAATTACCATATCATACTCCCAACACTATCAAGTTCAACTCTAGTGTACTGAACTGTTAGACTGTAGTGGTTGCAGTAAAATTATGTAAAATTTCAAAAGAATAAATTTTTTTGGCTGAGTTTTTTGCCAAGTTTGGTTTTCAATTATTTACCTTACACTCTCTTAGTACCCACTGTTCCTCTCATTTGTTGTAAAATATGTCAGTTCCGACGACCAAGGAAATCATCCATCAGGAGAGTCTAGTGGTAGTAGAGTCCTATAGTCCGGAGAAAGGGACTGTCGATCTCGGAACCTAACATCTCTAAACTTCTCATACTCTAGCCTCAACCCCCAATGTCAATGTAAATGTTGATTAGGCTTGAGTTTTACATTAAGTCAGGTTAAGTTTTAAAGTCAGTCAGTCTGCAGTTTCTTGCTTTCTTGCTTCATACATCGTCGTGACATATCATGCATGATTGATCCTCTGGAAAACGTTCTTTTCCTAGCGTAGAAATAAACTAATAAAAGTTTCCGTACCTTTATTGACTATAGTTCACTGGAATAAATAAGATTACAACTGCGATCAAACATAAATTGTGAGGTTAGATGATAGATTTTATTTGTGTTATCGTTTACAAAAGGTCCATAATAAGACAGATATACTGTCGGTACCTTAAATTATACTGCGCTATAAAAGAGACGAGGCATGGGTGCCAACTCAATTACCTTTTGTTTCCAAGCTTCCTCATGACACCTCTGTCAGCAGCTCTGTACTAGAATCACAGATGTAAAGTAATCGAGATTTGTTTTCAAAACAGAATCATATAATGTCTCACTTGCAATCCGCATAGTTCTCTGATTCTTTTTCGAAATGTTCTTTTCTGTTCGTGGGTCATCAGCTTTGGCCTCATTAGTGTATCGACCGTAACAGGCATGAGAAGTGGCATCTTACTAGATTTAATTGGTACAATTTCTTCAACGAAATTTGACTGACATCAGTAAACTGTCAGGTTTTGTGTAACAAAAAAAAAAAAAAGCAATTCCTTCAGCAAAATTGGATCTCTTAAACCTTTTTTATGGGTTTTCTCTACATATTTTCTCTATTGCAATGTTACTACGTCAATAGGACCAGTGACAAAAGGAGACACAAATATTTCATTTCTTAATTGACCTTTTTGAAAGCATTATTTCAAAATGAGTGATAGAACTTCACCATTTTTTATAGAAGTACTCACAGCAAGGAGCACTTATGTTCTATTTTAAGCTGCTACAAAGAATTTATTTCCTTTAAATCTCTTAAACAACAAAAGTTTTTTACATTCAATATTTTTCAGATATAAAAATGCCGGACAAAGAAAATTTGAAGCTTGCAGTTATCTGTTCTAGCAACATGAATCGAAGCATGGAGGCTCATGCATTTTTAAGGTAAAGCATCATGTGTTAAATTTTTAAATGCCTATATTAGTAAGAGAAACACTTTGATCAAGAATAATTTCGTTCTTAATATTTATAATTTTTTTCTGCAGCAAAAAAGGATACCAGGTTCATTCCTTTGGCACTGGTGACAAAGTCAAACTGCCAGGTACAGCACCAGATAGACCCAACTGCTATGAGTTTGGGACTACATATGAAGAAATCTATCAAGACTTGCTGACAAAAGATAGATCATTGTATCCTTTTAACAAACTTTCATAAAACAACCATTGTGAAAAAGGATAATGAGATCTGGCTGAGTTTGTGTGATTTGATAGAAGGCAAAGTTATTTAGAAATATTTTCTAAAATTTTTCAGTGAAACAACTCATGAGCAGTTGCAGACAGTTGTTTTCTTCTGTCTTTTGCCTACACCTATAATGTGACTCATGTTCTAATCTGTTTCTTGTGGCAGTCTCAATATAGCTAACATTTTAGACTTGTAAAATTCTTAATAAATTTCAGTTACACGCAAAATGGTTTACTGCACATGCTGGATCGCAATAGACGCATTAAAAATTGGCCTGAAAAATTCCAGCTCAGCACTGAGCAATTTGATGTCATATTCACTTGTGAGGAAAGAGTGTATGACCAAGTAGTTGAATGTAAGTGATCATTTTTATGAAGGCTGCCTAAAGAGCTTTTCTAAGAGCCTTGATTAACTTTCTCCAACCCCCTCCATTTTCAGGGTTGTCAAGTAGGTCACCTGTTGATACTGCATCTGTACATGTCATAAACATAGACATACAAGATAACCACGAGGAAGCAACAATTGGAGCATTTTTGTTCTGCGAACTAGCAGCATTGGTGGGTTTGCTCATTAACGCCATCATATACAGTGTTTCAGCTTGTTTGGACCAAAATAATTCACTGTCAGACCCTTGCGCCACCAACTCGCTCTTGACCATGCAAGCATCGTTACAACCTGCGGGCACCTTTTACCCTTTTTTTCTCGTACCACTGAAACACAGGCAACGCTCTGGAAAAAGGGGGTGCTCTATGGTTGTGGCGATGATAGTGATCCAGAAGTGTGGTGCAGGCTTCATAGCTGTCCTTCCGTCAGACTCTCAACTCTGTCTCTCTCCTCCCTTCAGCATACCCCATCAACCTTTTTTTTTCCCAAACAAGCTGTAATACTCTGTACATTTTCCAGTTAGAAAAAGCTTAAGTATGATAAACTAATAGAAGCCTTCTCATTTCAGTTAACTAGCAGCGAAGATCTTGACAATGACATTGATGAACTTCTTAATGATTTTGAAACTAAATGTCAGAGGCCTATAATCCATTGTGTCCTCTTTTATTGAAGAACATGTTATCTGCAAAGTATTTAATTGTGGTGCAGGGCTTAAATATTCCTTCTGTGCCTTCAATCAATTGGCACGGATAATAAATAAAACCTTTCTGATGAAGTCAGGACAGATTTTGCAATGTGTTAGCTCATTGCTTCTTTCTAATATGATATATGAAATCATGTCATGTGCCAAAATACCGCACACATCGACTAGCTGGCATCAAATGTCAACAATTTTGTGAATTATTATTTATTGTCAAAATTCCCTTCCATTTTCGGATTTATTGTACAGAATAAAAATTTACCATAGCTTCAATAATTCCAGAGTATTGATAAAAATTTGTGTTACTGTTTCAGGGTGCAAACCTGTCTTGTAAGCCGCCTCAAAATGGGAGGCCATTGTACAAAATTGTGTACTATCTAGAAATAAAAACTAAAGTATTGGAGAGGGTATCACAAAAAAACAACAACATAATGATAATGCATTGATGGGATCAAATTATTATTACCAACAACAATCAGGATACAACTATTTACAGAAAGTCCCTATTTCAGCACACCACGCAGTTAGCAATGTAAAAGCAAGGCGTTCTTTGCTCCACCTGGAAAAGTTATTGTTCTACAAGCAGTATGTCAAGCATCAAGATGCCCATACAAACGTCGGAGCTTTTCTTTCTTATTACGCTTATTGTGCTTTTTCCATGACTTATCACTGTTCAGTCTGCAAATGTGAAATTAGAGCAATAAACCATATAAAGATAATTTGAATTGAAAAGTAAGAGTTTAAGAGACTTACTCATCACTTGCTTTACTGCCAGTTGGAATAAGCCGACGACCTTTCAAGTGTGATCCCAAATTTGCTTTAAGGAAAAAAGCATTATCCAGATCTTCTGAAGTTTCTTTGTTCGGCTGAAAATTTAAAGGGTGATAGAAAGTTGTTCAAAATTTAAAACTCTAGCCAAGCTTACCTCCTTGAAAATAAGATAAAACAGAAAAGATTAAAAGAAACCTACCCTCATTACTTTGGTGCTTTGAGGAGTAATAGTTTTGGATGAGTGTTTAGTTGGACGTTGCCTAGGAGGAAAGCTATGATAATCCGACTGTTCAATTACAGGAGGGGCATTACAGTAAAGCAATTTCCCATTAACAAAGTCTTTCAGAATGATTCTTGCCGAACGAGGATTGTCTGGGAGACCTTTGTGTGTCATAAATCCTCTGCTTACTGTAACAATAAAACAAGAATGGCAAGTTACAAAATTCCTCTTGATGCCAAACCATTATGAAAAACTGTACTATCTTACAGCCAAAAGCATTTAGCAGCTCCTGAGATGTAGGTGGTCTTGAAGGATCCTCCCCTTCCAGGGGAGGTGGAATCATGATACTGTAGCAGTCTTCAAGGACATGACGAGGTATTAAAGACGACAACAAATTCACGGGTTCCACATGATCTCTAAGCTGGTCAATGGGGAGAATGCCATTGAGAACCATTTCAGCTCGGGTAGCCACAAAACTTGGCATAACCAGTCCAGGACAATCGCATAGCAAAATATCCTCATCTAAATACAAAGTCTGAAAAGATCAAATAGAGACTAATGCGAGGCACCCTTGGATAATACTAGAAAAATTATGATACATTTAAGTACAGTACTGCTAAAATGACTTGACTTGCACTAACCTGGAAATGTTTTGTTTTTCCTGGTGTTGCAGATACAGATACTTTTTTTTCTGCCAAAAGAGAATTTATAGTTGAACTCTTACCAACGTTGGGGTATCCAACTAAGCCAATAGTAACCACATTCTGAGTAACTCTTTTCCCTTGGTGGACAGTCTTCAAAAAGGAAATTAGGTCCTTTCGGGAGAGAAGCTTTGCAGAATTCTGACTGGAATCGGAATCTTCTAGTTTATCAGGCCGTTTATCATTATTGCCTTTGATGGGGGCATCTTGTTCTTTGAGCAATCCATGTTGTTTTAAATGATTCACAGATAAGTCTTCACTGTCAGCAGAGCTGTTCGGTCCTGTGTCTGTCACTCTTGCAGAAGCTTCCTCCTCCTCACTCTCTGTTTCACTGCTATCATCATTACTTGATTCGGCTGATTCAGTTTCCTTGTTGTCTTCTTCAGAGGCGAGGGTAGCACTGAAAAATGCAGCTCGAACAGATAGTGAAGTGAAATAATCAGCCCAATATTGCCTTTGCTTTTCAGTCAAAAAGTCTGCTTTGTTAATTAAGATAAGATTATCCTTATGGGGTGATACCTCTTTAGCATAAGCTTCAAGATCTTTACAGCGAAAAAGTAAAGGGTTTCTCGCGTCCACAATTTGAACAATGACATCACTGTAGACATTAAGTAAATGGTTATATTAGTTCAGCAACATTTTTGAAATACCGGTAGCTTAATTTGAAATTCTTAGTGAGAAAGGAAAACCACAGACCTGCGCTCAACAACTCTCCAAAGCTGTCTCCAAAACTCCAGGTTTTTTTCATATGGGGTCAGAATTAGTCCCTTAGACTCCTGCAATAGTGCAAGACGGCGCCTCCATTCCAAGAACCCTTCCTTTTCTAAAAGATCGAGCTCCTCTGGTGTGGTGGTTTCTGTCCATTTGGGCCTGAAACAAAACATAAACATAAATCAGCTGCCTGCAGTGCGTGAAAGTGTTTTTTTGATACTTTACAGCAGTATGCATTGCATGTCATTCATACCGTCGAGGAATCTGGAGATCTCCTTCATGTTCCAAATGACTCTTTTCAACAGCCTCTCTCTCATCTTTACTAAGAAGCCCAACATTGGTCAGGGGATTCACAAATGTTATGTTCAATTTCTCAGCCTACAAAAATATCAACCACCATAAATTAACAGTGTCCCCAAGAAGCAAGTAAATAGACTACGATAATTAACTATTATTTTAATAAAAATACTTGGAATTCTGTGTTGGCAAGTTCAGCTGTGGACAGGAACTCTTGAAAGGAGCTCTCTTCGGTGACTGACTGAAGATTTAAACGACCCCAGTCATACCCATCATCAATTTCTGTTGTGTGCAGCTAGAGACGAAAGAAGCATCATGTCATGTTGAATTATAAAATGTAAGCTCTACAAGAACTTAACCTACAATAAACATGTGTTGTCCTACAAAAGTAAAGCACAAGATCAAATTTTTACCATTGAGACATCACCACCTCTTCTTCCTTTGGTACTCCCAAACCTGTCTTTAATCAAGGAACGACCCAAACCTGTCGCGGATTTGTTTTTCCTACTCATGATTAAAGCCAAAGAGTCACGTCAAAAATTTTGCAAGTTACAAGTGTTTGCTGCTGCTGCTGCTGCTGCTACTTCTGCTACTGCACGCACGCACAGTTTGACAACATTATAAATCAGACGATCGACGGAAGTTAAATTTTATATCTCTCGGAAAAAAACATTGAACTATCCGCAGACCTTAAAAATTGTTTGAATTCTATTTTAAAATTCTGCTTGAAAACAATACATTGAAATCACGTTGCGTTTTTCTTCACACTATCGACATGTTTTTGACTTATTTAGTCGTTCGTGGAGTGACGTCATCAAACGACTTGCGTCATCGCACGGTTGTTTGTATGTTTCGAAAGTGAGTGTACTTCTATTATTTTCCTCTGATATTTGTCTCCATAACAACTTTGTTGGTTGCCCGCAGCATTGTTTCGTTTATTTTGAATTTCTTGAATTGTATGGATATGGGAGAGGTGTCCAACAGTGTGCCCCTTAACGTAGCCGGTTGAAAATGCTGCTGAGGCCTAGCTCCCAATGAAGGTCAAGTGCGATGCGAATGATGTGCTCTGCATTTGATCCGAGGACTGCTTCTGCTTCCCTACTTCGTGTCGTCATTTTGGCACCCGATACTGTGTTTAACGTTCAATTTTTTGTCAATAAACTTTTGCCTATTCTTAGGTTATTAGCGTTAGATTTCTTTTGCAGCCCTGGCTGATTTGCCTCAGTATGCTCTTATCTTGGGCAGTAAACTCTCTGGTTTTGAATGGCAATCTCTATGAAACTTAGATAAGAAGTTTCAAATAATTCTATTTTAATTTTACATACTCTCAAATTTTTAACTATATAGTTAATCTTTGGGCTGGAAACAATATTTCTCAGTTTCACTTGTTGTTCCATTCCTGTTAGCCATGCTGAAAAAGTTCTCCATATCGGATAAGCTGTCACCTTTGCTCTTTAACTAACTGACAACCATACCAGTAACCATGGTTACAGGTTCTCACTTGTTAGGTGTTACCCTCAGTACATTTCAGTATGTTATATTTAATTTTATTGTTTACAAATTTTTGCTCATGATTGTTCTTTATTCCCTCCACAGATTGCCATACAGGTGGCTCATTCATGAAAAATGTCAGGGACTGCAATGCAGCAGTTCCGGCTCCGCTGGAATAACCATCAACCAAACTTTATTTCAGTCTTTACAACACTCCTCAATTCAGAATCACTAGTTGATGTTACACTAGGAGCTGAAGGTAAACATGTGCAAGCACATAAAGTGGTTCTATCAGCATGTAGTTCTTACTTTCAGGTAAGCAGTAAATCGTTTCCTCATCGATGATTTTTTAAAAAGATTTATGGGCCTTGCAACTTATTTTAAATTCCTACATTTTTATTTTTTATTTTTTAGAGTCTCTTTACCCTCAATCCCTGTCAACATCCAATTGTAATACTGAAAGATGTAAAATATGATGACTTAAAAGTTATTGTTGACTTTATGTATTATGGAGAGGTAAATGTCTCTCAAGAGCAGTTGCCAGCAATTTTAAAGGTTGGTGTTTTCTAGGCTTTCTAAATACGTTTATTTTTGAAACCAGTCTGATGTACTAATAGTTACTACTCCTGTATTTTAGACAGCAGAAATGTTGAAAGTTAAAGGCTTAGCAGAAATGCCTGCACAGAATAACATATCAATGAGTAAATCAAGAAGCCTTTCATCAGATAAAGGAGATGATATTGCAACTCCCCCTGGAGATAGTGCTAGTGGCTGGGGTTCTGATTCTGTCCGACACTCCCCATCACCCCAACCTATGTCACCAGCAATGAGGAGGAAACGACTGAGGAAAACCTCCACTGGGTCTGGATCAGGATCAACAGGTAACTGCTTTTAATTATTTCACCAACCCAAGATGCTGATGAATTGAATATCTGAAACACACTTTCTTTCATTTTGCTCTGCAGAGAGAACATCAGAAGAACAATCTGTTGATATTAATGTGGTAAAAGCAGAACCCATGTCCTTCCAATCAGAAGGCGAAAGCATTAGAAGCAGCAGTTCACTGAGGAATAGTTTGCAAGAAGCCAGTACAGAATCAGAACCTCCAGATGGATCCACTGAGAGTGTCGAGGACCCTAATATTGTAAGTTAACTAAGGCTAGGGTAGTGTTATTTTGGAGAAAAGCCCTTTGAAAATTATAGGATTTCTTACATTTTGTTCTCACTGAAATGTTAAATCTTGTTTAGCACTCATCCCATGACAGTGTAAGCGGCCCGAATGTGGACAACCCAGGATCATCTGCCATTTATAATCCAACCCCAGGTAAGGTTATTAAAACTGCTTGAGACTTAACACGTTGTTGGGCCCCGCTTTTTCTCCCCACACAAATATCTATCAAACACTAGCACCAGTTCTTAGATCAAAAACATGTACTGTAGAATTTGTCCTGCTGCTTACCTTTTGTTGGTGTAAGTAACGGTCAGCTGTTTTTTTTTGTTTTTTTTTAAATAAACCAGTAAAAGTGTTTTTATTGTTGTAACTGTATAGTTTGGTATGGTAAAATTTGGATTTTCAAAAGCAGATGACTAGATTTGATTTTTTTTTTTTAAATTGGATTAAGTTTGAATCTTTATATTATGTACAAAATAGAACATGCCCGAATCATACTTTGCAGCCCAGCTTACATGTGATTTCTTGGGTAGCTCCTTAAGCTATATTTTTAATACCCCTATTTACGATTCCTTTCGTCTATAACAGTAATTTCATTTCACTTTTCCTTGTTATCCATAAGTGTATCTTGCTGTGATCAATCTGTTAAGGGTAAAGATGTTTGATGGGTCATTAATTACATTTGTTTAAAATGCAACAAACTGGGTTCAGGATGTGAAAAAATTTAGCATTTGGAATGAATGTCATTTATTTTGTGAAGTTGTGGCTTTCAAGGTGCAGCACCGACGTGTATGGAAAATGAGGAAAAGACTGTATTATGGCTGTTTTGAATCTTATTATAAAAGAGGTGAACATGTCTTGTTTTGTGGAGCATTGCAAGCTTTTGTAAATTGTTTAGGTACTGTGGAAGTGTTCATTATTGTTATCTCACAGTTGACTTGTTCTTAATAATGTATAGGCTTTGTCTCCAAATGTGTGTAGTATAATAATTTATTTTAGACTTGTTTTTCTTCTTCTTCCATAGTATGCATGAAAGTGTTGCTTTTGGGTTGCTAGCATTTCAAATCAACATGTTCAAACTACACATTTGCACAAAACAAATGAGACATCAAAATTACTTAGAGAACAGTGTGATGTTGCGTGCATTATTTGATGAAACTGTTCACATAAAGATGAAATGTTCCTTGGTTATGTGGTTGCTCATTATTGCTCTAATTATTTTAGAAACAGTGAGATGCATTTCTTGCTTAGAGCTTGGTTTTCAGACAAACAGAAAAAAAAAGGTCCAGCATAGGTCTGAGTGTTTTTACTAGCTTTTCTTAAAACCTTGTTCACAGAATAATATGTGTATTTAATAAATAGTGTGTGAACAACTAATGTCCACTAGACCAGAGCTGGCTGTGGTATCTTGGCCTGTGTACATTTTCAATCTAGAGCAACATTGTGTTTTCTCATCCTACTTTCACATATGCAAGGTGGTAGATTTTGGAAAAATTTTCAATTTTCATTATTATTATTATTATTATTACTGAGCTTGAAAATCTTGGGATTCTAGTATTCTTTGACATTTATTTTTGCAGTTGTGATTGTGATGTTTTACAGGACTGATTCTGAGTGTTCCTTTGAAATAGGATTTGTGATGACAGGATGATTTGTGAAATTTACATGCATCATTTTGTTAAGGGAACACCTTGAAGACTCAGTAGCAAGATTTTTGTTCAAGTATTGCTTCCTCTGAGGCAGCACGGCCCGTCCCTAATGTCATTTTACTTTATTCAGGGAACCCTTGGCTCAACCTGCCTACAGAAGAGGATTACATGATAAGTGAGGAGTACAGAGAAAAAAGAGACATTGCATATCATGACACTTCTCACCTATACATAGAGCCTACACCACGAAGTTCAAGTTTTAGCCATCTTCAAATGGCCTGGCCAACTCCAACTCCAACTCAAACTGATATGTTTCATAGACGAAAACCTCAGGAAAATGAAAACTTCAAAATGGCTTTAGACGCAGTTATGAATAAAGGGATTGGCTTCTGCAGAGCAGCGAGAATATTTGGAGTGAATAATAGAACATTGTGGTTAGAATGCAGAAGACTTGGATTTTTAAACCCAAGAAGTAAAGTCAATGCATCTCATCCATCTGCTATGTAGCAGTAGGTTTTCTCAGACAAATGCAACTCAACTATTAAGAACACTTGAGTTCTGGCGTTTAAGTGCTCCAAAAATAATACCCAACAAGCCATTTTTATTTTAAATTTTATTGTTTTATGATTAATAAAGAGACTTTGTTATGCTCATTTTTATGTCATGAGATTTCATTCTTGATGTTCATTCTTGTGTTCTGTTTCAATGCCAATATAATAGATATGTAACTTCTGTATGATACACTAATCTTTCTTTTCTCGCTTTATATTTATCCTCTGTAGCAGAGTTATTACTGTATTATTGGGTACCTGCACCCTGATATGATTTTCTGTTGAGCCAGCAGCGTACCCATCTTATGTCTCCAATTTTAGGTCGCTTTTTTCCAACTGTTCTTATGACCTTGTTAGCCTACATGTATTTATGATAGGGTGTAGTATTTGGTCTGACACTTTCCCCCTCCCCCTAATTCGGTCACATAATTTTAGTTCGACTCCTAGATACTGCCCTTTACTAAGGTGCTAAACTTCCATGTGTTCTGGTAAAATTTTGATACTAGTCTTGTGAGCATTTACCAGGGCATGTAAGGGGGCAAAATAAGAAGTCTTTTGCTAAATGTACTCAATTAAACCAACCATGGAAATATTCATGTTCACTTCAGCCTTATTAACAGCAGAAATGATTTTATTCCCCATTTTCACTTTGTTCTTCTTGACGTTCCATTTTGAACTCCATAAGTAGGTGTACTCATGTACTGCATCTTCTCGTTTAAGATCTGAAGACCAAGGATAAGGAAAGAATTACGTATATAGGTGCAAAAGAAGCAACACAATCAGATTTAAAATATTGCAAAGCTGTGAGTGCCCTATTGACCTTCAAAATCTTCATCTTTCTTTAAAGATGAAACCTCAAGACGCTTCTGCATTGTAGGAAATTGATACAAAAAGTGCAGATCAGCAGACATCAAAAAACACTGCTTTCTTATGTGGTTCCACAATTCAACTGTCAGCCCTCAGCATCCAACTAATTTTGAGCAATATCTTGGTATGCCAGATCACTTTCATTGGGTTGAGGTTGAATGGATGGAAAAGGAGGTGACTAAATAGGTCCCTAGTCTCCAACTACATTTTGCAATCTTAAATTTTAGATTTAAGTTAAAAATTTGAAATTTTAATAAAAACATGGACGACTCCATCTTTCTCTTGTTGACAGAAGATGAAGAAGATATCAAGTTCCTTGGGCACTCAACGGAAAGCCGATCTGTACTTGAGGCATTGAACAAGCGCAAAAAGTCTGTATTTACTCTACGAAAGGGGACTACTGAAAACTTCATGCAAGCCATTGAAGAAGTTCGAGGAGGACGTATCAGTTTTCTGGCAGCTGGAAAGAAGTATGGAGTAAGCCATATGACATTGTATCGCTACTATCTCAGTATGGGGTACCCTCTTGTTAGGAGGTCTAACCGCACCTATCAAGGTAGTGGACAAGACTTTTATTTTCTTGGGGACATATCTTTGTCACGACCTGGTGAAATTCAAAAGCCACAATGGAGTAACTCTGGGTGTTCTAGTGGGTCAGGTAATGCTTTGTATGCTCAAAGTGGCAATCACAGTCTACCCGAGCAAGATTGGTCATAGGGATGTATATTAGTGGTCAGCAGTGAGCAATGTCTAGCTCTTAAGTTCTATCAGTCTAGACAATTTCATTTGACCAGGGTTTTTGTTTTTAAATGTTTACTTTTAAATTTTTAGTCAACAATTTGAAAACAGGGTATTATCTGTGTTTTGACTAGTTCCTAGTGCAATGTTATTTTTTTCTTAGTTTTTTTTTTTAAATTAAAATAATGTTGGTTTATTTGTAAATTGTACTTAAAGCAAACTATGAGACAAACTTGTACTTAGTACTGCACTGTTCATTGTCACATTTTTCTTTGGTCTAGGTTATTTCTTCTACCACAGGTACCATTTTTGTGATCTATGTCACTCATTTCTCATCCCTTCCCTTGAGTGCCCCTCCTTAAGATTGGCTTCCTTAGCAAAAGCACTTGTGTGTGTACCTTACCATAGTAGAACTTACCATACCAGACTAGGCTGTACATGCAGTTCTCTATTTTTTGAGGGTAAAGTAAAGAAGCACCCTAGTTTGATTCCCTTTGTGCTTTTGTACCTTATCAATTTTCTATTTGTGAGTACGAAATAAGCTTCTTTCAAAAACTGAAGTTTCTGTGAACATAGAACTACTGTGTTTTATTTTGGGCCAAGACAACAATACCTTACTTCTTTCTGTTCAAGAAGTGGAGCTCTTTACTTAATCTACAAAAATCATAATATGCATATCACATGTGCGTCAAGCTTTGCCTCAGTTTATTTGTTTATTGTAAGTTAAGATTTTGTTGTGTAAATAATTTATTTTTAATAAAGTGTTGCAATAAAATGATTTTTTCATTTCTGATGTTGGGAAGAGTATTTGAGCATTTGTCTACTTTTGAAGTTTCGAAAACATTTTCTTTGACCTTTCTAAACCATTAATACACTATACAAACCAGTTGTCCTTTCATGTGAGACTTTCTGATCACTTTTATTTGATTTTGTAATGGAACCAGTATTGTCCTTATTTACATCTATGTCTTCACAAGAAAAATTGTCTATATTGATATAAACTTTTGCCAAATTTTTGACAGGAAAATTGGGGAGCAAGCGAGGTCGTCTGCTTATGCGCCAATCCCGAGTTAAGAATCTAAGAGACCCTAGGGATTGTGAGTCTTCAGTGACAATAGCCCAAGCCTCACCAGAGAGTGATGATGGCTCTCCTCATTTACATGGTTGTGTAAAATTGGAGCAGTCATCACCAGATCGAATGGCAACAAATCTACCTTCCTCCCGGGGCTCATCACCTGGACCTCTCAGAGAAGTTAGTGTTAAGAGAGATGGATCAAAAGAAAAAATGACGACGGTAAGTTCTTCAACAATTAACTATTCCCTTTCAAATTGATTTTCCAATTTTTCTATACTTGATATCTAGAAGTGTCTTTGAAGCCTGGTTTCATGATCCACTGAATAGTTTTCATAATTAATCTTTCTTATTTGTTTTAAAAACATATTTCCAGGTTACTGTTTCATCCAGTGGAGGGCAGCAGCTTACTGTTCCTGGGCTCAGAATTGAACGACAGAGTTCAGATTCAAAACCAATAAGTTCAACACCGTCGCCTCAACCCCCCAGTCAATCCATGGTAATTTCCTTATGCAAAGAGGTATCACCTTTACTAGAAGATTCTCTTCCCACCCGTCCCATCCCCACCCATCTAAGGAAAAAACAAAAAGAATAATTAATTAGGTGCAACTTGTTGTACAGGCATGCTCACTGTTTGAAACCATTCTTCACCCTAAGACCTCCTTATCCTGCCACACAAATTTATTCGTAGTAAGTTCTGTGTTTTGTCTTCCAGTCTTTGCTGAGTGTACCAACTACATATCTTGTGAAACAACATTCTCACCCCAATCTTCCAAGTCACAGCAGTGCTCCATTAGTGAATGTTGTGCAACGGCAGCATTCTCAACCAAGTAGACTACCAACACAACATCTGGTAAGTGGCTGTTCTTCTTTTATAATATTATTAGTGTAATGTGTTCAACTGATCTTTGCATTCATGCTCTAATTCCATACTCTTTTTCTCCTTTTCTTGTAACATTAGATGTCATCTTTAAGTTTTGAGCGAATGTCAATTGAAAGTGACAACCCTCCAAGTTCAGCCACAGCCACAGCTAGTCCATCGTCCAGTGTGGGATCCGCTCAACTCTTGCGATTGGTAGCTGAACCCCCTATTAGTTTACGGAGAGCAACTTCTTCACCTCAGGTTGGGGGTTATGAATTCCTTTGCATTTTGTTGTGATGTTTGGAATTTCTTCATACATATTTTCTTTACAGTCTTCATCTCCATTAGATTTGGGCCAAAGCTTAATTATTGAGCCTGCACGTTCTGGCCATTGCCCTGTGCAGCGAGAAGGCCCAGCATTGGGTTGTAACTTTTGCTGGAATACTATTGATAATCATGGCCGCACATTAAGGAGGAAAACTAAATATCATTGCCCGGAGTGCAAAACTAATCTCTGCATTGTGCCTTGTTTTCAGGTGAGTGATATTTGGTGTTGATGCCTTATTCTTTCCAAAAGTCTCTGCAAGGGTACAATCTTAACTTTTATTTTACAGGAATATCATGAACAGCAAAGTAAAAAGGAGGCTGCCTTAGGTACATCACCATCAGGTAATGTGTCATCCAGTATGATACGACTACTTCCGAAGACAAGTTCCATTTGAATTTGGACTAAAATGATTCTGTGAATCACATTTGCAATAGTGCTGTGAAACTCTTTAGTCAAAACGTTTTCTTTTTGTGTTAAATGTTTCTCTAAGTTTTTTTCTCCCTTTTCTGTGTTTTGACTGATTGTTTCTAAGATTTCTGATACATTGTTCATTTTTCTTCTTTTCTTCCTTCAAACGAGGTTTAGAGCTTTTTTTTTTAAATCTATGTACCTGCTCCCAAACCTGATATCTGTTCAGAAAAGGTTGGCCCTGGATTCATTTACCTTAAGTCTCTTTTTAAAGTTTTAATTTGCCAGTTCAGTTCTTTTATTATGTTCTACTGAATATTGACTATCATACACAAATGAAGGGAGCATTTTTTGTTGCTGTTGTTGTTTTTAACTGTAGTTTTCAACTTCATTTTTGTGGCAATTTGTACTTTTACCATTACTCTTGCCAATGGCCAGTGGGACTAAAAGGCTGAAAATACCCAGCACATGCACACCAGAAACAACTTCAGGCAAGTAGTGAAAGTGCTACATTCTTAGTATGTATTTTCTGACCTTTTGTAGTCACCTATCACTTCACTCTGTAAAGCTCGATTTTGTGTTCATTATGCTGTCGTGGAAAAGTGTTGCTATTTTTGCTTGAAAACAAAATCAGTATTATCGGTACTTACTTACCAAAATCTTCTGTAGTTGTCTGAATGACACCTTCATGAATAGCACTTAGTCAGTTTCCTGTTTTTGTGTCAAAAATTTGATACTTGAATTTAGGGAATCTGTCTTCTTTACTTTTTGTTTTGTTATTTTCAGTTTTTCAGTTGTTTGTTGCAACTCAATGACTTATTAATTCCTGCATAGCACCAGCGCAATTGTAGTGTCTTTTATCTGTCTTTCATCTGAACAATTGTTTTCTGGCTTTTGTTACAGTACACATTGTCAAATCCTTCTATTCATAATGACCAATCAATGGTTTGGCTTTTGCCATTTGTACTGAGTCATTACAATACAAGGATTCTGACAATTTTATCAATTAAAATGTACAACCTACCCAATCTCTTGCAATATTTACAAGACTGAGGAATGTATGGATTATATACTTCTTTACTTACTGTAACTTATTCTTAATTCTTATTTTGGGTGCAGAAAAATAGCTTCAAGTATTATGGACCTTCATTTGTTTCAATATTGCACAATAGCCATAGGTGAGTTCAATTGATTTGGGTATTTAGGCTGGAAAGGGAGAAATTGTGTTGTCAGTCATGTAATGAAAGTTACTTTTGTCAGCACCCTTTGAGCGTATGTAGATAAGTATGTAGACGCAACTTTTTGTTAGGTGTAGAATGACCTTAGATTGTGTTTCTGTGCAGTATTCTCCATTCATAAAATTTTTGGCTCATCAATTATTTGTGTTGTCTTTGATTATACATGTATGCATATGAGTTTGTGAAAATTTGTAGCTTTCTCATTCCTTATATGTCTGCTACTGTTACCTGCTAAATTATGTCTGTGTTATAATTTAATGGATTCAGTGGAATAGTCTGTGTTCGCCATTTTTGTTTTGTTTGTTTTGTTTGATTAATTGTTTTGGTGCTGTAGGGAGTGAGATGTATGTGTGGTACGTTTTATTGTTCAGATTATTTTAAATTGCACTAACAGAAAGCTCCTTATCTGGAGCTCAGTAGAAACTTTTTGTTTATGTCGGGATAAAGATCTTTCTGTGCATGTTGTTGTAGTTAGCATCTAGCTTTGTTTTGAAAGGGCCACATGGGCCAGGAATCGGTTTATAGAAGTGCTGTTGCAGAACGTTAAAGGCTCTCTTTCTGGACATGAAAAAAAATAACTTAACATAATTTATCTCCTCTCTCCTCCCGGTTCTCGAGTTGTGGGTTCAGAACTGCCAGACCTCACGTAGCGCCTTTGACAGGCCCTTTTTTTCGTTTTTGTATGCTGTATGCTGCAACTCCAGAAGAAGAGGTACTTTTCTTTCCTGTTTCATTCAGGCTCTTTAATTACCTTTGTAATTTTATAGTGAGCACTGTCTTAAGATTTTATGCTCATGAGGATTCATTTTAATTTTTCAGCCCTTTGAGGGAATCAAGAAAGTATTTGTTATAGTTAATTGATCTTTGTTGGTTATTCTTGTTTGTGTAGTACTAAATTCTATGAAGTATATATAAATTTATATAAGAAATTATTTGTAATACAAGAATCAAATTATATTTTGTTAAGAGTAATAAATGTTTCATTGCTTCTGATTCCCTTGTCACCAATTTAAGATTCATATTATGGCAGAAATGTTATTTATTAGCAATGTCTTTCCTCATGGTTCAACCCATTCTGTAAAAACATTCACAATCATCAAACAAGATGAAATACTCACAAATAGAAAATTACTACCAATCTTTAGTAATACGAAAATAGAACATGTTGCATAGCATGTCTGGTTGACAGAGAGGTAGACCCAGCTTTGAGGTATTTTACTGAGTTCAGGCAGGATATAGAACAAACAGTGAATCCCAAACTACAGCTTGAAATACCTGTAATGGTCATTACAGCCTGCATAGCACATTCAAATCACAATTCTAGATACCCCATTTTGCATCACCACACTTATTACATTGTGTACTGGGCAGAATAATGAGCTGTGGGAGACATTTATCAGGGGTGCCATTAATTGTTAGGCAAAAGTACGGGTAAGCATGATGCTACCCATGGAACAGACAAAGAAATACAGAAATAAGTGCCTGCACATCCATTTGGAACTAAGGCTTTCAAGGAATTGACAATAGATTTCATAAATTGTTCAGGCAAATGCAAGTCTTCCCTTTGTTTAACTGTTTCGAGTACAAAAAAAACAGGACCAGTATTGCTATTATTACTGTCAGGTGTTGACATTAACTGTAATGCATTTTTGTAAATATCATACAAAAGCTCTCTTTTTTTCACATTTCAAGATTGTAAGGGAACACTTTAAAGGTTAAAATTCTGGACACAACAAGCCAACAATTCTCATATGAAAACAATTGCAATGGAATAGAAGTCAAATTAAATTGTGATATCAAATCAAGATTAGTATAAGGTGCATTTCTCTAAACTAATGTATCAAATGCAATTAGCACACTGCGCTTGCTTCTATTAAGAATAGGCTAGCTCTTTTAAACCTGGAAATTCATCATTTAAAGAACCAATAAACATACCAGTTGACCCAATGTCAGAGAACAGTTGCTGAATCAAGGCTCTTGTATCTCTGATGCGGTAGTTGAAATGGCATTATGTCGTAAAAAAAAAGGATGTAAAAACAACAATAAAATTTTTAAAACCAGCTGTTTACTGGCGTACAACGCCCTTAAAAGAACAAAATGAAGCAGTACTGTGAGGACAATATAGTTTAATACAGCAAGCATACTGGCAAGAATCCTCTTGCTATTCAGTACAGAGATGACTGCCGACTCATTTTAAAAGATCACAACTGTTAAAAGTAATGTGATGCTACTAAAACAAACACACAGGAATGCAACTTCATGTTGGAATGGTGGAGAAATTTTAAACTCATTAATTATACTGTAAGTGGCACTGTGAATAAAATGAACTATGATTAATGATAAGGATCTAGATGCTTGGAATAAACTAAAACTGAACAGTCCGGTGCCAAAGCCAGTACATCACTTTTCTCTACTTTAGTAAATATACAAAATGTGGATGTCAACATTTGTTTCATTTCCAATTCATAACATATTTACATCATTCCATAAGAAACCAAACACAATAATTTGTTTGGTTGTTCTATAAAAAAAAAGAAAGAAAAAAAAAGCACTGATGGCATAACAATTAAAGCTAGTAATAGTTTGTTGAGTCTGATTGTAACCATAGAGAGCTCGGCCTACTTCTGTCTGCTTGAACCCCCCGCCCCCCTTTTTTCATCCCCTTAACTCAAACAAATAACAAACAAGTGCGTAATGTAAAGCAACAACAAAAAAATTTAAATCACATATAAATGGAAGGCAAATATATAATTTAAATCAAACAAACACAATTTGCAATAATACTATGTACTCCTGTAACATAACATTACACCTGTATTGAAAGAATGGGATGGATGCAAGTTAGTTGAAGTGAGGATAAAAAGAATCTCTCCTTCCTCCCCCCAGTAAGTCACACTTTATATTGAAGCCTCCAAGTAAGCCGTTTTAAGCACAATTATCTGAACTAGCATGATTTGTATAAAGTACAAAGAAACCACTAGATAGAAATCCTCTCTGAGTTAACAATTTCAGTAATATAGATGAAAAATAAAATATACGAACAGTCAATATCAGACTAATTGGACTGCCATACTATTATGATAATAATAATTAGCAGTATAACTGCCAAAGAGGTAAATAAAATGAACTTTTTCTTCCGAATTTTGGTCTGAAAATAAAATTTGAAATGTTTAACACAACTGAAATAGTTTGGATACTTCACAAGTAAGAAAGATTATTACCTGGTAACCACTAGCTTTCTGCAACTGCCTTGAACCCTCTGACACACTGTGAGTTGTGGATTCAACGTTTGCTTCAATACTGTCAATCACAACACCTTGGTCATGCACAAGTTTACCAAGATCAATGAAGATCTGATTTAGACCTTGAATATCCTCCTACGATTGAACAAAAATTATGCAAGATCAGACAATAAGAAAAGCTACACAAAGACTGAGCAAAGTTAATTTTAATGGCAATCATTAGTAAACTGCAAACCTCTAATTGAAGAAGATCTCTTTCCTTGTCTTCCAGTTCCTGCAAGTTGAGTTGCTCTTGAGCCAACATTTGTTGGGTCTGTTTCTGTGAAGGAGTTGAGCGAGATGAAACATTGTCCAACTCAATTAGCGGTTCATGATGTTTACCTGCATTGGAAAAATAAAACACTTTTCACAGAGGAAGGCTTTTCAAGTTACTAAACAAAGAGCTACCAATGAGCCAATGAAATCCTGTTTATTGTGATAAAAAGCTGACCTGGAGGACCTCGAAATGGATCACTTGATCGCATGTTGGCTCGTGCTCGTTGCACCTCATCCTTCTCCTTTTCTACAGCTCTACGTTGCGTTGCTTGAAATGAGCTTAGGGTGGCCATAAGTTCCTCTGTTAGGCGATCTTTCTGCATCTTCCATTGTCTCTATAGAGTGGAATAACATTGCGCCAAATTATTATAAATCGACAACAACAAAATCCAACAAGAAGGACTATGGTCAGACATACTGCATCAGATGTTCCTGGCGCAGCTTGTAGATTGCTCAGATCAATTAGCTTTGTTTTGGTATCTGACGCTAATTGATTTGTATAATGCTGAATCTGATGTCTGTGAAAAAATTTACAATACATGATATTAAAGCACAAGAAATGAAATGAAATGAAATGAAATTAAAGGTAAGCAAAGAAACGTTCACTTGCAATTTTGTTCGAAGATCAGGAGAATCTTGGTGAGTGCCAATCTGATCAACCATCTTGTTCATCGATGAGACTGAAATTTCAAAGGATAAGATAAATTAATACTCAGACTGGAGTAAACCAGCAAAAGACCAAACCATTACTTTACGTATAATACTGACCATTTTGAGATATCTTTTGGATACTGGTGCCTATGCTTTGGGCTAATTTCATAAAGTCCTTGCCATTGCCAGGTCCACTGTTGTGGTATGACATAAATCCCGGGCTGCTATCCATGGTTAGGCTCTCAAATGAGTGAATGAAAAAAATCTGACGGGCAAAGAAACAAAGCAACTTAAGTACAAATATTTCACATCCAAGTATTGTGATTCACATTGAGTGCCCTTCATGTAAAAGGGCAGCAAAGCTGCATTAAACCACTACAGCAGCTTTAAAAAAGAAAGGAAAGGAATTTATTGGATTTTCTTGGCTTAATACATTAAAGAAGGAAAGTTGTCAAGATAACAGTTAGGCCTACAGCGATCATAAACGATTCAGATCGTCAAGAACTGGCCATACGATATGATTAAATCTGCAACCGAAATTTTATTAACTTTATACAAGCCAGGTTAGATAAACTTCAGACAGAACCGCACTGTTCACAAAAGTAGTTCAAAGCATACTTTCCAAATATATTGTTGAAAGTAGCATAAAGATTACACAGAGAGGCAACAACATGTATCATATTTTCATGGTACCTGCTACGTAAAACGACAGAAAGATACGAAATACTGCGCCACAATGACAGGCCAGAAGAAGCAGAGATTACGTACTTGACGGCTACGAGAACAAGATAGTGTCAACGATTATCAAACTAACCCAGGTTGATTTTAATGCGTATCTCCAACGGTTCCCCTTGAAACGTCAACAATCGTAGAGTATTGGACACTTCAACGTCAAATATTTCACCCTTCACTTCGACTGAACATCATCTCACTCTTTTCCTTCCACAACAAATGAATCACACATCACACCGCCCCTCCGCACTCCGCCCTTTGCCTCTCACCCCTCCCTCCTTTCCTCCCACCACCTCCCACTCCCCTCTCCCCGACTCTCCCCCTCCCCCTCCCCCTCGCCAAAAGTCGAAGTTCGGTTTCGATAGTAAAGGGGGCACATTTCGAGGCTCTCGCAAGGCTGTAAACAAATAACCTAAATTTTACATCATTGCTTCGTTGTTCCCATTCATTTTTCAACTCCAGCCTTGAGGATAGTTTAGAGATTCTAGCTCTCTTTTTCCGCAGTAATAGACTTTTAAAATTTGTAAGTTCTCCAGTTGTTGTTTTTTTGTTCCTTGAATAGAATAAGTTTCAATTCTGTGTGTCACTTAGCCTTGAGCTCCCTCCTACTCTATTCTGGGCGTTGTTCTCAGTCATCAGTCTCTTTACAAAGTATTCATCCATTTCCAGTCTGTGCATTATTGAATTCATTTTCTTAATGAATTCATTAATGTTGATCACATTAACATGTATTTTTTTTCTTGACTCATGCCTTCCCAATCTTGGTATGTGTCTTCTAGACTAAATGAAAGATCTCCAAATATTTTGTATCTTAATGTTTCTTTTGTAGAAGATCATGGTATTCATCATGTACTCTTGTTAGCTCAGTGTTTTCTTGGTCTAAAGTCAGTGAGGTGGTGATCTCAGGCCACAAGATGCAGGGTGTTGCTACTTCATACATTACACCTTTTCACGAATTCTGTAGAAATGAGAGTGGTCTGAGGAATGCTTATTAATCTATGATCATTTTATGATAGTTTTATTTTGTTTCACAGGAACATGAGTATTTTTTTAGTTACCCTGAATTGTTAAGAAATTAGCACCATGGTTAGTGACACTCAACGATATTCCAACCTGCTATCACAAGAGGAAAATGAGCAAGTTATTCGCTTGTTGGGAGAAAGATGTCAGGTACTTTATCTAAAAATCCCGTTAGTTTTGAAAGAAGTTCTACATAGTTTTGTTTACACATTACCTCTTTGTTCTGCAGCCACTGGTTATGTCTGTAGTTCAAGTATTTCAGACAGGAGCTCCTGATCATGGATCTTGGAGAAAACGTGATGCTGGAGTACTTGTCTTGGTTAAAGACAATGCCCGTCGATCTTATTTCTTCCGCTTATATTGCCTCTCACGCCGTCAACTTGTTTGGGAACATGAAGTTTATTCCAACATGGAGTATAACACACCCAGGACCTTCTTTCACATGTTTGAAGCGGAGGTGGGTTATTATTATTATTGAAACATGATATCTCAATGGCTGTACATTTATAAATACTGTAGAAGCCAAAACCACTAAAATTTTCATTTCCCCCCCCTAGGATTGTGTTACAGCCTTTAACTTTGCTGATGAGAAGGAAGCTAATGACCTGAACAGAATGCTGAAAGAAAATATGGCAGCCAGACAGAGAAGAAGACAAGGTTTGTGATGTTAACTACAGTGATGTATAAGTTTCAGTTGAATTTTTTCCTTGATCTTATTGTTATTTTAATTTCAGAAAGGAAAAGACAAGCGTCTCAGAATACAAATGTTAGCAATCACCTTTCATCACAGCATAGTGTAAGCACTCCACAGCTTTCAAATGGTTCCATTCGCTCTTCAACCCACCATAGAGCAGCCAAAGGTATAAAACAAACTTATTTTCTCGGAATGAAAACAGTTTAATCATTGTTGAACATCTGTAATACCTAAGACAATTTAATAGAAATACTAACAATACAAAGATTTAACCCGCTCACTATCAAATGTGTTTGATTTTAAGCAATCCTGGAGCTTGCAGGAGGGTTAATAGGAGGTGAGCTGTCCTCCTTGTGCATGGAATATTGTTTCTTTTTTGATGAGGTTGCTTGTCCAAGTAAAAGCTGTAAACTAATCTGAAATGTCCGTTGAAAGCATATTAAAATTTATTCCTTTATTCAAGATGTAATGAAGGTCTTGTGCTCGCAGAATTCCCACCCCCACCCTCCACTCCCTCTCACTCAAATAAGGAGGGAGGGGGCAGGAATGAAATCTTGAATAAAGTTTTTTGAACTTTCAGTCTATGCTAAATTTAGTTGGACTTATGTTCTGAATTTCTAAACTCAAGGATTCAACGGTAACAGGACCTTTATTTTCCTCTTGTTCTGAGCGGTGTTGCTGGGTTTCAGAGGTTGAATCATATACAGGTCGTACATCAGATTTTAAAAAAAAGGGGTATGCTTGTGTTAATGGTCTTCTGGACAGAAGTTTATAAATGCTGGATACTTACATAACCCCGGGAAACCCCTGAAACCTTTTGATCAGTCACCACTCACTCTTCATTGAAATTTTCTCCATTTTTGAATGAAACTTCATTGCACGCCTCTGCTCTTTATTATTTCATAATTTTTATTCCTTTTCTCTTTCTATTCATCAGTTAATTGGAATTCTAGAGATATTTCTTAGATAGTTTTTTTTTTTTGGAATGTTGTATGTCCTGTGAATCTTATGTTTTGTTATTATTGTTTTTCTCCTCCTTGAAGCTAAGTCTGGTTTTGTGTTTGTCTTTTTTTTTGTTCTTTTTTTTTTAAATTACAGTTTTTTATTCTATCTGACTTCTGCAGTGCTAGATTTATTGTAGTCACAATTGTTTCAGCGTTAATTTCTTTGGTTGCTGCCCATGTAGAACTGCAGTTCTTGTGGGATGAGTGGACAGCATGGATTCCAGCAATATGTCATTGTCAAGAAAAGCATTTTGTAGAATGGTTTCTTTTTGACTTGTACCTTGGTTTTGTAGCTAAAATAAGCATCTCTTACATTCTAGGAAAAGATAAACGGAGAAAAGAAGAAAAGAAGAAATTGTCTAAAGCAGATATTGGACTTCCTCAAGACTTCAGGCATGTTTCCCATGTTGGATGGAATCCAAATACTGGTTTTGACGTCACTGATGAAGTAGAAGGCTCTGCTATGAAGCAGTTTTTTGCCAAGGTAATTATTGAATTAACTTCTGGTATACTTATTTATTTACTATGATAACCTTTTGTTCTTTTTCTTTAAATATTTCTAGGCAGGAGTGTCAGAAACACAGCTCCAAGATAAAAATACACGTGACTTTATTTATGATTTTATCAAAAATCATGGAGGTATAGACAGGGTGAAAGATGAAGTCCAATCCCCCGACGTGCCTCTCCAATCGCCTGATGTACCACCTCCACCTGTGCCTGCACGAACTGTGCAATCCAGTGCCTCCATCCGCACAGCTCCCCCTCCTCCACCACCACCATCTAGAAATCAGTTACCTCCACCACCACCACCCTCACAAGCCGCAGCGATGGCCCCAGCTCCAGGCCCACCCCCGCCACCACCCCTTCGGACACTACCACAACGTCAAGATTCCGCAAGAGGTGAAGTGATGATTGTTGCCTTCTTGTCACTTTTTTAATGCACACAGCTACCCTCTCTCCAGCAGGAAGCCGGGAAAAAAAAAATTAATTAAATGTGTTTTGCTCTAGGAGGTCCAGCACCAATCCCGCCACCACCACCACCTATGCAGAATGCCATAGGAGTTCCTGCTCCCCCTCCCCCTCCTCCTCCCATGTCAGCATCCACCGCTGCTGCACCGCTGGCCCCCGCAGTACCTGCGGCCCCCGTAGCGCCGGCAGTGCCGGACCTGCGTTCAGCTCTCATGGATGCGATACGAAGTGGGAAAGCACTCAAGGTATGTTGTATGTAGGCTTATGAGGTAGGAAGTTGGCATTGTATATTTTAATGTGTATTTTTAATTTTTTACTTTTTTGGGGTCTTATTATTTAAACATGGTTTTTAACTGTTGTTTAGCCTGTGGCACTGGAAGAGAAAAGTCGCAATGGAACTCCTGGTGATACTAGAGCTGAGCTCATGGATCAAATCAGGCAGGGCAAGGAGTTGAAGGCGGTAAGTACATCATCACTGGAAGAGCTGGATAATGATTTGGGTGCTTCTATGGATGGCTTGAATCAGAGTGGCGCTGGTTCTTTAAGTAGTGTAATAACAGTCCAGTCAAACAGCAGAGACATTTATGAAAGTTTTGACACTCTTGAACAAGACGTATCTTGCAATAATAATGCCAGCTTTGGATCGAACTTCAATTCTTCCTCTGACTTTGATGTTAATACTTCTGCCTGTGATCCTATATATGTCAATATTGGTCACTTGCTTGCAGCTCAGTCAGAAGAACTTAGAACTAAAACTACTGAAGTTGGTAACATAGATGCAGTTGATAGAGATGGCACAGTTGAAGGTGTCACTTACCATTGGAATCCCCCTAAAAAGGGATCTTTTTTTCTAAAATTGCTGAAAATTGTTCTCTACTCGTTCATGCAAATTGGAGTTATTTGGCTGTTTCACTGGAATCTATTATTTCTATTTCCATACCCAACATCTGTCATTGTATTGATCATGAGCTTAGGTTTATTGTGTGCTCTCCTTCTCAGCCTCAGCCTAATCCCAAAGACCTGCTATTACTAAAACTCTAGGCACCCTCCTAATTGACATTTGCCAGTTAGTTGCTAAATTTAGAAGTGCTTTTATTTGCTTCTACTTGAAAAATTTTCTACTTCCTTTCTTATTTTAATTAAAGTTGATGCAACCAATTATGGTAAAGATGAGCAAATCCGCTCCACTGTTGTTTTGTCTACTGGATGGCTGGTAGGTGAGGTCATGAGGAAGTTGTAGATGAAAGTAGAGGCAGCTTTTCTTGAATGTAACTATTGGCATGAGTAGGTAGGCAACGATTACTGTTCACCGAAATACACCCAAAAATTAGTCAAGTTTGGCCCTTTATTTTTTTGTGGAGGCTGTATGATCTTACAGTCATGAATTGCCCTTGCTGAATTTTGTGTTGTAGATGGACATAGATTTAGTGTGCTTTTTGATGCATCAAGATTTGATGATATAGGTTTATCAGGAGCTTATCCAGAGGGCGAGCCCCCTCCTTTTGCCCTTAATGAATTGCCTTATGGGTTGGCAATTTATCGAACCATCCGCCTGCAAGTAGACAAAAGGTGTAACATGACCCCCTCCTTTCTCTGTATCTGGATACGCGCCTCATGTTGATGTGATTTGTTTTTTGAGTTGTGTGTTTTATTTTGTTTCTCTGGCTTCCGTTGGTATTGCTTCCTATATGTGTGGGGCAAATAGTTAAGGAAAACTAACCATCCCTTATCCCACTTAACCATTTCATACTGTACATATTTCTTTGCATTTTGGTACTTCCACTACCCTCTGACAACATAGGTATTTTCCTGATCATGCTTCTCTTTATTTGTTGAGGGATAACAACTCACATTACTTGCTCATTGCATTTCATTTCATCTATCAATAGCTAAAACCAAATTAATTATGTCTTCCCTATTTTTCCTTTGCCTTTCATTGTGGTGAAGGTTTCAATTGTTATCATGTTTAGAAAAGATTTTGTGTGTGTGTATGTTTGTTTAACATGATTCAATGTGAGAATGCTTTATACATAGCTTTATCTCACCGTGAACATGTCATTAATACCCAGGCTAAGAAATTGGACTGATTTAGCTATGTTAGGGTACCTAGAATGAGCAAGAGATGACTGCTCTCTACTTCTGCTTTTAAAACTATGTGGAGGGCTTTTCATGCTGCTTTTGTGGTTCTAATGTACAGACTTTGTTTTACAATAAATTATATTTTTGGAGGAATTTGAATGTGATCCTGTTTAATTAACCTTTTACCACTTCTAGGTACTTTTTGTCTTCATTTGTGTGTTGAGATACTTGATTCAAATATGGGACTTTCAGGTTGTTCCAGCTTCTCGGCCCTTACCTTCAAATTCCGTCCCGTCCGACTCACTTGCTGTAGCTCTCCAAAGAGCTCTTGCGGATCGTTCTAGAGCCATTCACAGTGACTCCAGTGGATCCAGCAGTGGGGAAGATGAAGAAGATGATGATGAGTGGGAGGATTAAACTTGTGTGTATTAGACCTCCAGATTGAATTATTTGAATGTACATGTTTTATGTAGATAAGGAAGTAGACATTTACATTTTTAAAGACAATTTAAATTCACATAATATATACACAAATATATACCTGTAATGGAGCAAATTTCTATCAGTTTAATCGAAAAGACCATTAAGTAAAAACCTCTGTGCGAGGATTGCTCCCAAATTATGGTTTGCTAGTCACAGAAATACCCATCCGCAAATATGTTAAATCAACATAAGCATTGTTAGCTAGTTCTACTTATCCTCAAAGTTTCTATATCTGTTCGGAAATCAGTAGTGATGTATTGATTTCACTATTATTATGTAATATGTGCTTACTGGGTGTTATGATATTTTTTCATCTTCACAACACATGTGCAGATGTAGATCATAATATTTTTTTAAAGTATTGCTTTACTTTGTGTGTTACTTGCTGTACGGTTCTCAGCCTTTTAACTGAAGTAAGCAGTTCCAAGGAAGAATGAGCAAGTGGTTAACTTTTAACCATGTGCTGTCAGTATCAAGTATATCAGGACATCCCTGTGATATTTAAGTTCAATTTCTAACTGAACAAACAATTATTATTTTATGACTTGTACAATTGAATATTCCCATGTTATCAATAACCATGTCATAATATGGAGTCCAAATTTTTTGTTAAGAGTAATCGAAGTTTACTAAAATTTTAACCTTGCTGGTACATTTTACCAGGCTGAACTTCTCTCATCTCTCAGATTCTCATTTCATCGACCCAGTGAACTTTGAATGTTGGTGTTAGAAATAGATGTGTACTGTTATTAACATAGACAATAGTCATGAGTGTTGGGTGCCTTTCTTTCTACAATGAAATGGTGTGCCCATAAGCTTCATAATTCATGCATAAGGCACCAATGTACATTCCCGTTTGTGCAATTGTAGGGTATCAAATTGTTAAGAATATACTAATAAATTGAACTGAGAGAAAACTTGTCTTCTCAATCAGATCCACCTTTAGAGACCCTGCCAAGAGAACCAGATCTGAGCCACGGAATTTGATGAAATGCAACAGGGAACAGATAACACAGAAAGAGTGTTCGCAATAGAACTCGGAAGCAATTCTAAAGATCTAATTAAAACAATGATCCCCTTCAAGCAACTTGATAAAAATTGTTTAAATAGCTCAGAACCTTTTTCACATAAGTTTTAGATGACAATACCCAAACAGAGGTGGGGAATGAACAATAAAGATAAATCAATAGAAAACAAATGCACAAAGTTTAGTTTAATGCTTCAGTTTATTTCTTGACAGGGAATTTACGGATCTTCACAAACCGCGGAGAATTCTTCATGGGCACCTTTCTGAAGCATCCACTCTTGATGTTCTTGTTAATGACACGGCGATAGACGGTAGTGCGAAGGTAATTCCTGTGTCGGCGTGCCCCCCTCAACTTGAAACGATCGTAGTCGTTCATTTCCCTCCTCTGAAGACAAACGTGCAAAAACACAGTGAGGGAAAACAAAACTACAAAACGCAACAACATTAAAGCAGTGAGGAAATTTTACCTTGGCAGAGTTCTCAGCACGCTTGCACCACTTGCTCTCCTCCCACTTCTTCTGTACCTCACCATCAATCCAGGCTTTGCGCACAACCTTGGTTCTGGCAGAGTGGGGGAAAGTAACTTTGAACTTGGTGAGATGGATCTCATTGATCCTGATCTGTTGCCGAGGAACGCCGGTCTCGGGGCCGTCGATCAGTACCTAGACACAACATTGGGGAGTAAGATTGACACTAGAGACGACAGAACCTCACTGTAGAGCCAGTGGCTGGCAACGCACAAACATACTCTGGTCTGGTCGATAACGTCGACGATGGCCACAAGCTTCCCCTTGAGTGGACCGGAGGCCACGTAGGCCACACGGCCAACCTCCACGAACCGCTGGAAGGGCTGGAAAAGAAGAGAGACCACGATAAGCAACAATGTACACACAGACGAGATGGGGTGAGGTTAGGGCTTCGGGGCTTAAGAGAGAATAACACGGCCGTCCCGGGCCCTGCCAATTAAAAAGCGGCCGAAGACACAGCGACCACGTTTAAATTGAGGCATAGAAATATGTGAAACTATTTAAAGCGGCTGACATCTATCAAGGAACTTGCCAACATCCACACAAGCCGCAAAGCGGTGTGGCCATGTGGCGATATCAACACAAGCCCTCAGAACAATTACCATCCCTGTAGAGATACTTAATACACTTCAACACGAAATGACTTCCTGAAGCCACGAACACTACGCAAGGCGACACACGGTTGAACTGATGAACATCCAAATCCCGAAAATACTTAAAATCTTAAGGGAGAAGCGGCACAGATCTACAAGCTTACCATTGTTAAACCGGAAAGAAGAGAACTAAAATGGCGGACGGAAGAGCAACAACCGCCTTGCAAAACCTCACCGGAAATGATGTGAAAGCTACAAACCACTCAACTGTTTTCACTTGAAACAGAAATTCAGCCATCTGATGCATATTGGTTTTGGATGGTGCATTCGACACGGTTTGTAATTTAAAAAGTCATTTTGTAGATGGACGAAGCCATGCTTTGCGTCCTTGTCGAGATGTCCTTATCGTCATGGGTCCATTATCGTCATGGGTCCATTGTTTGTTGGCTGCAGTGCTTGCAGAACAAAACAAAGAAGAATGATGTCAGCTTCTTCCTGCCTTAAAATGGCGTCATCAGACTAGTAAACAGTTGATTGATCGCCTTGAGGACGATGTTTTCCGTTTCTCTTTGACGTTTTCTTCTCATTGAAGTGATTTCAGTTTTGATATTAATATATCTAACTTGGCAGCCAAGTTACTTCTTGAAAATGACGCAGTTTTTGCCTCAAAACTTGCTAGCTTTGTTCGCTCCGCGTGACCCTGTCCCTTTCCTTCCTCCGCCGGACAAACTTCCTCACGAAAAGAAAAACCGAGGATATCAGGGTGTTGGAGGGTTCCTAGACAATTTTGAGGTAAGTTTAGTTTGCCGTTCCCTACTTTATGCCTATTTTGAAATTCTTATTCCTGCAGCTTGCGGCTTGTAGGGCCCAACCTGTGCCTTTGGCGTCCCTGCTGCGCGAGCAGTCCATGTAGCCGGTCGATGATGTTTGAGTGGCGAACTTAAGATTTCAACTGAAGAAATCTATTTTTGTGCATTCTCATGTATTCTGGAATATATTTATGTGCAGGGACCATCCACTTTCCATTTAGTTTCGAGGTTGTGTGTTCATTTAGAGTTTCACTCAACATTTTTGTTTTATCTGTTCAGGATCCAGCTGATACTCCACCCCCAACCAGGGTTGAGACTCGAGATGAGCGTCATGAAAGGAGAAGGAGAGAAAGAGCTGAGCAAGTTGCGTACAAACTTGAACAAGAGATAGCTGTTTGTATGTATCTCTTTTACTAGTGTGCTCCATTGTGCCATAGATGTGGCTTAAACTTAAGATTTATTCTGTTCTGTTTCAGGGGATCCTCATAACATATCCACTGCTACGACTGATCCTTTCAGGACTTTATTTGTGGCACGAATTGTAAGTTAGAAACTAGACATTACATTCTAGATTGATCCTGGCCGTCACATTCTTACCGTCCTTTTTTTTTTTGTTCCAGAACTATGATACATCAGAGTCTAAGCTTCGCAGAGAGTTTGAAATGTATGGTCCTATTAAAAAGGTATGTATCCATGTTTTGGAAGTTTCTTCTCAAATTTCTTCTAGTTGCTGGCTAACATTATGTCACATTTCTGCTTTCAGATTGTTTTGTGTCATAACACTCAAAATGGCAAACCAAGAGGATATGCCTTTATTGAATATGAACATGAACGGGACATGCACTGTGAGTTCTGATAAACTAAATCGCCTTTAAAAATGATTTTGTGAGAGGCCCATGATTAAGATGCTTACTATTTGACCATTATTGCTATGACCTACATGTTCTAAAGCTGCCACTATATCCCTTTTCTTGTTTTACATAATTTGATTATTTTTTGTGTATTGAAAGTGACAAATTCAATTTCTCCTAAATGAACCTTATGTTCACCCCAAAGTTTGGCCTTGATTCCTTTGTTCTGTTTTTTATATTACATGTAAATTTAGATATCTGCCTCTGGCGTAGACATGTAATAGTGCATGCACCTCTCACAAATTATTTTGCCTTTCTGTATGATAAAATACCTTGAAACCTTCAACAGCTATTACACACACTGGCGCTTCCACAAAATATATTTTGTGTTGTTAGCAGATCCTGGTTTGATTAGATGCCGAAAACTGTTTCATAGTCTGAGTCCTTTTTACATATTGTAATTTACTCTTCACACATTGATTGTCAGAATTTCCTCAATCTCTTGATTGAGGATGTTTTCAAGCACATGCCCATTTTTAAGTGGGTTTCACCATGGTGTGTTTGTTGTTTGTTCTGCAAAACAAAGTAATCTATTTTCACCTGGATCTGCTATTGCCTTCTTTGTGTTAGTCCATTTCGCACGAAACATCATTGAATTTTCAGCGTTACACCTTCTCTTCTGTTTGTCACTTTATGTGCAATCCCCCAATAATTGTTTGAAACAAGCCATTTTGACATGAGCCACAATATCACACTCATTTTCTTCTTTTTACTCATTGACACCTGCAATGCTCGTGCAGGGATAAAATGGGTGGGCGTATATGTTTGCATTCATTTATGGAAGTTGGTTTTAATATGACATTCCATTTCTTCATGTGTACTTTGATGGGTTGTTATTACAAGGGCAAAAAGTGTAGGTCTACACTAAAGTGCCAAGTATTAGTCATGTTTCCATCATACTTTTGCAAGTAGGTCTTCTTCATTCACTTGCAACGATTGAGATGTATGCGGTGAGATATTTTGCCCATCAAGCGAACCACAGTACAGGAATTAGACATCCAGCTTTTTACTTCTCTCTTCATTTTATAAATTTTTTTGGAGATTCCTGACATCATATCTATGATGTGTATCTGTGAGTGGGGGACTTTAAGTTGGTGCTTCTTTCGTTTTCTCCTGTGTAGCAACGTCATGTTGGATCATGAGTTTGCAACTCTGATGGTAACAAGCTGTTTCTTGGCTTGGCTTAAGCCTGATAGGATTTAATTTTACTTTCAGTGACATGACCCTGTGGCAAGCTCTTTCACACAATACTCAAAAAAATATAAATTAACAGACTTTGTGCAATGCAGACCAGAGCAACTTCCTTAAATGTTTCATGTAGTCAAGTTTTTTTTTTGGTATATTGTTCAAGAAGCACTATGGAGCGGATTATTAATTAATCGGGTGTGTATCTTGTTTTTGGACAGCATGGCGGGCAGCCGACACCTTAAAGCCCTTCCTCACTTGTGTGCAATACGAAACATTGCTGGCTTACTAGGTTTGTATGTGTGGTAAGACCCAACATACAAAGCAGTATTATGGCTTAACCCTCAGTCATGTCACACAACTCAAATATTCGGGGCTTATTTTGATTCTCATTTCCTTAAATCTTCAAGAACTTGCCATTTGTTGTGGGATTTTCCTTAACTTTCCAATATTTCATTTATCTGGGGAAATAAGTATTTTTCATACAATATTAGTTTTCAAAAAAGGAATGCGCTTGGTAAACGTAAGTAAATATGCGCACCAGGTAAAAAGACTCAAAAGGATCTTTCAAACGCTGGCGGATAAACTGGCTTTTACCTACCCTGTAAATTTAATCATTTTGAGTATCTTCATGATGTAAGTACTGACATTGATAAGTTGGTAGGTATGGCTGAAAACAATCTGTTGTTGTAATGGTCTGCATATGAGAAGTTGCACGAGGCATCAATGCAGATTATATAACTTTTGGGTGTGACTTGTTCCTGGGACTTCTTCAGCTGGAGTGATGCAACCTCAGGTGGGATGTTATTCTGGGAACAGTTACACCAGGTTATGACCCTGAAAAATATTGAGCCATGATGACACCTTATATTATGAAAGAGCATTTGTTATCCTATCCACCTTACGTTAACACTACACATCTTAACTTGGTATGAAAACAGAACATTTCTGTGGGAAAATTTGTTCATTCTGTCTTTGTGAGCAGCATTACTCCTGCCGAGGAAGCTCAGAAACATTTCACTGATCTTGCAAGACATCATTTCTCCTTTCCATTTCCTTTTTAATCACAAGTAGAACTTAAAAAAATGCTGGGAGTCTGCTTGAACTTTCGAGTGTTGCTAGCTTTTATTTTCATGTTATGTTTTATGCTGTGAGCCATTTTCTGTGAATTGTGGCAATTGTCTCAACAGGGATCCTGAATGATGCTGCCAAGGAACAACAATTGTTATGCGAACCATTTGTCCCCCTTGTTTTGTTTTTCCAGCTCCTTTTGCAAAGTCACCTCAGCTGCTTTAATTAATTTTATGCTGTTTGTAGCTCTCATCTGTCGTTTTTTGTTTGTTTTTTAAAATCTTGTTCTGTGGAATATCCCAGTTTGGGGTTTAGTCCAGAGTAAGGGGGCACTTATCCAATTTTGTGGAATTTGCTAATAGAACGAATTAGGACCCATTTATGATATGATGCACACCCTTTGTATAAAGGCCTAATAATATCTAATTTTTTATCTATCTTTCCAGCTGCCTACAAGCACGCTGATGGCAAGAAAATCGATGGCCGGCGTGTGTTGGTGGATGTAGAACGTGCCCGCACCGTGAAGGGGTGGCTGCCAAGACGGTTAGGTAAGCCTGAAGAAAGAAAGCAGGAGATGCTGGATCTGAGTTGTGAATCAAGTTTAAATTTTGACTGCGTTTCCAGGCGGTGGACTCGGTGGAACTCGACGTGGCGGTCCCGATGTGAACCTGAAGCATTCGGGACGAGAGGACAATGAGCGAGAGCGCGAGCGCTACCGCCTGGAGAGGGAGCGAGAGATGGCTGGCGGCCGCGGAGGCGACAGGGGCGGCGACAGGGGCGGCGACAGGGACCGAGGAGTGGACAGGGGCATCGGCGACAGGGACCGCGGGATGGACAGGGACCGGGACCGAGGCGCGGACAGGGACAGGGAGCGTAGGCGGTCTAGAAGTAGAGACAGGGAAAAGAGGCGTCGCTCTCGCAGGTAAGAGTGAAAGGTGCCCCGTGAGCCCCAATTTGATTGACTTTGGTTTGATTAATTTTCTAGCATTGCATGTTCTTTTTATGAGTTAAGTGTGTGTGCTGAACATCAGTTCCAACTCAGCTTTCAGAGAGACGCGTCTTTGCTTTCTTCGTTTGTCAAATACCTGGATTCCTTGTTTTACTTACTGATGGTTATCCTGTTGCAGTCGCTCGAGGGATCGTAAAAGGAGAAGGAGCAGGGACCGTCTCCGAGACCCCGATATTGAAGAAATTGAAGACAGGCCACCGCGTGAGAGGGAACGTGAACGGGATCGGGACAAGGAAAGGGACCGTGAACGCAAGAGGAAACGCAGCAGGTCGAGGGACAAGGACAAGGAGGAGAAGAAGGATAAGGACAAGGATAAAGACAGAGACAGGGAACGCCGCCGAGAGAAACGGGACAGAGAACGAGAGAGGTAAAGCTGCTCTCTGTGGTTTCAAGAAGTAAACAAAACCCTCTCCCATTTTTGGATTTAATCAAGATGTTTTTCGTTTTCAGGGATAAGGAAAGGCGAGGCAGAGATTTTGATGAGACTGATGTACGCATCAAAGAAGAACCAGCTGATGGTGAGACTCATTTAACATGCAAGTGGTTTAGTTATTGCACAGTTTGTTAATAATTCGTGGTTCTTTTACAGACTACCCCGACTACTCTGCAGGATACAACTATGATGGCACTGCCATTAAAGAGGAAGATGAAGAAAAATACAGACCTGAAAAGGATGGCACAAATGGGTCATATGAAGGAAATTACTCTGAGAATTACTGACATTTGTTTTTCCTACCTTAATAGTTTTGTCCTTTTAAAAAATGTACAAATATTCACTGTTCTGCTTTTGTAAGTCAACAATCATGTATGATATGAAGTCTATTATAATTTTATGTGATTAATAACCTTTTATATCCCACTTTCTTCTTCATCATGATTACTGCCTGCATCCACATGCACAGATGCATTGTTTCCTAGATGCTGCCTCTAGTCGCAGGCTCATAAATTAAATCAAAAATGTATTTTATATTGACTATGGCAATTTATTTTTTAATTTTTCTCTGACTATATTAAGAGCTTTTCACATGTCATGAAAGCTCTTTTTATTAACCTTTTGTACATGCTCTGAAGGACAATACTCCTTGCTGCTGTTTAAATACATGTGTGAAAAACAAGGCAGACCTCCTGGCTCTGGCTCACCTGGCCTATTATCTATAATAAATGGTCCTTTGTTTATTAAAAATTTGTTAAAATTTTGACTGATTTGTTTTGTTTGCAATGACTCCATTTATTTGACCCTTTTAAACAATCATAGGATAGAAACTGAACCTCTAGGAAGAACTTTCTTTTGACATGAAACGAGAAACACTGGGAGCATCGTGCACTGTGCACAACGCGCAAACGCTATCATAATCCCATTCATGAAAATTCTACTGCTGGGACCAGTCACAGCGCCTGCGGGCAGCTTGTACGCATGCTTGCAAATGTTCGTCACGAACAAAACGCCACTTTAAGTCGCGAAACAATCAACCTGATGCTTAATTGCGAGAGCACTATTTGAACGTTCCCTCTTGTTTTGATCCCCTGATGATCGTCGCTTGTCGAGATGTGACCCTAACGCAAGTAGTGTAACATTTCGTTTTACCTACGATTGATGGTGTATCTTTTAACTATAAAATTGAACCTTAAACAAATGAAATAGTTGTTAAAAAGAACGGCATAGTCTTAGTTTTGCTATGGTAGGATATACCTCTCGGAAACTTCCCTAACGTTTTTAGTAACACTCTTTTCGAGGGTTGGTACTTCGTGTTGTTGTGTTTTCATTTCAAATTCTTGCAGTCTGCAGAAACCGTTGCTTGCTGCTACACATTTGGTGGGAAGGAACGGAAAGTCCGGGTCAGTGTTGTGGACGAAAGCAGGCGGCTGTTTACAGCTCTCCTGACGAAAGCGTTTTTACATTCTATCGGGGCAGCCATGGATTATGATTTTGAAGCCCCCACATATGTCAACTTTGCCGAAGCTATGGATGAAGATGAATCAGAAGTCTCCAGATACTTCGGTATGATTCTATTTGGTTACTTGGTTTCGTCTTGGACCGCGACTATTTGTAAACGAAGGTATTTTGCTGCAATTTTTCAGATGTTGAGCATGAAGAGTCCTTTTCTCGTCTGAAGGGCACTCCAGGGGTCGTTCTTCCCGGTGGACTGCGTGCATCAGCGAAAAAGGCATCAGGTTAGTTGAGTGTGCTTTTAAGAACGATTAGGCTTCTTTTTCTCTTTCACTGAAGGTAAATCCTTTATGTTTCTGTATTTCAGTTGGATCTGCTTCTTCTGACATGAATGATTCGAAGAGGCGAACCAGTCAGCAAGGCACTACTTCAGCGAAGCCAAGTAGCAGGACCACTACACCAGCAAAAAGGAGATCTTCTTTAAGACAGAGGACCTCCACAGTGAAAACACCAAGCAAGTTAAAGACCCCAGCAAGTGTGAAACGTCTTGGCCGAGGCAAGGTTTCTACTACCACCCCAGGGAAAGTTGTTGCTGCTTTAACTGCGTTAAAACTGACTCCAGCACACAAAGTGGCAGTTACACCTGGTAGTGCTAAGCGAAAGCAGAATACTGATGACCAGCAGTCATCACCTTCGAAACGAGCCAAACTTACTCCCAAGACCAACACTGTTGCAGCAACAAGTATGGAAGTTTCACCTCCTGCTTTAAATGTCAATGGTCTTCTTCAGCAAGCTATTAAAACACTTAATGATTCAACCCGGAAAGGAAAGCGAAATGTAACCGGGCAGTTAGTCTCTCTGGTTGATGGTATTGAAGTGCCCTGCCTTCCAGACAAAGAGCACAACATGGAAACAAGAGCAGACAAAGCAGCACGTGATCCGCCAATTCAATTAAGATCAAGATCTATTGTGAAAACTTTGACCGAGAAGGAAGGTGCAGCCCGACCTAGGCCAAGGCCTCAGTCAAGTGACAGATTGGTATTGCCTTGCAAGGATTTCAAGTCCAGATCAAAGTCGATAGATCGTCTGGTTCATAAACCAATTAAAGCAGCAGAACCCTTCATAAGTCTTGCAGAGGCAACAAGTCGTTTCCAAAATAAGACCCCTCTTCGGTTCAGAGTCAAGCGCCGTGATTCGCCTGGTTTGTATAGACCTGTCTTTTCCTCTTGCTCTTTTCTTTTGAGGGTCTTTGTGAGTTTTACTTGAGTCTCCTATATTTCATTAGCAAATAAAGTGAAAGGGCCTATTTTGGCTTTGAGAGCCACTATTCCGCAATCCCCTGCATTGAGAGTCAAACATCGCAACAGACCTGTCACAGCATTGTCGAGGGAGGAGCAAGAAGCCATTGAACTTGAAGAATTGCGCAAGTATGTGAAATGAAGTCATGTGAATGTAATCATGCATCTCTTAGCATTTTCCCCACGCTCTTTCTTTGCTTTCCAGGAACAAAATAAAGCCAGTTCCATTGCCTGACAAAATACTGAAGAGCGTTCAGTCAGTGCCAAGGTTTGAAAAGAAGCCAGCAACTCTTCCTGAGCCTTTCAATATAACTGAAGTGAAGAAAAGGGTTTGTATAGTCAAGGATACTAGAAAGACTAGGCCAAATCAGTTGCTTACATTAAATCATGTATTGTTTAATGTTGTTTTAGGAGCCCAGTCCTGCACCAGAACCAGCTCGATTCATGGCACGCCCCATGCCGAAGAAGATATTTGAAGGCCCTGTAGGACTTGCTGAGAAAAAGCAATTCCCACTGACTGAACCCAAGTCTCCATCATTTTGTGCAAATGCTTTGAAGCGTGCCAAGGAAGCTACATCTCGTGTAACACCTTTAAAACATATGAACAAGATAACAATGAAAGTTCTAGAGGTGGGTTTTATTGAAGGCTTATTTCACCCTGAAAAGAGTGAGTATTGTTTCTGTTCACTACATTTGTTTACTTCCATTTAGGAGACTGGTGGGGTCCAGATTTTGAGAGAGAAACCTCTGGGTCACTTGGGTGTTCCATACACTGCTCAAACAGTTAAGACGACAACAGAGGTGAAGCCATTTAGTTTTGAGGAAAGGGACAAAGAGAGAATTCAAAGGAAAGAAGAAAAGCTTAAAGAGGTACTTGTATTAAATGTTGTATTTGGATGTCTAATTGATTCAACATTTATAATTTTTTCCATCTTATCTTTTTGAGCAGCTACAGAAACAGCTATCAGCCAAGCCTTCCTTTCATGCAAACCCTCTTCCATCTTTCAAAACACCACCACGGATTCAACGCACTGCATCACCTGCTCCACGGTCAAGAACTCCAGTTGTACTTAAACGTGACAGCTTGCAGAAGTCTGCTGCAACCATTCCTGATTCTAAGGTAACAATTAAACTAAAACTAGACAAGTAACACTAGATTATTTTATGGATTTTGCTTGCGGTGAAATGATTCTTAGAAGAGGCACTAAATCTTGCATGCTCATTATAATTGATTATGATCTGTTCCAGCCTGCTTTGATCTCGAATTTCAAGGCTCGTGCTCCTACTGTTCTTCATAGGAAGCCATTTGAGCCCGTTAAACCGAAAAGACAACTCCCATTGCCAGATGTCACTTTAGCTTCAGAGATCCGCGCCAAAGATAGGGAGGTATATGATCGTCAACTGATGCAGAGGGAGCAAGAAATGGAGGCTGCAAGGCAACAGGTAGGTGCTTGAGAAATGCCTCAGTAGATTGATTTGACTGCTCAGTATCTTGAGCTACTTTCTGACGCTCCCTTTTAACTTTTTAGTTTTTCCCTCTCTTATATTTGTGTTTCTTTAATTTTCCAGTTAAAGGCTGAGAAAGAAAAAAGAGAAATGGAAGAAATTGCTCTTTTAAGAAAGCAGGTTGTTCACAAACCCAATCCTGCGCCAAAAGTAAAACCCTTTGAACCTCAGCCCAGCAACAAACCTCTAACAGATCCCAACACTCCATTCTGCCTCAAGCGATCCAGAAAGGTTAATGCTGTATGAGGAAATTGCAATCTGTGGCCCAACATTCAGTTCTGGACCACTGCATTTGTCATTCCCGCTTAAGGTTTGTGAGAAGTATAAATATATATTGCAGACTGTTAATTTGCACTTGATGTCTCAATTAGATCTAAAGATAGTTCTTGGTGTTAAAATAGACAGCTTTTATTCATGGAGAATGTATATTAGCTTTAGTGCCTTTATATTTGTAAGTTAATTGTAAGTGAATTTTTTCACTGACCACTTTTGGGATGAATATCCTGTTGTGATTGGTCACAATTTAATTACTTAAGGACTCATTATGGACTTTTACTCTGGAAGGATTTTATTTAAAGAATAACTTTTTGAAGAGAATATAATCATTCCGTTCTCTAACTTTATGTCATATGTGTGCATACACACCTTTTAAAAGTAAACTTTTAATACACTAGATGTTTGTGATTTTGTAAAAGCATGTGAGATGAACATAAAAGAAATAAAAGCTTTATAAATACCTGAAGATTGTGGCTGTCTGTACCCTGTACTGCACGGAAAGTCTCTAAGGTGTCACGGAGAAAATGAACAATCTTTCGGAATTGTGGAATGATTTAATGTTTATGGATCACACGTAATGTAACTTAGACGACTAGGCTTTGCACAACCACTATTTGTCGTTGTAACCAATGAACTCTATTGTCATGAGATAATTACTGAGGAGACTCCTCAATGTGATAAGAAAGAAGGAAATGCACTTGAACCAGACTCACTGACTCAGTCAACAACTATCCAATATAACAGCTTATTTAACTCACCCAAGCGTATTAAAATGAAAAATAATATAATCAAGAAAAGAAAAATAACACATACTACAAATTAAAACGCTTAAGTCAACTTTCACTTAAAATTCGGAGGTTCATCTACAAGCTCTGTGGGTGGATGGAACATAGAGGCTGGTAGTGGAGTGCAATGTGAAGATCGTAGGTCCAACATATATTTCTTGCACTGAAAAGTAAATAAAAATGGACTTGAATAAAACAAAGCCAACTACTACAGAAAATTGATGATAATAAAATCTACTGCTTACAAGGTACAACACCAACTGTATCTTGGTACTTGTATCCAAATCTTCTCCAATGTGAAGAGGAAATGGACCCGAGCTCTCTTCAAAAAGTTGCATCAAGCGCTTTTTGTCTTCTCTAACTCTATGATGTTGCCACAAGGAATCTGCAAAACAAAATACATTTAAACCATTATGAGTTCAGTACTTCAAAATTCTACCTTGGTAGTCAGCAGAAGGCCTTGACAGAAGGCTCCTTGACTAACTTATGTGATTAGAGGTCATGATGCGGCAAGTTTCTGACCAAGGCTTCCACAATGGAATTCCTCTGGGAGACAGTTATTGTACAGCAGTGAATTTGATTGGGAGCCAGGAGAAAGGGAAGAGAGCAATCTGGGTCAATGGCCTGGGCCTCCTCCAACCACTACATATACAGGGGAGAGCATTTCTCTTTTTCAGTTCAAGTTGTTCCTCAAGACAGTCAGGATGAAATTAATCGTGACTTTGTGTCTTCTTTATGGGATTTGCTGGAACTTCTGTAGAGCAGCAACATTTAAAGGTTTGATTGAGTCTAATTTCCATTACAGTGAAAGCACACACTGAGAGTCTCTGATCAAGGCACCAATGTGTTGTTTTGCCTATCTGGACTGTTTAAAATGCAGATAAGCATGCCTACAACACCCTGGTGTGCTGTCAAATAACTTACGAAATTCACTTTTTTAAGGTATAAGTGAATCTGAAATTGAAGCTGATCAGAAATCCCCACGAGCAACGGGAGATAGCAACCAAACAAACAATATGAATGTAGGATTTGTTCCACTGATCAGCATCATAGCAAACCTATTACCAAGGTTTTTTACCAGATATGCAACAGTGCCTCAAGCAACTGTGCAGCAAGCTCGTTCCATAAGTACGCTCCTCTACCAATTAAATGAATTTACTGTTTACTTAAAACCATATCATTAATTATCATTCTTGTGAATTAGATGTTCAAAATGAAGAGCCAATTGAGTGTCACAAGTCTGAACAGGTTGGACTAAAATGGATGGATCATTTGTCACCATCAACTTTCTACCAATGCCACTTCTCCAAAAATTGCTTCAACAGTCACCAGGTAAGTTCCCACAAAAAAGAGTTTCAGAACTGCTGCACACACTCATCTTCTTCTCTATCAATAATATATTTGCCACTTACAGGGATCATGCTTTCAACTGAGAAAGCATGTTTGCAAACGAAGTCAAATCTACGATACAGAAAGTCAGAAATGCGTCCCACCATATTTCAGAACTTAAATTGAACAGCTCATGTATTGTGAATCATGCCTATGTATCTTGTACTGTAGGTATAATGTTAGCTATTTCTATGAATTTTGTATATGAGATTTATGCATTTAATTATTTGACTGACACCTGTAGACCACAACATCTTAATTTGAATTATCATTTCAATACACTTTTCTTCACTTTAGTTGTGCCCATGCTTGTATTTCCTGCCATGATTGCATCACATGTTTTCTGCAAATCAGATGCAGCAGATGCTCAATAATAAATACTTTTGATGAATCAAAACATAAAACTGTATTACATTGTTAGATTTTTAAGAATTATTTATCCATGTTTCAGTGTAAGTAAAAATTAAGATACGATATTGTCTCCAACTTTTAGACTTACTTTGACCATTGACATCCACAGCTAGCCACTCGTTTACAACCCTCATCACATCTGCAGTCATTAGCATAGGATACCTATATTTTAATAACTTCACTAGTAAATCATTTCCTCTGTTTGTTGATAAATTCATTTCCCTAAACACACAAAAAAAAGACAAAAGCCTTAAAACTTTTAACTGATTTCACAAAATGAATAATTCAATTTGGTTGGAAACTTACTCAGTGCAAATAATTTCATCATCAGTTCGTCTAATAAGCATAACTTGTCCAGGATACTTGATTAACTGCTCAGCAATGTTTAAATTAATGTAGTCTCGAATTGTTCTCCGCACTAGAGGCTCCAGGGTACTTGGCATACGTGGAATAGCAAGTGGCAGAATATCATCAAAAGATGCATCCAAAACCTTCATAGGAATGATAAACAAAACCACAGTGAATCAAGGCTGTTAACCAGTATTAACATTACTGACAAACAAAATTTAAAACTTACAACCAAATTGACATCTGGATAATTCATTGCTGCCCATGAAGTAGCATATCCACCAATGCTCCAACCGAACAAAATAATATTTTCTACAGGGAAATTTAATCCATAAATAGCAAACTGCATGACAACGTCCATAGCATTCAGTTCTTGATCAGGATAGGGCATTCCCTGGTTGAAATAAAAAAGTGGGGGTCTTCAGTTAGTTGTGGCAACTGCAGCCATACCTAATACTTTTTTAAAATAATTAGAGTCCATAAAGAGTATTATAAAATGAAATATTACCGTGCTACCTCCAAATCCAGGATGATTCCAGCCAAGGACAGAATAGCCAGCTTCAAGTGGGGTGACCATAATACCAAGTTCATAGAAACCTGCATTGCCCTCGCTACAAATTACCAGCATGTCACCTTTGTGAGTCCTACAACAGATAAGATGAATTTAGTTTCAGGAAATTAATAACATTAGAGAGGAATCTCAATAGGATGCAAACTTGTGGAACACCTTTTGCGTCGGTCAACAAAAAATGAATCAATCTCATTGCCGTCTCTAGCTAGCAGTTTGTTGCGAACCCCACTGTTTTCTTCCACCAGCTTGACACGGCCTTCAAGTAGAACAGGACCTAACACAAGCACAAGAGTGAAAGTTTCAACAACCCACAACACTTAAATTGAGAATTTTCTACAATGGGAAGTATTTACCCATAATGTAACCAAGAAGAGAAATGGACCCTGGGTAAACCATTCGAATTCCAAATGTGTGTGCTGCTAGATAAGCAGCAATTTGACAGGGCAGTGAAATAAATTGATCCACTGGACTTCGTCGAGATGAGGGCTTTCTAACAAAAAGACGTTGTTTGGACTCATCACTGAAACAAAATCATCATTTATAATGTAGAAAGTGCTGCCATATATACTAAAAGCAAGTAAAATAAATAGTTTCATACCTGTCACTATCATTCCACTTGAAATCAACTGGCATGCCAGAGAATTCAAAGTCATACTTAGATAAGGCTTTCTGTAACCCAAAAAGACAATGATAGAATGGATGGACTCAATAAACAAAAAGGTTGTGGAAAGAAAAAAAAACTTACTTTCGTATCTTTGTTAAGATGACGAGCAGCAGCATTTAGTGCTGCTTGAAACTCAAGGTAGGCCACATTATTTGCTCGTCCAAGCCCCCGAAGACAGTAAGCAGCAGCCAGAGTAAGTCCAAGTCCTGTCAATACCTTGGCCATAGTTATGAGGCTATCTATGATCAAATATCCTCTGCGGTAGAGGATTGAAGCCAGAAGGGGTGAGGTGTATAGCCCCACATTCATTAACACATACAGCTGTAAACAAATGAGACTATTACTGCAACAAAATTATTATGATAAAGAGCTTTGAAAGAGTAAGAAATAGCATAACTCAATATAAAGATTAAAATACAAATGACTTGACAACATCAGTGTCAATATCAGTACCATAAGATTTATGTTGAAGTAGGAAAACAGGCGGTACACAAATAAAAAAGAAATCATACTTACAGAGTGAATTACTTGATCGCCCCATCTTTCCAAATTGTTTGATTGATAAGCACCCTTAAAAAGAAAACAGCACCAGGTGAGACAGTCCTAACCTCCAACGGTTTTGTGCAGCATTGCAAATTTTCAGCCAAGCCAGAATTGCCACTAGCCAAACATTTAGCAAGAAGCACACATACCTGAGAGGTTCGTTCGCCGTATATTTTAATCAATCGCGGAGCTAACAAGCACTGCCAAATTAACTTAAACGACACCATTATGTATTTGTTCACAAGCCTTAGGGCCCCCGAAACCCGACCGACCCGAAACCGAACCTATGGTCGTCCGCACCAGGGCCCACGAGCCGACTCTGTCGCAAGAAGCAGTTCTCGACTACAGAAGGAAGTCTCTTTTGGCTGTGCAGTAGTGGAAAGGCGCTTAGGAAAGTCGACGTCTATTTCCTAACCGAGGTTGTCGCGGTCATGTAACGACGTAAAAACATCAACCCAAGACCGAACAATAAACCAACGATCCGAGTCGAACGAGCGATCCGCTCGAGAATTAGAAGTCCTACACAAGAAGGTTCGTTGGGGGTAGTGGCGGCGCAAAACAGTTTTACCGCGTTGTCCTTTCAAGAGTGTTCCCTCATCTTCGAATATCTCGTCCTAGAGCCTCACGCGAAAACAGATACTGCGTCCTATAGTGCATCTTATCTGCCAACCTCCAACATTTGAATAGATGTAGTCAATTTTCATTAAAAATGAATTAACTTCATTCATTCATCTCGCGAATTTTAACCAAGTTTGCCTGTAGCTCACTGTGTTTCTATTCTGTCTCTTCATGTCTTTTTAAATCGATCTGCATTTTAAAATGTTTGTCTGTTCCTCATGGAGTATTGAAGTGACACTAAATTTTTACTGATTTTTTCTGTCTTGTCAATGACATTTATTCTAATGTTTCGTGTCAATTTTCGGTATAGGCTTAGTTAGTTATGAGGTAATGTTTTCTCAATTACACATTCTGTCATGGCTAAACGGATTCATGTGTGTATACTTTTGAAAAAGTGACATTCATATCATACCAGAAGAATGGGGGGTTGCACATCTCTGAATCTTTATCTTCTTGCTGCTCTATTTCTGACCAAATTTTGCACCAGAGTAGAATGCACAAGTTCTTCTGTAGTTATCACCCAAGAAGAGCGTCTGGAATTACGGTAAGAAATACGCTACTGTTCTACTGTTCCTAATCTACTTCCTTGTCTGCTTGACAGCTTGTGTTCAAATTTTTAAACCATTGCAAATTATACGCAGTTTTGTACTTCACCTTATTTTTCTCTTTCCGTTGTTTCAGGGACGAAGCACGTGATATGTTTTATCACGCTTATAATGCATACATGGTAAGAGCACACCTCTTGTTTAGAATAATTTTGGGTCCCTTATGGGCTTATAATTCATAAAAAAATAATTTTGTTTTTCAGGAAAATGCCTATCCTGCTGATGAGCTTATGCCTTTGAGTTGTAAAGGCAGATGGCGAGGCAAGGAAACATCAAGGGGTGACATAGACGATACTCTGGGAAAGTGAGTTAAAAGGGCAATAAATTTGTCTTCGTTCTTTTTGTAATTGTAGCCTTCATGTACTAATCACTGCACCTCTTTCACTTTCAGCTTCTCTCTTACTCTTATTGACACATTGGATACATTGGTGGTGAGTTTAGATTTTTTATTGATGTCTTGTGTTAAACTTTTTGTTCTCTCGCTATTACTGCTTGTCTCTTCTTGACAGGTCCTGGGGGATGTTGATGAATTTGAAAGAGCTGTTAAGCTTGTAATAAAAGATGTCTCTTTTGACAGTGATGTCATAGTGTCAGTCTTTGAAACCAACATCAGGGTTCTTGGGTAAAGTACTTCTTACTCTCTTTACAAACAAAATGCATACTCTATTTTATTTTAGATTTGTTTTGATATTTATTGATTTACTTAACTTATATTAAAGTGGATTACTATCTGGGCACATTCTGGCTGAATATTTACAATTGAATTTGAATGTAATGCGATGGTATCGAGGAGAACTTTTACAAATGGCAAAAGATGTTGGATTTCGATTACTACCTGCCTTCAACACTTCTACTGGAATTCCTCATGCAAGGGTATGTCTTACAATTAAATTTGTTACAACTGTTATAAGTTGAAAAAAGAAAATGATCGAAGACCAGAGAGTTTATTTTTGTACTTTTGCAGGTAAACCTACGTCACGGGTTGAAAGTGCATGGTTTAGAATCATCACGTGAAACATGCACTGCTTGTGCTGGCACCATGGTATTAGAAATGGCTGCTCTGTCTAGGTTAAGTGGCGAGCCTATTTTTGAGGTATATATTGTGTACTACTGTAATCGTCCTGTTTTTGTTTTTTTGTTTGCTTTTTCTCCCTTTTTGTAACTTTGTTTAATATTTTCTTTACAGGAAAAAGCTCATCGTGCGATGGATGAACTGTGGAGACTACGTCACCGTAGCTCAGATTTAATGGGCACAGTGTTAAATATTCATTCGGGAGACTGGGTTCGAAGAGATTCTGGAGTAGGAGCTGGTATTGATTCTTATTATGAGTACTGTCTCAAGGCATACATTCTATTAGGAGATGACCGTTACCTTGGACGTTTTAACAAAGTATGATCTGAGGCAAATAAAGCCAATCAATTCTTTTGTTGTTTTAGATGTGAAATCATGCTTATTTAACACTTAATCTCTGCCATTTTTTCTAGCATTATTCTGCTGTAATGAGATACATTAGCCAAGGTCCGATGCTTCTAGATGTTCACATGCATCGGCCACATTCAAATTCCCGAAACTTCATGGATGCTCTTTTAGCATTTTGGCCTGGCTTGCAGGTAATGTCTTAAATCGAGATAATTTTATGAAGCAGTTCAATTTGATTGTGTTGTGCCTGTCTCAACAATGGACCATTGTGCCGCTTATAGGTTCTTAAGGGTGACATCAAGCCGGCTGTGGAGACCCATGAAATGCTTTATCAAGTTATGCAAAGGCATAATTTTCTTCCCGAGGCATTTACTACAGATTTTCAGGTTTGCCTCCTTTAATATTTCTGATAAAATCTTCCATCATTTTTAGCCCATAACAACCCTCTTTTCTATCTCAGGTTCATTGGGGTCAACACCCATTAAGACCAGAATTTTTAGAATCAACGTACTTCCTTTACAAAGCAACTGGTGATCCTTACTACCTGGAGGTAGGGCGCAAAGTTTTGAAAAGTTTGCAAAAGTATGCAAGAGTCTCATGTGGTTATGCAGCTGTAAAGGATGTTCGGACTAATGTTCATGAAGATAGGTATTTACACATAGCATACTTACAATAGGATTTTACACATAGCAGGAAATTTTTAAAAAAATCTTATATTTTGTTGTATTTTTCTCCTTCTTAGGATGGATTCATTTGTTCTTGCTGAGACTTTCAAATACCTTTATCTATTATTTTCGGATCCAAGTGATTTAGTTTTGGACCTAGACCAGTTCCTCTTCACAACTGAAGCTCACCTACTGCCACTTACTCTTGCACGCTCAACAAATGCTTCTCTCTTAAATGTAAGTGTTGTGGTCTGAATGTACCCTCCCTTCCAGCCTGAAAAAAACTAATTTTTCTGCCTTATTGAATGCAAGAAAGAAATATAACTTACTCCGCTCCCACTGATTAAGGAAACTCATTTGATTTGCTAACATTGTTCCTTTCTGTTTTATAGCTAGCAAATTCTATTGAAATAAATGGAGCCGACCTGTCCGGAGATGAAATGCCAGACGCAAGAACTTGTCCCAACACACAACATCTATTTCCTGAGAAAGTTCGTCGCCCTCTTCGTAATCTAGTTGATGGTGTTTGCCCTCGGAAAGAATTGAAGCGCAGGATTAAGGCTGTAGATTTCCAGGTGCCTCACGTTTCTTTTAAACTTAAAGCTAAAACAATTTGTCTCCAGGTTTCTATTTCTGATATTTTGTAAAGTCTAGTTCTTTTAACAAATATGTTTTTTATTTTGATAGATGGGGAACTCTGATCATATGAAGTTATTGAAAGAGATGGGCATAAGTATTATGTCTTTGGACGATGGGCGAGTCCAACTCGTACATGCTTTTGGAAATGCAAGTATAGGAATTCTCATATCTAATTTCTCCATTTAAATGGTTTTGCTACACATAGATATTGTTTTCTGTATTTTTCTCGTGTAGGCTGCTTCTTCAACTGATGCTGAAGAAGGATTGTTATTCATGCAAGAAATGGTGGAATTGTCCAAGACTTACACTCCACAAATGGAAACAATGCAACAGGCAGTCAGTTTTACCAATATTGTTACCAATAAATTAACTGTGATTCCGGCTGGTCCCGCTCACTTTGGAAAAATCCTCCGACTACCAGCTGACAAAGTATTGTCTTGTGTTGGTAATTGCTATGGAATCATTTATTAGTGCTTTTTTATGAATAAAATCTTTTTTGTTCTAGATAACAGCAAAACTAAGTGTCGCTCTGCCTATCAGAGGTTGTCAAACTATGAACTGGCCAGATGCAATCAAAGGTCGTATTGTAATTCTTGAACGAGGTGACTGCATGTTTGTGGAAAAGGTGTGGACATTTATTTTATTTTCTATCATCCAAAGATGTCTCATTTTTTTCCTCCTTCAAATTATTATTTGTCTCTTGATTGCTACTTCATGAGACATGAGCTCCCTTGTCTTATGGTTGTTTGTTGTTTTTGTTTTGTTTCTGTTCCTAGGCCAGACGTATCCAAAGAGCTGGCGCGGTTGCTGGTATTGTGATTGATCACACTGTTGGAACATCCGTCACAAAATCCACAATGTTTGCTATGTCAGGGGATGGAGTAGATGATGTTAAAATTCCCATGGCATTTTTATTCTATGATGATGCTGTACGGTTGCTAGAAGCAGTACGTTCAAATCCAGACATGGACATCACATTAAGTAGTTTTGTCGCCCTTGACGAAGGTACATGATGATTTATAGCTTATTGTAGCTTTCTTTATGCCAATGCAGTTAACTGTCAGTTTGGTTGTTGTAATTTTCTTCTCATTGTGCAGTTACAAAGGGCATGGTGAAAGAAAAAGATGTCACCTTGGAACCTCCCTCTAAAAATTCTGCATTAGATAAAATAAAGGAATCAATTATCAAATTCATCAACACTCCAATTCAACAGAAGTCCAGAGGGCTGGAAAGTAAGCCTGCACTCCAGCCACCTCAAGCATTCCCCGAGGTAATGGATTTAATAGCTGGAATTTATTTTCATTTCATCAACAGCGAGTTGTTTTAATTGTTGTTTTTGCTTCAAGGCACGTAGTGGTGATTCCAAAATTCCGCATCTAAATGAGCTTCTGCTGAGCATTGTCCTTCAAAGAGGCAGTGAGGTTCTGAAGAATGTGTTGCCAAGTGATCTGCAAATTCCTGATGAGTTGTTATTTAAGGTAAAAGACAAAATACCCATGCCAGAAATTAAGTTATACACTGCTCTGGCTCATCAGGGTCTTTTCACATTAAATGATCACTCCCTTCTGGACCTTCATTTCTTTATCAATACCAACCGCTATGACAAGACTAGTACTTCCAAACAAGATCCTGCTCCACACTTGGGTAGTGCTACACCAGTAGCCTTCCATCCAATTACTATGGAGGAAAAGCCAGGAGTAGAAGAGGAGTGTGCTGACTGTGATGTGATTAAAAATCAAGATAAAGGGCATATTCTTAGAGAGAATTATCCTTCTCTCATTTCATTACCACCTAGGCATGAATCCAAAGAAGGTGAACAAAGAACTACAATAGAAAAGCTCAGGTTCCCTGATGAATTGTGATTTTTTTTTTAGGTTGGGAGGGGGTGGGGGGAATAAATTTGTACATGCAATGTATGGATCTATAAAATTAAATTATATATGGTGTTTATTGGACTGTTGCTCAAATGTTTTATCTTTATCAGGTTTATCTTTAAATCAAATTCAAAAATAAACATGCTGTTGCTGCTTGATGTGCCACTCTGTACAACATTTAGGGTCCCTTGATATGCCCATTTGCTGTGGGCAAAATTGTATTAACAGGGTAAGAGTAAAGATTTTTTTATTTGTTATTCAAATAATTTATTACATTATTGAAGGCTCAGTTGCTTACATGTTTTGTGACTCTTTGTTGGTTTATTTTGTAGTTTTGCTCGTATTCATGTTTTAGTTGTAGTTCTGAGAAGACTTCAGTCAGCTGTGGTTAGCCAATGTTCACCATTGCACGACATGTCGATGATATTAGTGTATATATTTGACAAACAAAAATTAAGATTCATTCCATTTATTTTTATTTTTTTAAAAAATAGGCATCAGGGTTGATAGATTTCCCAGTTGATTAAGGCAAGTGTTAATTTATTTTTAACCTAGCCTTTTCTTCTCTTGAGCTTAACTGCTTCTGATCACTTGTGTGGTCTAGCATTGCAATGAACGCAGAATTTTGATGTTGAAGAGCCATTAAAGCATTTGCATCTGTAAATACTGTAATTTAAAAAAAAATGTGTGTACATATCTAGATGATTTTCTTAATATGTATGTGAGAGTAAATGGTTCTAATTGAGCCTGACTGATTGTCTTTGCCTATGTAGATGCAATTGTATCTAGTCTTTAAATGTACTGTAATATTGTATCCATCATTATCCCATGATTCGATCCTCATTTAATTAAAAATTATGGCTGCTGGCCCATAAGGATCAGGCTAAGTAATATTTTACACTGCCTTGCTACAGAGTTCTCAGTGGAATCTCCTCTGCTGTGCATTTTTCAGCTGCTACTAGAACTGTACTTTGTAAAAAAATAAAGTAGTACAAACTAGTTCAATTTATGTATTATGAGGTACAAAGCAATCAGGTTGGAAGACCTACTTGTGTCTTAGGTTGGATAATACTGTTTCACAGCACTGAATTCCGTTGTGAATGTAGTATCTGCAAAACTTATTTTCTGTACTTTGGTATCAACCATTTGACTCAGCTGACCATTGTTTCTTGTACAGCAGCAGTCTAAAGTGTGATACTGTGTAAAAGATGAAAAATAAAACAGTGATATTTTGAATTTAAAAGCGTTCATTTCCAGATGTTGAAACACTATATTCTCCATGTTAGAATATGGATTGAACTTAAAATGCAGAAAAATGTAACCAACCAAGATAACCACACCAAAAATCGTATTTTCTTCTAACTTCACAACTTATGGTTCATTAGATGGTTGTGTTGCTTGAGCTAGATGATTGCTAAGGCGTTGTTTCCTCTCTTCTTCCATCCTTTTTGCCTCTTCCCAGGCACTGAGAGACACCACTTTTTCACCATGGCTCAAAGACACCAACCTTAACACACAGCAATAAATGAAAGAATCATCTGAAGTGTGGTTAAGTACCACATTTAATAGTGAATAAACCTAATGCGTACCTTGCAAGTACTAATAATAAGTGCAAATCGTCAGCTGAAACACTACGGCCACCCACTTGTCGCATTGCCACAAAGTCCTCTTGCGCTTTCTTAAAAGAACAGAAACATTTTATGCTGGTAGAAATTATCGACTACGTAAACAAACATATTAATTCCACTTATACCTTTTGAAGATCTTCAGGAAACTCAAATGTAGAATGTCTCATACCACAAAGATACAACCGAATGGCACTAAGAAGAGGCTCGCGTAGGAAGTGGTTTGCAGCTTGGAAGATTTCTGGCAGAGTATTCAAACTGGCAGAGTCTGCTTTAAGTGGTACAAGAACATCACACTGTGGAATGAAGTACAGTGGATCAGAATCTGCCCGTATAAGCAAAAATTTCACAATAGCGTTCTATTTGATGATGGTAACTTACAGGCAAAAGGGATTTTCCTTCAGAGAGAATGAGAACTGGAATATCAGCATCATAAGGCTTTGTATAGTACTGAAAATCGTAGTTCACAATTTGTTGGGAAATGAGAGTGCGGAGAGCTTGCACATTTGCTACACCTAAAATAAAATTTTAGAAACCTTATAGAAAAGTTCAATCTCAAGTTATAATGTGATTTCTTTTTTCAAACATTTTCGCAAGATAGAGGAGAGAAACACACCTGAAACATCAAGCTTTCCAGCTTCCAGCCTGGTTTCATCAACAATCAGGTGGGTGTTGTCACTCAGTTGAAGAAGGCCAGAAGAAAGACGATTGTTCTCATAGTCCATTCTGTACAGAACATCATAATTATATGCATACAAAAAATGCATACAGATGCAATCAATATTCACCAAACTGCTAACACTTACTTAGGTACAAATGACAAGGTATTCATATTTTCCAAAGTCATAGGTAGATAGTGGCTTTTTGGAAGGATTCTTTGCAACACAGAATATAAAAGTCGGGTGTAGTCTGGTCGCCGTGGGAGGTTTGATAAATTCAGGGAAAAGTGACCTAACGCAAGACCATCCTTGCGCATGTACCTGTACAAATGCAAACATGCACAGACTGAGGTTGTAGTGAAATAAGAACTACGTAATTAATCAAGTGGATCCTTAAATTTCCTCAGCCAAGACTCACACTAGAGAAATAAGGTGACATAGCATATAATCAGCAGCCACCGAGTCCCCCAATAACATCTGACTCAAGACAAAATGGAGTTCCTTCCTCATTGATTCAGCAGATTGAAACACATCATCTGAAGGAAGAAATGGTCATGAGCAAAGTTTTGTATTGCACTTTGACAGCATTACGCACCAACAAAGCTAACAACCCACCAAATACACTGGGTACCATGTTCATGTGCATGAGTTTCTGCAAAGCTACAGCATGAAGCCTTGGGACCAAAGAGGGAGGAGGATTCTCAGCATCTGTTTCCAAACTGGATGAAGATGACGCCAGTGAAGGATTTAACGAAAGAAATCCCACTACATCAATAATATCATTTAGCTTTAGAGAGTCGCTGCTATCTGAATCATAAATCTGTAAAGACAAGATACAGAGTTAAGAACTGCCAACGAATGACAATAGGAAGGTGCTTTACCAAATCATCCATTGCTACGTAGTACTTTCAAAAATAACAGATAATAAAAATGACTCACCTTGACAATGCAAGCTATTCCAGTGGCTCCGTCAATGGGAAAATTGAGACTGAGACCTGAGCAGGAAGAAATTGCCGGACCTTTTTTGGATTCGTCTGTAGATAGTCTTTTACCTTCGTGAGTAGAACCACTGAGAGAGTAGAATAAATGTATTTCAGAAAGTAAAAGAAAAAGCACAATCAAAATAAAAACTAAACTAAGAAGATCATAAATATGATTTTGTGACCTGCTGTAGGGTACAGATGCAGAGCTTTCAGAAGATCCAGCACTGTCCACATCCATGGGTTCTTGATCTTCAACCTGACGCTTTGTACTCGTATTTGGAGTTTTAAAAGGACTTGGCACATTATTCGATTGTCTACCACAGAGTTTCTTCTCTTGCTGGAATGAGGGACATTTCAATTACAAATAGAGATGATAAAAGCTTGTAACATACATGGGTTGGATCTTGAAGTACCTCATACACCCAATCATTGAGTGCAGGTGTTGTAATACAATAAAGCACTTGTCTTTCTTCAATAGCATCATTCAAGTTTTCAACTAACTGTTCTTCAGGCTAAAACCAACAAGATAACATAACCATGTTACAAAAGCAACAATAAAAAGAAATATTGTAAATAAATTTTACTCACAGAGCACTGGATAATATCCCTGTATCGTCCCGACCTGAGCTGCTTTTCTTTTGTTAAATTGTGCTCAACTTCGTATTTACCCATGAAGTATTCAGGATTGTACATGTGCTGAACCATTCCACGAAACCGAACAAATTGATGGTCTTGGAGCTCATGATTTGGCACGACATTAATCAAAGGAATCTGATCATAAAGGAATTTTCAATTAATAATAGCAAAGCTAGGAATCAGAACGGTCATCAACAAGTAATCGAAAATAATGCTGTGTCGCTCACGTCATTCCAGTTGCTGGTTTCATTCAGTAAACTTTTGAAGTAATCAGGACGAGCCTCCCAATCCGATAAAGAACACCTTAGAACCATATTTTCTGGTTGGTAAAGGAGATGTTCTGTTGGAGGATGCACAAGAACAAGGAATGCCAAGGTTAATGGTGAATTGACAATGCAGCGCCCGATTTTAAAACTAGAGACAGTTAAAATTGATGAGATGAACACTTCGGCACTAAATAAGCATACAGAGATCAAATGTGCAAACAATTGCACACAAGATAAAAAGGTGAAAGGATCCGGCTTAAAAACTTCTAAGTAGAGAGAACAAAACAAACAGTAGCAAGCAGCAAGCACAGACACTTTGCGCGCGAGTTTACCGCCCTTCTGTCTTTTGTCAGTATGGCAAATTTAGATGCAACAAATTTCTCATATTTTCATTTTGATTGCAAGCAAATCAAGCTTGATAAAGCTCCTAAAACAACCAACAGTATAGTTGATTTCAGAAAGCATTAAAAAAAAACAGACAGCTAGTGATTTAGGGTCGAGAAACGAGTAAAACCTCAGTTCAAACCTTCCGGCCTGTAACCGGAAACTAACTTTCGCCAACATACTGCATTATTCCACGACATTGGGTTGATCAAAAGACTCATAAATCTGAGTTGATGTTTTCAAAAAAAGCAAAGGAAAGTGAGAAATATTTATTGATTCATTAGGACTTATATTTTGAAATGTTCAAGCAGGTTATGAAATTACTTTTCATTGTTCAGAGGTTGGTGCATTGTATTACGAAAAGAAAACGAAGAGGAAGAAGTCTCGTGAGCATATTCAACTTCCGGTGACAGCCCTAGCCTTTCTTTTCTCAGTCGGCGTGTAGTGATCTGGAAGTGTAAACTCGTGTGAGTTTCAATTTTTGTATGTCTACGTCCCTATCAAACTTTTAGAGTTATTTTACATCTTATTCGCGTTTTGTGAACTGAGCTGATGTACGTTTTAAATTCGATGGTTTACTATCTGAAGACGTTTGATTGAATTTCTCGTGTACACGTGGTAGTTGTGCGGTGCGCCTGTTAGGCTTACTCCGGCCTCCAATTGTTTACGGATTACGTAAATGCACTCAACCTACCTCATATTTTACCTACTGAATTTTCAGCAGACTACCCTTAAGGCTCATAGGTCACGAGTACAATACTTTTTGCGAGGGCTTCACAACGTCTTGTTTATGTTGCTCATTAGTGTTCTGGAGGTTATGTGCCCTTCTATTTTCTTTGCGGACTGAATTGTTACTGCGGCTTTACTTAGTGTACTTAGTTATTGGTCCGATATTTTTCGCCTGTGTCAGCGATTTATTTTTTGCGTGTCTTATCACTGGTCCCGTATTAGTAGGTAGTGTCAGGGATTGGAAGCTTGAACAGCTCGTTCAAGACGGTGGCTCAGCCAAGCATGTGATTTGACACCGCTCTGTTTGTTCGCAGCCAAAATGTCCGACGAAAACTGGGATGAGGATGTTGCGGTGGGAGCCACAGACTTGGCTTCTGCCCAAACAGCGGAGATGCCCGAGGTCAAGCTCTTTGGCCGCTGGAGCTGTGACGATGTTCAGGTGTCTGACATGTCCCTGCAGGTATGATTTTCACTTTTTGCATGTCTTTCTATGAGCGATTTGTCGACCGTTTCTCACTTTGTTTGTGTTTTGCAGGATTACATTGCAGTTAAAGAGAAGAATGCTAAGTACCTTCCTCACTCAGCTGGTCGTTATGCTGCCAAGCGCTTCCGCAAGGCTCAGTGCCCCATTGTGGAGCGACTCACAAACTCTTTGATGATGCATGGCCGCAACAACGGTAAGAAGCTGATGGCAGTCCGCATTGTCAAGCACGCCTTCGAAATCATCCACCTGCTCACTGGAGAGAACCCTCTCCAGGTCTTGGTCACGGCCATCATCAACTCTGGGCCTCGTGAAGACTCCACACGTATTGGCAGAGCTGGTACTGTGAGGCGACAGGCTGTTGACGTGTCTCCTCTGAGGAGAGTGAACCAGGTGAGCTGCTGTCCCAGTTTTTCCTTTGTTCACTTAAGAGTGTTCACAGCAGTAACATTCTTCCTATCTTTCAGGCCATCTGGCTGCTTTGCACGGGAGCTCGTGAAGCTGCCTTCAGGAACATCAAGACCATTGCCGAATGTGTTGCTGATGAGCTTATCAATGCTGCCAAGGTATATTTCTGAGTTTCTTGCATTGAGAATATTTTAAATTTTTCCTTATGTGTTACCATTTCAAATGTCGTGTACTTATGTTACTCTTCTCTTTTGGTTTAGGGATCCTCAAATTCTTATGCCATTAAGAAGAAGGATGAGTTGGAGCGTGTGGCGAAGTCTAACCGTTAATTATATTTCCCTGTTCACATCAATAAAAGATGTGAAAACTTTAGTTTGTTCTACTTCATGCTTCCCCATGGTTTACCTCAACACACATGATGCAAAGAGTTACTCATCAGATATGATTTTGTCAATTTCTTTTCCCTTTGAATGGCATATTGCTCATTGTCCTATCTTAATACCATGAAATAAGTCAAATGTATTACAGGATGAGCCCTTCAGCTATTAGTTTCTGTTTGTCTTGTCTATTCAATGAACATGATTGTAGGAAGTATTATGAAAGTTGATAAGAAAATGTTAACATCAATTATGACTGTTTTATAAAAGAAAATGAAGGGGGGGGGGGCAATTGCACATCTTTTGCTTCTCTGTGGGAAGAGTGACTAGATGCTTGGTACCTGTTTCAAGCCTGTAGCCCTATTATCCAATTGCACCCAAGACACAGTTGCATTTCAAGTTCATACATCAAGACGGACTAACTACATATGCCTGTGGTTGTGACACATTGTGTACATATTAAAGGAACACTTGAGTGAAAACTCTTAACTTTCCTGCTCAGAAGCCGAGTTAATGAATTTTGGCGCTCGTTAACATTTCTGCTCTGCCTGCTATAATGCCTCTCTGTGTGCCCCGCCTACACCAACTCCCCCCTCCCCTCCATCTCTTCCACCCCCCACCCGACGCAGCGAGAAGTTTGTAGGCAAACTGGCTCAAAACATCTGACAAATTGATAAATTTTAACGAGAGCCTTATTTTTTTCACACTTCTCTTATATTTGATTGGCCCTATGAATTTCTTATAGTTCCGTGCAACTATACGGTTAGTTATGATAATTACGTTTCCGATGCTGAAAACGAATGTGTCTGCTGCTTTCATAGTAGTTTAGGTTATATTGCTATGTTTCCCGATCAAAATACATGTTTGCCTTGTCATTGCGTCTATTGTTATGCGCTTTTCTGTTTTGAAAAGGCTCCTAATTTTTGTATACGAGTCTTTTGTTACCTCTTTGTTGTCAACTTCTCCACTGCCTATTCATAGGCCAGTTGGTTGTTTCAGCAACTTTGTTCAGTGAAACTCTTTGTGCCATCTGCTTTTAAAGCTGTCTTCCATGTCTTTACTTCATTTTGCTCCTTTTTAAATTTCTGATTATGTCCTATTTCTGTTGTGTTTACTGTTACAGCAATCTGAGCTTGTTCTCTCTATCTTTGCGATATAACTGGACATCGACTGACATCACAATTGTGCGATATTTGAGACGCCCTGTGCTATGATAGTATCTTCATGTTTCAGGTGTGAATAACTTTTTTATCACCTAAAATAGTATAATTTTAGGATTTCATATCGAATTTTGTTTGCAACTTGACAAATTTATGATCAAATTTTGTTTTGTCTCACCATTTTTTTTCTTTTTGCAGATTATAGTATAATCTTCCCATTTGTCCGTCATGATCGATTTTACATGATCTCTAAGACCCTGGTCGTAAAATAGATTTTCAATCAAGAACATTTATCAGTAAAACTTGTAGGTATGGAGGGAACCACTGAAGTAACTGAAACAGATGTGTCTGTGAACTCTCACATTTCACCTGAGGAAATGAACAGGTAAGCAGTAGTTGGCTTGGGTTTTGTGGTCTATGAGTTGAAGTTGAATGATATTTACTGTTTTCTGCAGATTTTGTGAGGCATCTGAGGTAGTGGTGTCAGAAGCTGTTTCGTGTGAAACTGAGGCCTCTACATCTAGTTCAGTTATTATGACCACCCCTCGAACTCAAGAAGTCCCAATGGTCAGCTTATCTGGTGGCAAGGCAGTATATCTCTCTGATCAATTTACTGCTGTGCTTGTAAGTTTTTAATAATAGGATAGCAATTTGGTACTAAATAATATATCAGCTTGGAATATTCATTTCTTTTATCTTATTGATAGGTCAAACCAGAGTCGCTGTTGTATGGTGTTGAAGTTCCTGTTGTGAAGAAAGAACCAGATGAGTTGCCCTCTAATGATATAATCACTGTAGCTGCTTCTTCAGGAGTTTATTCTGATGGGGTTTCTGTTCCTGTCACTCAACTTCCATGGCTTGCACCTATTAGTCAACCTATCGATCAGAAGGATGTGCCTGATGACGCACAGAAGACTCAAAATCCGATGTTGGTTCCCCATGAAACCTCACCTGATTCTGCATCAGCAACACCTGCAGCTCCTTACATGTTTGAAAGTAAAGATCGCCTTTTTGAGTGTGAATTCTGTCCTAACATTCGATTTACGAGAGGACAATTGCGACGTCACAAAACAGTCCACTTAGGACAAAGGAATTATATATGCAATACTTGTGGGAAAAGGTTTGCTTGGAAACACTCTTTATTGAAGCATGCGGTCCTTCACACTGGTCAAGCACCATTTTCATGTGGCCAGTGTGGAAAACTGTTCTCAGCAGCCCATCATCTCCAGCATCATGTTAAGCAGCATGAAGTTCAGAGACGCTTTGAATGCACCAAATGTGACAAAGTGTTTACTCAGTCTGAGGAGCTTACCATGCATCTTGAATCTCATTCAGATAATGAAACCTACATGTGTAGTATCTGTGCAAAATGTTTTGTTTCAAAGTTCGAATTAAGTGCGCATGTGCGTTCTCATAATGATACCAGTGGCATTTCCATGGCAACTGAGGATGATTCACTGCTTAAACAAAATGTGGCGCACAGTGGCATAGTTTACGTTACCCAGCCTGATTTAACGGGAGGCCAGGTGATAACCCATGAAAAGCTTGTAAGTGGAGCCGTCAATCAAATAACTCCGCACATTGTTACTCTACAGGCTGCAAATCCCAATGTACCTGTTACTTCAGTTGCTTCTTGCCCAAGCACATAAATAATTTCAATGTATATTTGTTTTGTGTGAAAGTTCTTTAATATTGATCTGTAGCCCTTTGTCTTCCTACTAACATTTCGGAACTCATTTCCTTGTTGTGATACTGTGCATTAAAAACAACTTTTTTCTTTTCTTACGTTTTGTCTGTAGTGTCAGTGAAACCAAAACGTTTCTAACCAACAATGTGGGTTTCACAGTTGTCTTTCTGACTAGCATTTAAGGGCAAATGTGTCTTGATGTTGTTTGGTTTATTCAGATCATATCTAATTATAGTATAAGATGTAGATGTTGTGTGTACAAATTAGTATGAAAACCTCTATTTCATGTAGTTTTGTTTAATGCCTTTAAAGGGCCAAATGAGTTATGCAATATAAGAAGGTAGTTTCTTAATATTTTTTTTATTTTCTTACTTTTTTCTGCTGTGCACTTAATTTTCTCTCTTTCATTGGGTAACCATTCATACTTTTGTGTCATAAGAAGAATGGTGCTGCTAGCAATTTGAATGGTTTCTATCCAACTGTGATATCCATTTCAAACAAAAGTGTAAGTAATCGTGATCAGTTATTTGGAAAAAGAAAAAAAAAGAGTAGGTTTATCTCTTTAAAATGTGTTGTTTATAATACTCTCTCCAAGATTATGTCACCCTCTCAAAATAAAAACGTTGGATCATCTACTATGAAGAACAAATCCTTCAAAGGCTGCACACAGGTTTTTGAACCATTACTCCAATTTGGGTAGTGATGCATTAATTTTGTTCAAACAATTTGGTTTAGGATTATTGATCTTTGGTGCATTTAAGTACATGGGAAATATTGGTGTGTTAACATTTTTGCTTGTGGATATTGAAATAATACTTAACAGTCGGCGAAAGAGTATTAAGGTGCTGCCTTTATTGTTTTACCTGCCTCTCACACTTATTCCATGTTATTTCACTATGAGGTGACTGATGGTGAATATTTGTTTAAGTTTAAAGGTGCTCCATTTCCCAAGTTATTCCTATGTGATAAATTAGTAACAGATTACTTATTTAGGAAGCCATTGATTATGATGTATTTTTGTGTCATCTTCTGTTATGTACAATTGTTGTAAGTGTTATAAATTTTATGAGGGTTAAAGTTTATTTGATTTTTAAGAGGAGAGCTTCAACACTTCTTTATTTATGTTGATTGGAAAATGTAGTGTTAGTTTATACAGCAAGTGGTATCAGCTGTTTTGTGCCACTGTGTGCGTACTTCATTTAAATTTATGAGACACTGCATCACATTTTCAACAAACAATTTTCCTCATTTGACAAATATAGGTGATGGGGTTGTTTTTACATTTCCAATGACCCATTATCTACCCACTCAATGGTTCTGAAACTACTGGATAATTTTGATCTTAAATATTATATTTTGAGTGCTCTAAAATGTTAACTTCTTTTGTAAGTGGTATTGGGCTACATTCCATTTTTAAGACGTATGATCTAAACTTGAGTTATTTAGGAGTATTAATCTCACTATATAATGATGTATATGTATGTGATGATTTAATTGGAGGCATGTTATATGCCTCTGATCTGCTTTCATGCATAAGAACTCTAAGGAGTACCTTTCACTGCTATTGTCACAATGTCTCCGAATGCTCTTGTGTTCCTATGTGTTTGGAGGCATGTTATTCCTGCTTACCGAATTAAGTGATATTGTCATTAATATTTTATGTACTTTTCTTTAGAGTAGAAGTCTACACTATTACAAGTAAATGTTTTTAACCTCTTTATATTTCATCATTGGGTTTTGTCTATTACGATTAAGTATTGAAAATACTTTCTATGATTGTGACCTATGCATGATAAAAGTTGCAAGAGTGTCCTGTTTCCTTTTGCTTTGCTAAGTTTGTTCTTGCTCTTTCGTTTTGTTAATGTTTGATTTAAAAAAAATAAGTTGGGAAATTATTGGTAATTAAATAACTGCTGTACCCCTAAAAAGTTCCTTTCTAATGACATATTCTTAAGAAAATAAAATAATCTTACAGTCCAACTAGGCCTCAGTTATTCTCCCAGCCTCTTTCAACACATCAATCCGAACAGGCAACAATCATGAGTCACCAAAAGACATATCAGGATACATGCATTCATCTTGGAAAAAAACAGGAAATTTTAAAAAAATTGTCATGGAAATTGATGGCAAATTTCGGACTTGCTCTACAATTTGGATTATCAACAGCACCAAAAGCGGAAGGATTGTGCACAGAGACTATATCAAAGTTGTTTCTCCCTCATAACTAACTCAACAAAGTGAAAGAGACCAAAATTTACAGTGTCTCAGCAAGTTCTGCCAAGGAAGCGAAATGCAAGCTGAACCCTTTTTTCTCTTGCCGCACACAGCTCCCCTTCGCCGGGCCTTTTTGGCCGGGGCTCGGGTTGCTTCATCAGGATACAGTGCTACACGGCTACCCAGCCAGCGAACAGGGGGAGTCCCACCTACCCCCACCCGACTTCACCCGAGGGGAGATAGGGACACCCCCACCACAGCTCACCCCACTGCCAGGGGCGGCGAGGAGGTGGGCGCAAGCGGAAGGGGGGCGCAAACCTTGCTAACGGGGCTGGAGGGCTGGGGGCTGGAGGGCTGGGGCGGTGGAGAGGGGTGCGGTGGGGTGGCTGGCTGGGCCCCGGGCTGGGCTGGGCTGGGGCTGGGGCTCCTCCAGCAGTGCCTAACCACCCCAGTCTCCAACCCCTCCGGCCTCCACAGCCCCGCGGCCCCCGCGGCCCCCGCGTGCTGCGCTCAGTTGCCGTCCAGCCGCCCCCGCGAGTGTTTGTACCGCGCGCTCCACCTAGTGGCGAGCCGAGTGGAAGCCGAGCCGAGCCGAGCCGAGCAGAGCCGAGCCGAGCCGCATCGAGCCGCATCGAGCCGCGCCGTGACGCGTAAACATCCCGCCTTGCCTTGCCTTCCCCGCCCCCCTGGCCCCGGCAGGGCCCCGCGCCCCGCAGGCCCCGAATTGACTAAGGACCAAGGCGAAAGGCAAAGGCAAAGGCGCCAAGGCGCAGCCAAGGACCGAAGGGACCGCAGGGACGGCCTGACGTCGGCCAGGCGACTCGCACCACGTCAGTGACGTGGTGGTTGTTACGTGCCCGGTGTTGTTATGCCGACAGTGCCAGTGAGTGTCGGCGAGTGAGTGAGTGAGTGCGCGCGGTGTGCAGCAGACAGCGCAGACAGCACGCAGGGCGAGCGAGATAAGAAGGCGCCGAGGGACACGCCGGCGTCACCATGGGCAAGAAGAACTCCAAGCTGAAGCAGGAGACGATCGAGAGGCTGACGACGGACACCTACTGTGAGTACCGCAGCGCAGCCAGTGCAGCGGAGCGGACTGCACCCAGCCTCTTGTAGGCGGGGGCGCGCGGGGGTGGGTCGGAGATGAGTGACTGCATCGGAGCGGGGAGGGGGTGGGCTGGGACGGCACCAGGAAGGGACCAGGCCGGCGCCAAGTTGTGGCGCCACCCCGCGAGCCCCGCGAGCCCCGCACCTCGCGGCGTCGATGTTCCTTTGTCGCCCCTTGAAGAGGAATCCTGCTTGCCCTGCTTGCCGAATTCACGGCGGAGCGGCTCCGCTCTCTTTTGTGCTTGTCCCGGGGTGCAGCCCCAGCCCCCAGCCCCCAGCCCCGCACCCTCTCGGAGCACCTCCTGGAATCCCTCCTGGAGTCGCCCCTAGGGTCCCCCCGAGGCCCGCACTGGCGGCGACCCTTTCGCCCGACGCTTCGCCTCGCCTCGCCCCCACGGCCCCCACCCCTGGCTTGGCAACTTTAGGTGAGCCCCCGCACCGCCCGTCGTGCCCCGCCCCTTCCTGCCCACTCCGTACTCCGTCCCTTGAGTCCACATCCCACCTCCAGCTCGCAGTGCTGGCCTCAGCGTCGGCGCTAGGCCCCCAAAGCGTGCTGCGACTGCCTTGGGCGGCCTCGGTGCCGGCCTGGCATGGCCCGGGGGCCCGGGCTAGTGGCTGGCCGATGACTGACATCACACGGCACACGGAACACACCTCGCGCCGTATCAGATAACGGTTGCGCACCGTCCCGTCCCGACCGGACGCCGACCGGCCCGGCAGGCCGCGTAGAGTTTCGATAGCGGTGCAGCGGTGCAGCAGCGGGCCGACCGGCCGCAATTAGACGCATGCGATGCAGGGCGATGCAGGGCGATGCAGGGCGATGCAGGGCGATGCAGGCCGCGGCGCGGCCAGGCGCTGGCGTGCCGCGCCCTGCCCCATTGATTCCGCATACTCGATGGCCTGCTTCGGGTCGAACGGGGTCGTCGTCTGGGCTTTGGGCGTCGCGGCGGCGTCCGACGCGCAGCGCGCAGCCCGAAGCGCGCCCCGAAGCGCGGTCCGCCCGGCACGCCCTCGCTCGTGCGCGCCAATGTTTCTTTCTTTTCCAGCGAGGGTCGAGCAGAGGCGCAGCGCGGTGGTGCGTTGGCCGGGTGGCCACTCTAGAGTTGTCCTAGATCCTACGGCTGGCATTACGGCGGTATCACGCGGATAAGGAAGGGCACTGCCCGACCGGGCCGCTCCGTAGGGTTGCCTACCCGCCCCTCCTGTGCATGCTTGCAGGAAGGGACGGCGCAGCGTTGGCGCAGCCCCTGGGGACGCAGCGACCCTGGCCGCGTGCAGTGCAGTGTAGTGCAGTGCGGTGTGGGACCGACCGTGCTCGAGGCGAACAGGCGGACGCCAAGTCGCGTCTGGGCGTGCAAAAAGCGACATATTTCAGGGCTGCGGCGCTGCGGCCCCCCCCCCCCTCCCTCACCCCCCGGCCGCCGACCGCGCTCCGGAACACCCTCTGCATCCTCGCCCCGACAGCCTCCCCCCATGCCGCTGCGTATTTAGCCGTCATTGTCTCGTCCATCGGCGTGCCCACGCTGCGCCTGTCCGAGGCCCGTGGCTGTGGCGGCTGTGCCCGCACCCACACGGACTGCCGGACACCACCGCCGGAGTGCCGGGGGCTCGGCCGGGGGCGCGGGCGGCCTAAAAACCTGACAACGGAGACACGGCCGGGCGGGGGCACGGCGATGGGGACACTCAATCTGCCGACGCGGCCATAGCGGCCGTGGCGCGGCGGCCTCTGCGGCTGGCGGACTCTAATGGGCTGCGCGGCCGGTGGTTAATAGGAGTCCGCCCCGCCCCGCCACGCCACGCCGTGTACCGTGAAATACCAAGGCAGCCTTATCTGGTTGTGATAGCGCCACAGATAGAGTGACGCAGTCACAACGGCCGCTACGGACGTGCACTTACACTCACTCACTCACTCACTCACTCACTCACTCACTCACACACACACACATCACAGAGAGAGAGAGAGAGAGAGAGAGAGAGAGAGAGAGAGAGAGAGAGAGAGAGAGAGAGAGAGAGAGAGAGAGAGAAGCAGGCAGCGCGTAGGGCATGCGTGTCGGTGACGTTGCCTACCCCCGACTCCGCAGGCGCTCTTGCTCGGCTTCGGTGGGCGCGGCGGTGCGACAGTGCGTCGGTGCGGCAAGCTGCCTCGGTCCAGAATCGCCTTTCTTGAGTTAGGCGCGGCTGCTGCGGCGGCGCTCGAAGCGAGAGAGAGAGAGAGAGAGACAGTGGCGGCCCGCGGTCGGTCTGACCGGAGTGGCTCTGAGACGGGCGCCCACCGGCCAGCCCCCGTCTTACGCCGTATCGCCGTGTCCGCGGGGGATTGTCTGATTCGCTTGTATCGCGGCACCATTTACCATGTTCGTTTTCGCGTGTGATTAGTAATTCCTACTGGCGGGTCCAGCGACAACGGCCGACCTGCCGCTGCCGCTCCTAGCGCACGTCCGCACGGCTGCCAGCACTGCCAGCACTGCCAGCACTGCCAGTGAGGTCGGGGTCGGGACGCTACCCAACTACCGACAAAAATGGGAAAGCCACTAAAAGTTTCTACAACTTTTTTCAAATCCTCAAAATTTTTGTCAACTTTTTGGACCCGTTGGTGGTGGTCCCCTTGACGGCGCTGAGGGCTTGCTCGGGGGTCGGGGCCTGTCTAATGCGATGTCCTACCACCGCGGCCCCGAGTCCACTACGGCCACCCTACGCCCTACGGCCACGAGGTGCGTGAGCCAAGTGGAAATGCGTCCAAAGAACCCGGCGAGCACCGCCCCTTCCCCTCCCCGCCTCTCCCCACCCCCTTGCCCCGCACGTAATCTACCGTTAACTCGGCGTGCGCTGTCACATATTTCAGGGCGACGGCGTGGCCGGGGCTCTGCTGGTGCCCCCCCCCCCCCCCCCCCCCGAGTTGCGCTGCGGGTCCAAGTCACCCCCCTCGCGCATACTCCGCCGCTCAACCGCTGTCCCGCTGTCTTGCGCCACTCGGCGCCACCCTTGGCTGCTTCCAAGCGGGGTTCCCGTCGGTCCACCTTGGCGGGGCTCTCCACGAGTGGGAGAGAGAAGGGGAGCGAGCGTTCTGCCACTGAGAACCCCGAGAACCGCCCCCGCGGCGCGAAATATGCCGGCGTATTCGTATATTCCGGCGTGTTTACGACCGCCATGTTGAGCACGCAGCAGCCTCGTCTCATCCAGCTCCTCGCCAGTGTACCAGCACCAGGGGCTGGCCATCGACGCCATCGATCTCCTGCACTCGCATTTCGCCTCAGTCGTCGGATCGCACCACCGCATGCGCACCAGGCTGGTGCCGCTTGTCGCTGCGCCAGAGCGCTTGGCACGGCGACGCTTTCTAGCTAGCAGGCCGACACTCACAGAGACACAGCCCCCTCCCGCGCCCGCGCCAAGCAACGCCACGTCGCTCTGTCTCCCTCGCACTGCCACGGCTTGCCAGCTCGAGTGCGAGAGAGCCAGAGCGGCGATAGCGACATTCCCGGAATCAGGCCGGGCTGCGTGCGTGCGCCGATATGCCCGACCGATCAATTTTCGACGACACAAGGCTGACTCCACTTTGGTATCGAGCGGGCGACTTGTTGAGTTGCGTCGCGTCCCTTTGTCGCGCGCCCGCTGTCCACTGGACTGTCCACCGGTCCGTCCACTGGACTGTCCACTGTCCACTGGACTGTCCAACGGTGTGCCCACCTATGTGCAGGCCGGGTCGACACCGTCCACTGCCACCGCAACCTCGACACCACGCCACCCCCTGCTCGCTGCTCGCGATGCATGACCCGATGTCGTTTGCCAGTGTGCCCGTTTGCCGCGTGTTTGGTGTTTGCGCTGCCGCCTCGGCCGCCTCTGTGATCGCCGACCTGGCCAGACCTAGCGTGGCAGGGTGTGCCTTGGTCGCGTCGTTGGAGCACGTGCCGCGGACGCCAGCCAGGCGGCCAGCCAGGCGGCCAGCCAGGCAGCCAGCCAGGCAGCCAGCCAGGCAGCCAGCCAGGCAGCCAGCCTGATACGGAACCACGTGGCGAGGGTAGGGTCATTAAATCTGGGAGCGCGGCTGCCTGCCGGGCTGCCTGCCAGCCTGCCTGCCCGGCTGGTCGGCTCCGAGGCGGCGGGATGACTTGGGGGTGGCGTGTCGGCCGGCACAATGTACGTCTAATTTTAATGGCGTTTTCATGTTCCACAACAACTTTGTTGCAAATAAGGCGGGCGGTGGCCGGCGCGGCGGGGCGCGCGATCGGGCCGCCAGTGTGCCACGGTGGTGGAGCGGAGCGGGGCGTGTGTAAGGGCCACGCTCCCTCGTCGCCAGGCTGGCCTCCCGACAGGGCGGCGGTCGGATCGGACCGCCCGGACTGCCGCTGGAGAGAGAGGAAGGGAACAATCCCCGAGAGTGCAGCACGGCCGAAGCAGCGAAGCACGGCGACGGCCGCCGTGTCGCCCAGGCCCTGCCGCCCGTGCCACACACTGCCAAGACACGCCAAGGCCACCAAGGCCGCCGAGGCCGGCCAGCTGATAGAGGTGCTTTATGGTGTCCTGGCCGAGCGTCGCCGAGGCCCTCGTGTCGCGGTCTTGGCCTCGCTGACGGCGAGGCTGACGGGCAGCCCGAGGCCGACAGACCCTGTCCGGCCGGCCGGCGCTGTCTTCCGGGAGGCAGGGCGGCGCCGCGCGCGTGCCGCGTGCTGAATCAAACGGCCACTTTATAGAGCGGCCATTCCATTCCATTCCATTCCATTCCAGCGACACTGGTGCCCATTTTGATTCCTTTACGACTCGGCTCGCCGCCTTTGCTGCCGGCGCTGCCGTTCCGCACGGCGGCAACACGCGCGGCGCGGCGGGGCGGCGCGGCGGAACCCCCGGACAGCCGGGGACTCGCCAAACAGGGCGGCACAAAAGCCTTGGCAGAGTACAACACGGCCCACCGCCCCCCCCCCCACCCCCCGGTGCGCTTTTGCACCTATCTCGCCATTG